CGGGGAGCTGACAGGAAGGTCAACAGGATTGTCCACAGGGGGAAACGGGGGACACAGGAAAACCAAAAGCATATGATAAGTGTCTTTGAGTTATTGCAGCTCTGTGCAAATTTGATGACAAAAGCCGAGTGGTCAGGGGGCTGAAATCCGTCTGCAAACACAGAGCAGGCTTTGGTGGTCTTCATTCTGCTGTCAGGTTCCCCACAAGAGGAGACGAGTAAAGGCTGTGACTGCAAATATGAATTAATGCTTCAAAGACAGTTCAGCGACGGTGATTTACAGGAGATTGAAGAGAGCGCAAAGACAACATAAAAATGTTTTCGCTAAATTTAAAGTCAGGAAAACATTCCAGAAAAGAAAATGTGAGAGCATGAGTGGATCTCTTTATCTACACTACAGAAACCAAAACCAAGACTGAACGGTCCTGATCTTCAGGCCCTCAGGCAGCACTACATCAAAAACAGACAGGACTCTGGAGTGGAAATCACTGCATGGACTCAAAATCCCCCTTCCCAAAAATGTTGTTGAATACAATTGGTTTCCTGTACCATACAAAGAAGAAATTAAAGACTTGACTCAAAAACACTAGAGACTTCTCTAGACCTGAGCCTGTTTAAGGTGGACTGAGGGGAAGAGGGAAACTGTCCTTGGGTGTGATGAATCAAAATATGAAGTTCTTATTGGAAATCTTGTCCTCCACTCTGGATTCAAACTAACGTAGACTTAAGTTCAGTGAAAAAACACCTATCTCTATAATGCATTATAAATATATGTATAATACGTTATAATCACGTTATAGCACTGCGTAACTATAGTTATAAACACTCATAAATGATCATAATGCTTTATAGCAAAAATCATATCACATTATAAAGCATTTTATCATGACTTAGGTCAGGTGTTATAACGTGTTATAACTGTTAACTACTCACTGACAATGTCCACATGAATAATGCATTACATGTATTTATGATGTGTTATAAACTTTTATAACTATCATCATAAACATTAATTATCATAATACCTGACCTTGTAAGTCATGATAAAATGCTTTATAATGTGTTATGATCATTGCTGTAAAGCATTATGATCATTTATGAGTGTTTATAACTATAGTCATACAGTGCTATAACGTGATTATCACGCATTATACATATATTTATAATGTGTTGTAGAGAGGTGTCAAATAAAGTATTACCAAAACTTCCCCTGTAGTTTGATGAGTCATATTTTGACGCTCTTTTTGGGAATCATGATTGCAGCATTCTCGGCTTGTAATGAACATAAAGTTCAAGTCCAGCCTCCCTAATGGTATGGGGATCATCAGGGTCCATGTCATGGATATCTTCCACATCTGTTAAGGCTCCATTGATGCTGAACAATATCTACAGACTTAGAAGGAACATCCACTGCCATCCAGATTTGTTTTGCAATATGTTGCTAAAATGAATTTTTAATGAGTAAATGTTGAAGTGATCTGCAGATTGTCAATTCTGTTTCAGAAAATATTTCACAAATATTCTCTAGACAGATTATTTTATTTGCACACACCAAAGTAGGCAGACACAGAAAATACCAAAAAATAAAGTCAAGCAGAGTAAGAAAAAAAATAAGTTTTTTAAAATCTAAGATATAAAAGTTTGTATGTTGAATAGTTATGGATCTTGGCTTTTGACATTATCTAAAAGATGTGACCTCGTTGATGGCATGGATAAAAGTGAGCAGTTTGTAAGTGTGTGAATGTGTTTTTCTGCCGCTCTCGTCTCCATCACCTGGACGTTCCACCTGCTCCAGTGTAAACAGCTCTGAAGTGTGGAGGTGTTTCCTCCTGAAGCAGCGTGTCGATAGAAAGAAAGGGAGGAGGGAGGAGAGACTTTTCACCAACCTTGAGCTTTAATGACTTCCTCGAGGTGCTTTTTGACTGCCGTCCAGAGACTCTGCGGGGGGGTCGGGTGAGTGTGTGGGGGGGTCTAGCCTTCCTCCTCAGACTTGGCCTTGTGCCAGGGTGACAATCAATGTCTCTGTGTCTCTTCTGTGGGAGATTATTTCGAGGGTTCCCCCCCCTTTATGGTAGGAAATGGTATTTGGAGGCTCAAACAGGATGTCCTGCTGGCTGGTCTGGATTCTGAAACCCTCCCTCTAACCCCCCGGGCTCTATTCTTCTTCCTCACCCCTTCCCTCCCCCTCCTCTTCCCCCTCTCCCTCAGCTTTCATTCTCTCAGAGGAAAAAAGTTTAAATTAATCCAGGAGTCTAAGCAGCCACTTTCTTTTTTTTTCTGTCTCCATTTGGAAATCACAAAGAAATGTCTCTGCCTTCTGTAGGTCTGCTGTCTGCAGGAGAGAGGGCTAGAGGGACAAATTAATACAGCATGGATCCATTTAAAGGTCCAGATACAAGTTCTCAAGCCAAGTACTGTGAATAGGCAACAAAACACAACAACTGCAGATTTCCAGGTGAAAAGGGAACTTTTTGAAACTATGCAAGAAAGAAAGTAAGATTAAAAACTAAGGTGGCAGCCCATGATGCAAGTTTGGGTCTTTACTGGATAATAATGAGAAAAAGTTCTTACAGGGACATATTTACCACAGCGCTCCTTCTACCAACTCTCTGTAGACCTTAGTGAACCCAGCAGACCAGGTTCTGGAGTCTAAAAATGAACACGTCATTGTCTGGATGGCAGCAGATGTTGCTCCTAAACATGTAGATGTTGCTCAGCATTAATGGAGACTTCACAGATGTAGAAGATACCCATGACATGGACTCTGATGATCCTCATACCATCAGGGAGGCTGGACTTGGACTGGGAGCTTATATTAAAACATGTAGTCCCTGTACTTTTTAGAGCAAAGGATGCAGTGTCCAAGATTTCCAGAAAGAATGCAAAGATTTGATTTGAGAGATGAGATGGCAGTTTTCATCTTCCCCCCCAATCCACATTAAACTGGCTCAGGTCTAGAGAAGTCTGGTGTTTTTATCTGGTTTCCATTTTCATGATTTAGTTTGAACCTCATTTGTAGATGCAGTGAAAAACTTTGTTCACTGTCAATAGTTTCTGATGTGATTCTGAGCCCTCGCAGTGATTTCCACTCCAGAGTCCTGTCTGTTTTTAATGCAGGGCTGCCTGAGAGCCTGAAGATCAGGACATCCAGTCTTGGTTTTGGTCCTTGTCCCTTTAGTACAGAGATTTCTTTGAATCTTTTAATGATATTATGTAGATGATGAAATCCACTCATTCTTTCAAGTTTGACACTCAGGAACATTACTCTGAAACTGTTGAACTATTAGCTCACGCAGTCTCTCACACAGTGGTGAACCTCTTCCTACCTTTCCTTCTGAGAGACTCAACCTCTCTGTCTGTCCTTTTCATACCCAGTAATTTTACTAACTTGTTGGAAATGAACCTTGTTAGTTGGTGACTGAAAAACTGTGTCAAACTCTGTGACGACAACTTTACACCTGGAGATAAAAAGGTCAGGCTCATTCTGGAAGTGATGCTACAGGAAAAGGAAACAAATCTGCTCAGAAAATTCCTTTTTTCATCTTTTAGCAGAAATATCTGCCTGATGGTGGCGCCGCTGCTGAGAAAGCTTTGTGCATAAATTCCTGAGGATGAAAACGGAGTGAAGCAGCACAGATTTGCAGGAGGTCTAAATTTAGGAGAACACCTACAAACTCCTCCACAGAGCCTTTTTTAAGGTTCCTCCTGCAGTCAGCAGAGCGGCTCGATCCTGTGCAGGCCTGCTCAGATGTGTGACATGGAGACCGATGAAAACATGTGAGAGTCTTCCTCGCCCACAAGAAATCCTGGAAGACTTCCAACTTTTCTTCTATGAGACCACCCACCGAGAGCGACGCAGAGCCAACAAGCTGGGCTCAGATTCTGTCATCCACTCCAGGAGGGAGATCATCCAGGAATGTGATCAAACTGTTCCTGACCTTTATTTCCTTTTTTCTATCAATATGCTGGATTAAAGCCTCAGCAGCTCTGCCTGTGAGGTAAATTTGAAGTTATATCTGAGCACAACAACATTTCATTCAAGAGTTACTCTTTCTTTTTTATTCTGCATACCAGCTGTCCCCTCTGTGCAGAAAGAGCTTAAGTTTCATTCAGTTTTGACAGCTGGGGCTTAGAAAAATGTGTCAGAGAATCTTTTCTTTTTTCAAACTTTCTATTTGTCAGTAACAGCATGCTGACTAAAGTGAGTTAGAGAGGAAGACAGAGAAGAATGAGGTCATGAGGAGATCTATGTCGGTGATAAAATTACTGATTTTATAGTGTCTACACTGGCTCATTTCGGTGTCTGGACAGGAAAAAAACTGTTGATTAAGAGAACAACAAATCACTACACTGTGAAAGGCTGCATGAGCTAATAGTTCAACAATTTCAGAATAATGTTTCTGATTGTCACTGTGAAAGAAAGTGGATTTCATTATCTTCAGTATATAATAGACTCTATAGTGTAAATCACTTGGGTATGGACCCCAAATCACTTTCAAACACCATGGTCTGTAACTTTTTTGGGGAAATCATGGACACTGCATCCTCCTCTCTAAAGAGTAGGGGGACCACTCTGCTTGTTCTCAGCTTCCAGTTCAAAGCCAGCATCCCTGATGGTAAGGGGATCATCAGAGTCCATTAAGTAGCTTCCACATCTGTGAAGGCTCCATTAATGCTGAACAATATCTACAGGTTTGGGAACAACATCTGCTGACATCCAGACAATGACTTTTTCAGGGAAGATCTTCATATTTCAGCAAGACAATGACAAACCACATTCTGACAATGGGGATTACAACAGCATGGCTCTGTAGTAGAAGAGTCTAGATGAAAAACTGGTCTATGTGTTGTGCCAGTCTGCCTCAGCTGCACTTCTTTGTCTCTCTCTAAAATTACTTGTTGATGTCAGACTGTGTGCATATTTAGAACTGTTTTTTTAAGACATCACCAATTATTTTAAAAGTTTAAAAAAACCCAAATAAAACAAATTCCACAAGCATCTTAATAAGTCATCTGTACATCATACAGAATATTTATTGAATGTCCTCAAAATACACAAGAAACCATGAGACAGAACACAGGGTGAGAAAAACCCTTTAAGGTCATTTGGAAAGTGATAACCATCCTGCAGAAATGTCTTCTGTTACAAATCAAAATTACGTCTTAATGCTGAAACTCCCGCTGAATAAATAAAAAAACATTTTTTTTTTACACCCGTAACAGTACCTGTCAGCCAACAATCCCATTGGCTTTTCATTTGTTTTAATTTTAACCAAAATATTTCACAAGTTTCAGAAAAGCTGACAGGGCTCGCTCCGCATTTCTTTGCAGACATACATTAGTAGTTCTTTAATTTGGCATGTTTTGTCGGCCCTGTAGCAGGAAATGAGCCCCCAAACTTTGCTTCCTTTGAGCTGAAATCAGAACCTGCTGCAGCACATTGTTCCTGGATTTGGTAAAAATGAATTTTTGAGATCTTTACTCTCTGTGATTTGTGCTCAGCTCAATGCAGCAGCCTCTAGTAATGTAATTTTTAGTGTCAAAACATGGGAACAAAAAAACGGCCACAGGGTGCTTTATAATGAAAGGCTAGGTGTGCAAAATCATTTAATTCATTATGCTCCTGGAGTTCAGATGCATGCTTTAGTCTGATGGTTTTAAGGCTGAGTGACAATTTAAGGACCCATCATCAGTATCTGTTTGTCATCGACACTACGTAACACACTCTGGAAAAAACGGCTGACACTTTATTTTTGGGTAACCTGTTCCAGCAAGTGTTAAACGACTTTTCTGTGCAGCACTCACTAGTCCAACAATAAATTTAAAAAAAAAATCTGGTCGTTTCTGCGTTCATAAATCCCTTAAGTAGCACCTGCTGATCTGTTCATCATGAGTTTCAGTATCAAAGGTGAATAAGCTCCACAGAGACTTCATTCTGGCTTATTTCTTGGTAAAAATGTGGTGAATCCCAGTTTCACTGTGTCAGCCTGGATAACTTCACAATATAGACCTGGTCGGTTGATTTCAGCTGTTAACAGTGAGTTATAAAGAGAGTTAATTCTGGCTTATTTCTGCAGGACAAACCCTGTGGGTCTCTGTTTCACTGTAAAAGGTAAGCTACCCAAAGTTTTGATTCTGGCCAAATATTAATCGTTCGTGGTGAGTTTCAGTTTCACTGTTCACATTGAGTGTTACAGGGCTTGTATCTTCAGCAGTAGAAAGCCATTGAGTCTAAGTTTCACTGTAAATACAAAGTTTTACAGAGGCTTCACTTCAGCAGCTTCAGATATAGACCTGAAAGATCTCAGTTTCACTGTAAATTGTCATTTTTAACAGAGATTTCACTCTTGCTACAAACATGGTGAGTCTCAGTTTCACTGGTTGGAGTTAAACAGAGGCATCACTTCAGCTTGCTCTACAATATCAACCTAGTGAGTCTTAGTTTCACTGTATATATATTAAGTTACACAGAGGTGTCACTCTGGCTAAATTGAACAGTACAAACCATGTTGGTCTCAGCAGTAAAACCTAATAAGTCTTAGCTTCACTGTATGTAGAAAGCCAAAACTCTGACTAACGTCACAATAAAGACTTGGTGAGTCTTTATTTCATCATAAACAGTAAGTTTCTCAGAGGTACGAACCTGAAAAAGAAACAAATTTTCTTGTCATTAACAGGACCTTAGTTTCTCCTGAAAGAACATCATCATGATCTGGATCAACCAAAAGTCAGACATCAGGTTGTTAAAATGTTTGGTGGGTGAATGGAGGTTGGATCCATCAATCCTGCCTTTCAGGCAGTCAAGAAATGTAAACGCTGATTCCTCACGTCACAGGGTTTGATGCAGGAATTTGTGACTTGGGCTGATTGATTTATTAATTCAGAAGACAGGACAGTGGATAGAAGATATAAAGTTGGAAAATGGCATGTGACAAAGGTTCACCAGTTGGATATGAATCTAGGCCACCAATTACGGCTTCTGTACAAGGGGCACATTCAACTCAGGTCACATGATCTCTCTCTTCTTTTTTAATTTCATCCCACTATTAGATGTAACTAGATTTTTTAGAGCATTTCTGGAGCTCTGCAGGACTGTCAAGCGCTGCTCATTTAAAATGTCTGGATTTTAGTAAAACTGGTAATTTGCACATATATGCACTGACGTTTTACATTCATTCGAGTACAAACTTCCTGCTGTGGCGATTTTTTTGTTCCCATTAAAATGATTGAGATTGAACTTTCAGAGTATCATCGTGATCCAAACACAGGCCTGTTGTGAAGTGCTTCACCAAAGTCTCATTCTGCTGCTTCTTTTTCTTTTTTTGCAAATACACACACTCCCACACACACGCACACATACACACCTGCAAATTCAATTCAATAAATAAGACTTACATGTTGTAAGGCATTTTTGACCATGCATCTGTCACAATGAACAACAAATCCAGAACAAACTTGGTAACAATATGCACATTCATTAAGAGCAACAAGGCGGCCACTCCTCACTTTGTTTAAAGGCTTCCTGGGTGATCACCTGATCGACAGGGCTCATCCTCACCTCACCTGGCTCTGATTCTGCAGCGGGACGACCTCTCCAACCAGAGATCTCAGTCCAACCAGCAGGCAGGACACACAGCAGCCGGACCCGGCCGCAGCGGGGCTTTTGCATTGCATCCAGAGTTTGTTCAAGAAAAATCAAAAGTCTGCGTGCAGCCAGCTGCTCAGAGCTTCAGGACAGTCCGGAAGTTTCCAGGTAACTCTGCAGTTTTCTGACCGTACTTCTGTCCAAGGAGCAAAGGTCGAAGTCAAAAGTAGTGTTAGTGATGTGGAAGTGTCCCGTCTCTTCGATCAGGTTCACAATCTGGGGGAAAGAGAGTACGCTGGGTAAGAACAGGATTCACCTGGGCTCTGCAATGTTAAAGTCTGACATGCTTGTGCAGGTCAAGACTTTACTGGAGCAGCTTCATAGGAATAAGAGAAAGTTCTTACAGGGACATATTTACCACTGTGTTTCACTCTGTAAACATTAGTGAATCAAGTGGACCAGATTCTGGAGTTTGGGAAGTGAAATGTTGTCCTGTTCTTGCCTGACAGAGGATTTGTTCTTCAAATATTATTAATGGGGGACAAGTCAGGACTGCAGGCAGATCAGTTTATCAGCAGGACTCTTCTACTACAGAGCCATGCTGTTGTAATCCCTCTTGTCAGAATGTGGTTTGTCATTGTCTTGCTGAAATATGAAGGTCTTCCCTGAAAAAGTCTTTGTCTGGATGGCAGCAGATGTTGCTCCTAAACCTAAAGATATTTTTCAGCATTAATGGAGCCTTCAAAGATGTGGAAGATACCCATGACATGGCCTTTAATGACCCCCATATCATCAGAGATGCTAGATTTGGACTGAGAGCTGCGAACAAGCCGAGGCTATGGTGTCCATGATTTCCAAAAAGATGATCAAGTTTTGATTTATCAGACCACAGGACAGTTTTCACATCCTGGCTTTCTTTACAGGCTCAACCCATCTGGGTTATATTTTGCATTGTACAGGTATAACCTGAAGAGATGAACTCTGTTCACAGATGACAGTTTGAATTCCATGCAGTGACTTCCACTACAGAGTCATGATTGTTCGTAAAGCAGTGCTGCTTGAGGACTTTTGGAGTCATTCGGTTTATGTCCCATAAGCACTTTTCTCTGCTTGCTGACTGGTCCAGACTTCTCAGACTACAAACAGAAACCACAAACTTTCAGGCCTTTAAACTTTGTCGACATACAGCAGAAATGAAGATATGAGGCAGCCACTCAGGTTGTCAGTCATTTTGGCCGTTTTCCCACTTGTTTGGGGGTTTTTATGAACTGTTATTACCACAAAGAGCAACCAAACTTGTACTGTATTTCTCTGTGTGCAGATAAACCGTCTGCATCACAGAGCTCAGAGCTGTACTTTGTGGTTCTCAGCAGTCTGCAGGAAAGCCTGCGAGTTAATCATTTCCATCTCTTGTAACAGGATGTGGAGTCAGTTGGTGAACTCTTCTAGATTAGTCTGATTACAGTCAGAGTAAAAGCCGTGATGCTGTTTTGGATGGGATTTCTTCTCTTCCTCTGAGCTGACCGTCTTGTTAGGAGAGCGAGGCAGAAGTTGGCAGCTGCTGCCGGGAAGATCCGCTAATACGGTCACATGAGAGGGCTCGCCAATATAAGCAAGAAACACAGAATCTCTCAGGTGGACAGGGGTTAACCAAATAATTTATTGCTTCCAGATGAAGCTGCAGATTGTGGAGGATCTGTAACAGATCACAGCTCCTCTTCTAATCCGACACAACAACACAGCTGACCGATGGCTCTGACATGAAGTGATACTACACTGAGATCAGTGAGAGCTGTGGAAACCAGCCAAAACATACTTCATTTTTTATTTGGAGCTCAGACGCTCAGTGGAAAATTTCAGAGGAGATAAGAGGGGATGAGTTTGAGGATGATTGAAGATCAAACCTTCACTACACTGAATTTTTTTCCAATAGTGTTTGAGATATCTCTGAAGACTGTGTGTTTGCATCTAACACACCTCCTATGTTACATTTACTGATGGGTATATCCTTCCTACGGAGGTTTTCATACATACCTGTTGCAGTATGTGACCTTCTCTTAGTGTCATCAGTCTTTTGTGCAGCTCCACCAGTTCATCAAGGTACGCCTGGGAGACACAAACAACATTTTAGAAAGTTATTAGATTTCATAGATGACAGGACAAGAAACAAGTTCAGTTGGTTCAGAAAGCTTCTGACTGACTCCTGCAAAAGCTCCAGTGAGCAGGAAACTTGATTGTCAAAGCAATTATTCTCAAGATGACCTCAATGCAGGCCGGAAATACCAACATGTTAATCTATCAAGTCAAGTTATTTATTTGCAAAGCACATAAAAAAAAAAAAACTCCTGATGAGTTGTACGAAGAGCTGATACACTAAACAAGATCGGACCCAGAATGGAGCCTTGTGAGACCCCATTACTTGGGCTGGGAGCTCGGAATGAAGAACCTTCACCCAGATAGACTGAGAAGCTCCTGTTCAGGTTGATGCAAGACTGTACTGAAGATAAGTTCAAATTCATCATACACTCAACTTTAAAGTGAAATGCATAGGAAACTTGTGTACCTTATCACAGTCCAGGTTTCTGTTCTTGTCCTGCTTGCTTTGCTTGGTGGGACTCTTCACCTCCAGAATCTGACAGATGACACGATAAACAAAGAGTCAAAGTGGAGCTGACGGACTCAGAGTTGGGTTTACTACGACTTCAGCTCTTGTTTAATTAGCTGCTGCATAATACTGCACGATCTTACCTGGTTATTAGTAGTCTTTAATAAAGGCGGGGCTTCATTGCGGGATGGGGGCGAAGGGGAGGAGCTGTCACTCTCACTGCCGTCACTCAAACTGACCCTGAAAGTTAAGTGAGGGAAAAAAGCAGATGCTAAAATTATCAAAACATCTGGCTTATGTCTGACTCCAAGCTACAAAACACTGAAATAACCCGACTAACCATATCTTGCCACCTTTTGCCCAAACTTCCAGTTAAAGATGGTTAAACCAGAATTTAGGGAGGACCGCTTTGGCCAATAAAAAATTACTTGTGGTTGTATCGCTCTCTCATGTGGGCTCCCTGCCCTTCAACATGCATATGTGGAATAACAAAGCCTGAGGCAGGTAGCACACACACCTTCTCTGTGTTTCATTGGCATACATGAAAAGCTGAGGCAGGGAGAGCAGCTGCAAAGACCCACTGGGGTAGAGCTCCCTGCCCCTCCAAGAGTGCATACAGCACGCAAAAACCTGAGGCGGGGAGAGAACACCTCCTCCTTTCCATGCACATACATGAACAGCCAAGGAAGGCAGAGCAGCAGCAAAGGCCCCCAGGTTGGAGCCTTGCACTTATAAGTAGTTATAAAGAATGCTCTGTTCAATGCTGAATTTAAGCCCAGTCGCTGACTTTTTTGACCACTAGAAGGCAGCAGGTAAAATCTACGAACTATTCATTGAAAAATAAAAGTGTAGGTATTGTTTTTAACACTTTGAGTCTTGGCATTGCTTCCATCACCACCAAGTTTTTAATCTTAAAGTGATCATATTTCGACCAAATGGTAGCGATTGACTGGTGATGCACAGTCACTGAACAACTGAAATGCTAATTTTTGGCAAACTTAAAGGTACAACACAAAAGCTTATTGCACACATGTTTGCCCTTAAACTTACCTGCGTTGATGATGAGTGTGATGTGTGTGCGCTGGTCTCTCCCCATCAGAGTCCATGTCGTTGTCGTCATCATCCTCTGAGTCTTCATCGTTGTCATCTGAGTGCAGATCCTGTATGACGGACTGCAGCGGGCCCAACACTTCAGTACGAGACAAAAACAGAAAAGAGGAAACAAGAGATGAGTTTTCTTTTTTTATTTGTTTGGTGTTTAACATCCATGAATAGAGCCGGGGATCATGCTGTCAGATGGAAGGATGCTGGGATGGTCCAATGATATTTGCTCCCAGTTTGAACAAAAATAAATTCATCTGTAACTTTAAAATGATTAACATGTTTTAGTGAACATTAACATAAAAAAACTATGTGATTTCTTTGGCTTCCCTGACTCTTGTTATCTCTAAAACAGGGTTATTTGTATTTTATTATGTTCGTTAAGAACGTGCTGCTATGAGAGGGGAACCCTTTTTAATATTTTCATCGTCTGTAGACAGAGACAGAAGCAAACACCTGCAGGATAAAAAGTTTGTTCCACATTTAGACATCACCAGGTGACAAAGGACGACACAGACGCTCCGCAGTGAAAAAAAAAAGCCATCAGTGATCTGAAACCTAAATCTGGCTGCAAAGAGGTGCATGAGTTTTCATGCATGTGCAAAGGCTGGGAAAAGAGTCCCCATGCAGGTGTGCAGGTGAGGTGGACAGGTCTCAGAGGAGCTGTTACCTGTTTGGGTGGTGGCAGGAAGAGCCACCCTCTTCCTGATGATGAAGTCGACCACTGCACTCAGAGAGGATTACAAACACACAAGCAGACGTCACACTCCAGAAAAGACGACTAACAATACGACTAACAATATAACCCGATTTTAGATCAACTTTGACCTCACCTGCCACCTCAGAATAGTTTAAGATCTATTAGCGTAGAGGCTCAAATCCCTTACAGTATGTTGACCCTGACGGTCAACTGTACAAACATTTTTTACAAACACATTTTTATTTTACTAACCACAGAAAATGTTCCACAAAACAAACATTTTTTGAAAACATTGCTGACAAACAAACAAACAAACAAAAAAACCCACATGAAACAAAAAAAAATAAATCTTTTTAGGGAACAAAGAATGAAACAAAAGTGTTTCACCAAAACGCAAAATTATTTTAAGAAACACAAAAATATTTCTGAAACAAAATATTTTTCATAACACAAAATATTTATAAGCTGCAAAAATATTTCACAAAATATGTTTTAAAAGTTTTTTTTTTTTTGTATTTTGGAAATTTTTTGTGTACCTGAGAAACTTTTTTGTCTGAAATGTTACATGAAACATTTTTAACCAGCAAACATTTTTTTTGTGTTCAATGAAAACATTTTGCTATAACTTTTGTTAAGAGATCTCGAGACCATTTTTTATCTACCTTTACATTCTGGTCAGTTTGATGAAATGATTTAGTGATACACCAAATATGTTCATGTTCAGCTCTTTTACATAGTTTTCATTAAATACCTCATTCAATGCCTTTTTAAATTTTGTTTCATTTAACACTTTTAAGTTTTATGAAGTGCTTTTGAGGTTCAGGGAACATTTCTGGAAATATAAATTTTTTTGCAGAGCCTGAAATGTTTGAGTTTTTGGAAAAGGTTTCTTGTGGTCATGACAGGGTTTTCTCTCTGAGCCACCATACAATGAGAACCCTTTCAAATATTTCAGCAGGTTTCAAACACATGACAGGTAGAAGTTAACTATACAAACTACATATTTAAGGACAAAGACAGTGCTCTGTTGTATCTGGTTGAGTTGACCTGCACAAAAAATATGATCCGTTTTTTTTCCCCCTTTTTCACAAACTGAGTAATTTTAAAAACACATTTAAGAACTGTTTCAACTCTTAAAAAGCTCTACAACTAAATAATGGGACCTGTTAGATCAGAACAAATTTAAGGACAGAGTGGACAAAAACATATTTTAATTTGATTACTTTAAGTAGCTGTATTTTTGTTTTGTTTAACGACAGTGATAATTCCAAATTTCTTACATTTCTTCTCAAATTGTGGCTCTGAAACTCTGCTGTTGAATACCAGGAATTAAATATAAAAAGATGGAAAGATTTTCGAAGAAGTACTGCAAACATTTATCAAAAATACAGAAACACCAAATTATCTTCTGCTTAAATATGCTGCTTGCAATGTAAATATACAGTAAATGTATGCAGAACTGATGATGTATTCATTTGTGTATTTTCTGTCAAATATCATCTGCTGCCAGATGATAAAGGTTGGACATCAAACCGTTACTATTTCTGCTAAATGAAACTGCCCTTTCAGAGCCGAACCGTGCATTACGATCAAATCTGACTCAAACAGCTGATGAGCATCATAAAAATGTAAACTTATAGATGCATCACGCAGGTGTTTACCTTGTCTTTTGTGGTGTGTGGGAGCAAATCCTGAACTGGAGCTGGAACTGGCTGGACTTGGCTGTTCAGACTGAAAGAAAAAACAGATTAAGAAAATAAGATACAAAACATTCTTAGTTTTCACCAAGACAATGAAGTGAAAGGCAGACAGTGCCCTCTGCTACTTTAACACAGTACTGAGAGTGATTTTTCATCTCATTAATCAGCTCATATTTTATGTTCCTGTCATATAAAGGTAATTAACGCGGACTCTAAAATGAGCTGTTAGGTTAAATCTACAGCCTCAAGTCAAACACGTGTCACTTTGTAAAGTGATAAAAAAATACTAAATGAAAAGTTGTCGGAGCTTTCGGCTTCCAACGATCAGTCACTCCCGTCTCCACTCTGCACTGATCCCCAGGTGTGCACAGGTGTGAGAGCAAACAGGGCTCCAGGCGCTCCACGGATTCCTTCACACACATTCCTGAGATCTGTACTTCTGCTACCGTCAGGATTTCAGTGAATGAGCATGAACGACAGGTCAGTCAAACCGACAGCAATCAGACAATCGTCACAACACACAAACAAGTATTCGCATGTGTGTTGAGTGTTCGTATGCAAATTTAAAACATACTCAGCTTTAGGAGCACATAAATAAAGATGAAATAATATGAACTTAAGAAAAAATGAATACACATTAAAGAAAAACAGGCATTTAAACAAGGTAAGCTGATGTTTTTCAATATCTTTAAATGAAATAGTTAAACTCAAAAACACTAAAATGTTTAAAGGTGATAATCATCAGTTTATATCATTGTATATTTTGGGCCAATTTGGGCTTTTACATGATGTGAGGTTTTAAATCCTAAACAGTTGGAGGACACTGAGCTTTAAAATGTGTCAGTGTTGGAGACTGAAGGAGGTTTAAAACACTCTTAAATGTTAGCTAACAAACTTTAACTTTGAAGCAGAGCTGGCAGAGAAAACAGAGCGCTGAGGAGGAGACACATGAGAGGGACAGAGAGACAGAAGGACAAAAGGCAGAGCGACTTCAATGGTCGTCACCTCCTGCCAACAAACAGCACACAGCTGGTCTGTTGGTTTATGGGACAGCTTCTCCACAGTGCCATAAATCTCACCACCACTCCTTTTTAGGCCTTTTGTCCCGCTTCACTCAAAGCCACCAAAGCTGCCCTCTTCAAAGACAATAAACAGCCTTTAGACGCAGTTTGCTGGCATCAATCTGGCTTCATCTCTTAACTCTTGGCACAGTTAGAGCGCAGAAAACGAAAGAAATGCCAACAAACTGACCAAAGCCTGTTTAGTTTGCTTGTCTAATTCAGCGGGGGTTGTCCAAACAGAGTTATTTTAATGTGGAGAAGCTTTTCAGTGTGACACTGTAGACAAACAAAGCTGAGTCTTTTATTCTGACATGATGTGGTTTACAGCACAAATGTTACACAGACTTTTTAAAGGGCTTTTCCATGCTTTATCTTACTACAGCGAGTCTGTTTACTGTCTTCTGACCCGCCTGATATCTCACTGAAATTACAATCGACTTCTCTGAACATTTTAGTACCAGTAACCCTGTTTTTCTCTGATAAACAACCCTTTTACAGAGATTTTCTACACAACTCAATACAGCCAAAGACTGTAAAGTTTGTCATTAAAATCAGGGGTCAATTTTCTAAATTATTTTGGGGATCACATGATTGTTATCAAGTGCTGTAGTACTCAAACCAGGATGCGGACTCCTGCATGACCACATTTGGTCTTGTACTGTTTTTCTTGTTTTTGTTTGATTTCTGGTATAAGGCCCTGACAGTTTCTTCAGTTTGTAAGGGGGACTTTTACAAGTGCTCACCTGCACATATGCTCATGTACATAAGTTCATTAATTCAGCAACAGAAAACATGCTCATATGTCAAAGAACTATCAAGGACAACTAAGAGAGATGTAAAGATGTAAGATGAGAGAGCTCTTAAAGTTACAAGTTACAATCTAAAATTTTGGGTTGGTGAGAATTCGGATTTACAACGGGTGATTGCAGTGATTCCAAATTGATACATGTAAGATCTCCAAACCTGACAACAGGATCAATCAGAAACTTATGATGCTGAATATTATCTTTCTACTGAGGGTGTGAATCTCTTAGAGTTTCACAGTGGAGTTAGAATTCTATTCATGAGGTTACAATTTGATCCCAAACTTAAGGATTTATCTTAGTCTGCTGTGACTGTTAAAAGATAAAGGGCATAAGTGTTTGAGTTAAAGAAGCTTTTATCTAATTAAGAAGGCTTTTTACATGACTGCAATCATGTATACACAAATTAAGACAAAAGGTAACTTTGATTTATGGAAAAACCTGCAAAAATGAGTTTTTAGTGAGTTCGGCTTCAAATTGTGAGGAACAAAAAGGTTCATATTTCCTGTTTTCTACACGTTCAAAAGTTCCCTCTCAGTCAGCCAAAGTTCAGAAAGGTTGTTCCTCCTGAAAAATCCTCAGGTAAAAGAGACTCTAACTCTATTCTGACTCTAAACCAGGTCCAAAATGGAACTGGATTTTGATCTTTATCCCACAATAATGATAACAATTGGATTTATCAGGCATAACTTACTGTCACTTGTGCAGTACGGGGTATTACCGCACAGGTCTGTTTGTTAATTGGTTATCATTAGTGTTTATTTTTATTCAAATATTGATGTGGACGTTAACCTAAAAAGGTAAAATGAAAGCCTTTATTTCCATTTCAGATTTATTCTCTTCTGTGACAGCAGACAGTATCTACACTGGGGTTGGGAGTAAATGTCACTGAGGTTGTTCACCTAAAAATGAAGGATCCAAACCCTGATCTTACAGGATAATATTGATCACACTAAAGCTGTGTTCATTAGGTTGGAACAAAATATGAAAATATAAAAATCAATCTTTTCCAGGACTTGTGTGATAAAGTTACAGTCTCAACAGCTCTTGAACTCCTTTCCCTTCAGTTTGACTTATTACCCTACTACATGACTTCTATCTAAAGATGGCACTAATGACATAAACCCCCCACTTTCCTTTACCTTTTAGCAGCATTATATATTCTTTACTCAACAAGATATTATCATGTCATAGCATGCCAGAATCACTGAGTTGTGATGTGACTGTTAGCCTACTTACCCTGTATCATATCATATCATAGAGTGAGTTATCCAGGAAATCCTACAGTCCTGAATATGAAATATAAATCTGAAAAGCTGTTTTTTTCCTCACATGCACATTGACTGTCTACCTAAATGCTTGTTTTCTGAATAATGGGATACATTCAGACTTTGGTGATATATTTATGGTCAAAGTTAGACAGTTTTATGTCTAATACTGTTGGATGCAGCCCCAGGTTTTATTGCATACATTAATCTTATTGCATGTTTTCAGTGGTTGTTGCATCCTAAACCCAATCAGGGGAGCAAATCAACTCACGGACTCTACTTAGTACACTTTATGCAGCACTGCATTCACGTATTTGCCTGAAAAACAAAGTTTGTTTTTGTAACTAAAACAGTTTTGCAGAACTTTTTTGCACATTTTGCAGAATTTTCACCTCTGTAGCGCCCCCCTCAAGCATAAAAATAAGCTGTACAGTCAAACAAAGTGACGGATATGAAACGCGTCTCTACTGCTGTGAGTTTAAAGTCAAACAAACATGTTAAAAAACACTCCACAGGTCTGCTAAACACACTTGAGCAAAGATCCATCCACCCAAATGTGTGCAGGTGACAGATCACTCAGCCTGTGCCCACATCCAGCGTGCTCAGCTCTAGGTTCTCATGCTAACACGCCAGCCTGCTTTCCCTTCATGTCATCACCTACTCCACATTTCCTCCTCTGTGCTGTTTCTGGCCAGCCGCTCTGTGGAACAGGCCGAGATCAAACACACGGTCACATGAGAAAAAAAAAAAAAAAAGAGAGAGAGAGCGGGGCTGCGTGTCGGCCACCGGGGGAGAATCAAACACCTGGCATTTGTCACCCCACATCCCCTTTTACAACCACCCCCGACCCCCAGCCCCCTGTATGGGAAAACTAAAGGCATTTACATACAGCGCTGACAAAAACACAGGTCCTGCTAGTGCGAGGTAATAACTCCCCCGGCTAAACAAGCTGCCCTACAGAGACACACATATAAAGGGCCACGCTTTATACAAGACTCTGAGGATAGAAATGAAAATCACATAAAAGAAAACAGCTCAGAGCGCTGGGATTCAGACCTTTCTTCACCCTTTTCTTCTTTGAAAAGCTAAAAGGATTAAAGGGGAACTCTCTGCTATTCACTGCCGCGTCTCTTCTTTCTCCTCAGGTGTTGTAAAACCATAAATCTTTCTTGTCCACTATTTGGCTTTAAAACAGCCCTTCTTTATGGGGAGGTTCTGCACCGAGTGAGCGTGGACCAGGCAACCCAGCCTATTCATGAAAGGAGCCAGTGTAGGAATGAAGTTTTTCTAATCCTGCTCCCACTGGTGAAACTCTGAGCAGTGATTTTTAAACTAGAAAGACACCAAATCAATAATTTTCTCTCAATCAAAAAGAAAAATAACCTCTCCAGGTTCGTCCGCCTCCTCTTTGGCCACCCAGACGAATACAGCTGAACTCCCACTTGGTTTATTGGTGCCCACCCCTTCTTCCAGTTCCCCGCCCAGCCCCCCAGAGTCCGGCAGACCACCATTAAAGAGGATTCCCTCTCCCTGTTGGTCGTTTGATTTTATAGCTGTTTCCACGCTGAGGAAGGACTGATCACTAACAAACCCTCCCCACTGAAGCTTTGAGAGAATCGGATACTTTTCCCTCCTCCCTTCTCAATATTTTCAGTAAAGTGGTTTGAAAATGAAAGTCTGACCAACAGGACTCAAACAGCTGCTCCGTAAGCATGTGCTGTGGTAAAAGAATAGTGATATTTGGTGTTTGTATCAGATAAAACAGCTTTGTAGGGCCTGTGTCTACAATTGGCAGTTTTCACATTCAGGGCTTGTGTCCACTATTGGTAGCATCCAATTTTCTTTACAGAAAACCAGTGAAAAGTTTTCACCTCTAACATCCTAAGCCCAAAAACTCTCTCAGAAATTTCTGATTTTAGTTGCTGTGCTACAAAAAAGTGCAACTTTTGAAACACCTCCAAACGTGTTCCTGTTGCCTACCCTCAGTGGCTAACCAACATAAAGAAGGGGCAGGACTTTGGAGGTGATGTTTTGTCTTTATCAAATAGGGCAGCTGAAGAGAGAACCACAAGGGAAATATTGAGAGAGAAAATGGGGTGCTATGAGGACTTCTGTAGATTGGGCACCTGCTCCTTCATTCAAGCCAAACCAGCACCCAGGGGCAGCAGGACTTCTGTCTCGTTTTCTGCAGCCAATGCCAGATTCATTTCCACCATTTTTATACAGTTTCTTTTAATTGCCTTGAATACAATCAACTACTGAGCAATTAAAAGAAGACTCAGCAATCGCAACTAAAGGAAGCAAAAGTGCCACTTCTTTACCCTTCCAACAAACAGTGCCAGTAAAGTAAGAGCACTTTAAAATCAAGGGCCTGTATCCACAACAAAAAATACTGTCAGTGGACACAGGCCCTTAATTCTATAGTTTTCAACCTAAGCTGTGTTCTAGCATATTTGTGGGCCTGAGACTTTGTTTAGAAAAGATCAAGATGAGTATGCATGCCAGGCTAGTAGTTGGCGATACGACTTTGTAAACTGATGCACCACGTCTTGTATAATGAACGGCCTTCTAAACAGAAATGTAACGACAAACAAACATACAACATATGTGCTAATGAGGCTGTAATGCTGCCGTTTTTACAGAATCAGTGCATGTCTGTTTATTTGTGTTGCCAGTTCAAGTGGCAGTGGAAAGGGTCGAGTTTGCTTAAGATGACACTTCAGAGCCCGGAGCATCTGAGCATTTTCAAAACTGTTTGATATCCTTGAGTTATAAAAACCCACAGCTGTGAAATAAGTCCCAGATTTAAATACACCCGAATCCCCAAATTAGACCGACTTAGAACTCTTTCTCTCTCTGTGAAGATAGCATTTGATATCTTACAGTGGCTTTTAAAGAATTAATGAAATTAGACTGTACTTACATCTGACTTGTTGGACTGGTCCTCCATATCCGAGTCGTTGGGGTCCACAAGTTCCTGGAATGGCGGAAGAGCTGAACCCTTCCTACGTTCTGCGTCCTCACCTTCTGGTCTGCATTTACTGGATCGGATCTGCGATCTATCCTTTAAGAGTTTCTTATCCGAATGTTGAGCATCTGACATCGGCTTCCCTGATGAATCCACAAATCCCTTTTTACGTTTTTTGGTCACGTGGTCATCAGCGTCCGTAGAAGACAGACGCTTGTTTAGCCCTAACCCATGGGTCATCCCTTCAGTCCTGTGTTCCTTGGACATGGACTTGGGTTCCTTGAAGCCCATCTTAGGGTTGATATCTCTAAGCGGCTGGTTCTCTTTGGGTTTCCTGGAGGGTTCTTTGGGGGCTTTGCTGGATTCCCAGCCAGAGTCTCTGAAGGCACTTTTGGGCTCTTTCAAGTCTTTTGGAGGCTTTTCTTTGTGGTCCTTGGAGGGTTTGTGGAGTTTGGAGAAGCTGCTGCTGTTGGTGCTGGTGGTCGTGGCGGTGGTTAGAAGAGCAGGGCCGCCTCCTTTGGAACCATCCTGTGGATTTAAGGAACCATATGTGAGGACATCCTATAGAGACCCGAGACTGAAAATAGACTTGAGGTTTGGATGTGTATCTGTACCAGGTGAGGTAACTCCACAGAAGTGAGAGAAATCCCCTAATTTCCCCTACTTGAGATCTGTCTTCAGATGTTAAGTAGGGGCCAAGACTGAACCTCTATGCCTCTTTCTACGTCTACAAAAGGTTTGGTTTAGTCAGATTTTCCAACAGGGCTACTGCTGCTGATGGGCCTCAAAACCCTGCTTTAAAAACCTGTTGGAGGTAACATCCATGTTTTATACTTTGGTTGGGTTGTGATCAATTCTCATGCCTCTTGAAGACCGCAAATGATGTAAAAACAGGCTGTGATTTGGTCCAATTCAAAAATGGGTCTTGCTACTCAAAAATCCTGCCCTGCCATGGTGGGCTGGAATCAAGCCCTGAGGACTACGTTACTGTCATTATGACCTGCGCCTTTGCTGCAGGCTAAACCAATCTACTGGAACAATTTCAAACTTTTTGTCCTCCTTTCCCTTATCATCTTCATTATATCTTCTTTTTAGATTTTTTTCTGGCTGAATTTATTCTCCACTTAAACTACATGCATAACTCGGGCAGTACATGGTATAAAAAACAAAGTGAGCAAAAACCAGGGGGCTCAGCCAAATAAAGATTAACCCTCTTCCTTTCCCACAACAAAAACATGTGTGCAACCCTGCAGTTTGGCATTACCATCTGTAAAAAAGAGGTCTACTCCTCTAAAGGGTCTTCTTAGCCCCTGTGTACAGCTTAAAGAGCAAACTCAGGACTTCTTTTGAGCAGCGCTGTTCAGCGACGTGAAGGGGCCTTTTCAGCAGCCGCACAACCTGAAAAGTGGAGCGAAGGGCAACGTGCAGAAAAGAGGAAATGCATTCCTTCAAACGACGGGGGCCATTTGTCCCCCAGTCTCACCTCCAGCCCCCTTGTCAATATTTCATCACTGCAGTAAACCCATTAAAGCAGTCTAGACGACGGGGTGTGTTACTACTCTGCCCAAGCACCTTTAAAACCTTTCATTTCGCCTATCTGCAGGTGACCTCTGACCTCAGGATGTAAAGCTGCCAGCTCGTTCTGAGCTGCAGAGCGCTCCTCCCAACATAAACCAGGTTTAGTGCTCTAGAGGGGACAGACCGAGGCCTGCACCGCCGTCAGCATAGAGGAGATCACTAAAGTGGCACTTTTTAACAAACCTTTCAGCACCGTGACATTAGCAGGTTAGCAGGTGACCTGGGTCTGAATAAATCACTGATGGGACTGTTACAGTAACAGTGTCAGAAAGGAAGTGGAAGCAAATCCTGACCACAAAAGAAACCCAGCAGACCAGGTTCTGGAGTCTGAAAAAGAAATGTCCCATTCTTGCCTGATAGAGGATTTCAGCTAATCAAAAGTTCAGGGTCTTCTTTGTCCTGTTTTTGGTGAGATGATGCTCCAAATTTTTAATGGGGGACAAGCCAGGACTGTGGGCAGACCAGTTTATCAGCAGGACTCTTCTACTACAGAGCCATGCTGTTTTAATCCTTGTTGTCAGAATGTGGTTCGTCATTGTCTTGCTGAAATATGAAGGTCTTCCCTAAAAAAGTCTTTGTCTGGATGGCAGCAGATGTTGCTTCTAAACCTGTAGATATTGTTCAGCATTAATGGAGCTTTCACAGATGAGCCCATGCAGTGATTACCACTCCAGAGTCCTGTCTGTTTTTAATGCAGTGCTGCCTAAGGACATGAAGATCTGTCCCTTTGGTGCTCAGATTTCTCCAGATTCTCTATATTCCTAAACATGAAATTATTCGGAAACTGTTGAACTGTTAGCTCACGCAGTCTCTCACAGAGTGGTGAACCTCTTCCCATCTTTCCCTCTGAGAGACTCAGCCTCTCTCTGTCTGTCCTTTTCATACCCAGTCATGTGACTAACCGGTTAAAAATTAACTTCATTAGTTGGAGATGTTCCTCCAGCAACTTTTCACCTGTTTAGTTGTTTCTCTAATAACTTTTTTTATAAAACATGTTGCCGACACTGAATTTAAAATCAGCATAGATTCTTCAGTTTTATTGTCGGAATTGTCTCTGCGCCATCTTTAATTTATTATGGGCCTTAAATAATTTGCAAACATCACCTTTTACACAGCATCACGACTTTTGTGTAATTGAGGTTGTACATTATTCATACATTTATCTACTGCTGCAATAAAACAAGTTGCTACTTGTTTTAGGATTTGGACAGCAGGAATAATGTGTCTGTATTTTTAAATATATGGGGAGCAGTTAAATGAAAACTATGAGGCACATTTCAAGTTGGGACCTTTAAGATAGTTAAGATTTATTTCAAATACATCTGATTTGTTGTAATACAAGAGCAATAACTCACAGCATATGGGGGAGAGAGAAAAAAAGGAGGAGGGACGGAGGGAGGAGGAGAGACCTCCTGCTCCAGAAGTAATTCATCACACACACTGTGTTTAGACTGGAAACTGTTTCCATGTGAAATGGGCCTCTCCTAACGCAGCTCTTAAATGACACTGTTTAAAGCAACTAAAAATAACACTTAATGGAAGCAACATGCGAGCTTATTGACATACATGACTTACTGCAGCAGGAGATAATGTTTTAAATCTCTCGTGTTGTTTCTTGGCTGGGCTTTTTACTCTTTTTTGCTTGTTTTTGGCTAAAACTTCAAAGCAAACAAAGTTTTAAGATGAGACTAAAATACGAACCTCTTCAAACCCACAGGTAGTCAAAGATTCACAGCACGCCTCTGAGTCTGATGAGCACTTATTGCTGAGCTGCAGCCAAGATATAGTTTGCTTAAGCCAGAGTTGGATGTCTTTGAAATCCCTGAGTTTAAATATATTGGACGTCTTTGAAGCTGCCAAATATGCAGGGGGATTAAAGGCCCAGAGACTCTGGAGGGGTGAAAAGTTTCAAAGCAGGGAGAGGCTGAGAGGAGAAGGTTTTTAGCTCCAGGCTGTACCTGGAAACATCACTGACCTTTGACCCGTGGAAGCTCCTGCTCTTCTTTGGGTCGGGGAAGGTGGATGTGAGCGAGCTGTTGGGGAGGGTGGGCAGCTTCAGGTGCTGGCCAAACAGGGAAGTGGAGCCCTCCTGCATCACCATCACCTGCAGGACGAATAAAAAAATCAACCTTTAAGTGCATGATGTCCACTGGAGTGAAAAGATTTGTTCTCAGTCACAGAAAATAAACATGCATGAAAAATTTTACTGAAAACTGCATGAAAATATTCTTGACACCTTTTTAGTAAAGATAAAATCAACCTGTTTGGTTCTTAAATAACAGAGGGGTTCAACTTGTGTTTGGCGTTATGTAATGCAGCTTATCTGACAGGACACACGATCCTGTGGTCACACTTACAGTTGGGATGCACAGCAAACACAAGCATCACTTTCATCTGAAACTGTTGACCTGAGACTGACACAGTTCGATTTTTATTGGCACACGCAACAGCATAAACTGCAGAAGAACTAACTCAAACATGGCTCAAGAAAAAACAAAGATTAATGTGTTGCTGCAAATGTTCATCACACACCCAAACCCTCTGACTCTGCCTGTTTTTGCTGGAAAACTCTGTGGTCATTGAAGGGCGAGAAAGTGGCAGCCAGAATACACAAGAAAGGACAACACAGCTGCTTTAGAGCGTCAGAGACATGACTCTAAATCTTCCACCCAAGGACAAAGTGCTGGTGTCATGACATCAAAATAGTGATTTACAGAGGTGTCTGAGTCTTGCAGCCTGAAGGAAGTCTTACCTTTGAGTCCTCTGAGCTTCGTTTGTGAGGATCACGTTGCTGCAGAAGAGAGAGGAGATAAGAGAAAGACAACTTATCAAGATTTTGTCCACCTGCTCAGATGAAAGCTGAGTTTATCATCTGTAAGTCCTCAAATAAAAGCAGGGTCCTTCTTTTTGTTTTACTGTAAATGGCACCAGGCTTTTATATGAAGCTGGCTTGTATTAGAGGCAGGCTTTTATTTCAAAGTCCAGTGGTGTCAGAAAGTTATAACTGTTTAAATGTTGGCACAAAGTGAGGGTCTGGTTCACTTAATATGTGCTGATGAGCCAAAACTACATCCTGATGATGCACAAAGGGTTAAACACTCCACAAACTGCACTGTTAAGCAAATAGTGTCTCTGTGCACCAGTGAGGTTTTTAAACATGTAAGCGTCTTCTTTTGCATGATAGACAAATTATGTGCAAACATAAAAAACTGATTACAGCCATGACCCTTTGCTGCATGCCCCCCACCCCCATTCCCTATACTTCTGGTCTCTCTTCAGCTGTCCTTTATGATAATGGAGAAAATGCTCAAAAATAGTAAACTGTCACATTTGTCACATTTGTCATGAATCATCAGGATGAGAGTGCACAGTGCAGCTCTGTGCAGCAGAGCTCATCTCAGTCAGAATATAATGCAAAACCAGAGCAAACTGTGCAGAGATGGTCAGTGATGTAGCTCACTTCAAACCTGACGTCTTAAAAAAACATATGGCTCATGCATAATCATTGTGATCTTAATGCTGAGTGTTTTATGATCAAAATATGAATGTGCCTCGGCCAATATTTGGAAGTGAGCTGTATGCACATAAACAGAACCTAATCCCAGTCATTATAGGGGGCCCACTTGTTTATTAAATATGAATATTTATTTAAGGAATTATGGTATTTTAAAATGACAACATATGACCAAAACCTTGTAAAACAAAAATGAGAAAAATACAAGAAACACTGACTTATCTGGATTAAAAAAAGGGGAAATAAAATCAAAAAGAAGAGAAAAGACACTTTCATCATAAGCTTTAAATCTTTATGAATGTCCTCTTTTAAGTGGTAAAGGTGTGATAAAACATCTTTAAACAGAATTAAACTGACACCTTTAAACTGATTAAAAGACGGTAGAAAACAGAGTTTGGACGTGGTTTGTGTCAACACTCGAGGTTTTCTTTCCGAGACAGAGACGGGGTGCAGGCTAGAGTAAACAGACAGCACTTAGCTGAAGTCATAAAACCTGCAGACTGCAGGGGTCCGCTGGATGAGGGCCAACGCACTGACTGCACTGACAAAGAAGAAACGATCCTGAGCTGATTCAAAGGATTCACATCAGGGCTGAAGTGGATGTGTCTGAATCTGAGCTGCACTGATTGGATAATATGTTGACTCGTTTCTCTACATGACCCATTTTTGATCTGATCAGGATAATATTCAGGTTTTAGTGGTTTTCTGCCATACAGTAACTGCTGCAGTTGTAATCTGACTGGATGTGCACGTGGGTGTTATTGCACTACAGTTTGACCTGTGGCTGGAGCTCCACATCCATGTCTAGAGAATTTTGCTATCATTGATAGCAGATAGGTAAACTTTAAACACTTGATTACACAAATTAACTTGTGCATTTGGGTTTTGCACAAGTTGTGCTAATCAGCAAGGATCATTTAACAATTATGCTCAAACTACCAATCAGGGAAATTCTCTGCAGATACGAGAGTAACTGTTCAGTTGAATCACTTTTGGATCAAAATAAGTGACCTATTAGTTTGCAGGTGTTGCTGTGCATCTGTCCACAAAGGAGAGAGAATATGCACTGATACATTTCCGTCAAATTTAGGGTCAGTTTAAGTGTGGTGTAGGCTTGCAAAAACAGGTTTACACAAATAATCTGTCAGGCTACAAAAGTTCACATATCTTTAAAAGTTGCAGCGTCACATTCAAAAGTGTCACTCATTCCCTTCGTACAGCCCCTCCCTCTAACTCTCACCCCTCCGGCTTTCAGCAGCTTCCTACGAAACTCCTCTGTGGGGTTGTTGAAGGTGAGCTTCTCACAGCGCAGGTGATTGACAGGTGGGTGGCCCTCCAGGTGGAGGAACAGGTCGTAATCAAAGCGAACTTTCTTCGGTTCTTCCTGATGAAGAGGTGAAGATGCACCCAGAGGGGAGAGGGGGAGAACAGTCAGTGTATTGTGACAGCGTGGTGTTGGGTTCGCTGTGGAGTAAAACTGTTTAATGTAGTACCTTGTTTTTGAAGTAAACTTCAATAGGCAGGATGAAGCCTGCGTATCCAGACTCCTCCACTTTGTACGGGGGGTCCTTGCACACTGCAATGAAAGAGACGAGAGCGATTAAAGAGAGGCGGTCAACCTTCAGCACAAGGTGACTAACAGAGAATAAAGAGTTTAAATTCATTCACTTTAATAGAAGCAGCTCCTCTCATCCAATCACAGCAGAGCAGGCATCGGATGTTTTTGTGTTGATAAATGCAGGGACATTTCTTCAAACCATTAACACACTAAGCCCATCTTTGAGATTCTGCATACCAGCTCCTATTGGTTTGAGCGAAAACATCATTTTTCTTTGTGCTGAGAGGTTCCCTTCTTCATGCCTTCCGTTTAGTTTTACATACAGAGCAAAACAATGTCGTAACTCATGACATTTAAGCAAACGTAACAGTTTAATCCACTAGTTTTGTGAGACCGACAGATTTCCTGCAATTAACTCTGCGTGCTTCTGCAACATAGTGCTGGGCGATATGGCCTCAAATCAATATTACAATATATTGAGCAGTTCACCTCGATAACAATAGAAAACTACTGCACAAGCACATTAACTTGGTCTACTTCAGCTCCTCTCCAGCCGCTACACCTTTTTTTTTTCCCCACCTGTCTTTCCCTCTTTGTTACAGACTGGATGGGGTGGAGTCAAGTCTCCAACGTAGGACGGCTATGAGACCATAGCCTACCTACACACATCTAAAACCAACTTTTATTTATTTGACACCTAATACACCGAAATCGGCAAAATGACATCAGGTATTATCGTACATTTTGGTATCGGTAAGTTTTCGGTTCATCCCCCAGCCCTACTGCAACATCTAAAAAGCTTTTTTATCCCATAAAGAAGATCAGCATGTTTGCAGAGACTGTGTAGATGCAACTCCTCATAGGTGATCCCTCAGAGCTGACACCCTCCAGACAGTTAGTCCTTTAGTCGGTCAATTAGCTCTCATCCAACCAAAATCTCATAGGTTACTCTAACAGGGAAGAAAAGCTTTATTCATTATTTGCTTGGGTAGGAAGAAACCTGGTGCATACTGGAGGGAAAAAAAACATTTTTTCCTCAGTGGAGCTTGGTGGCTTTGTAAAAAATGTTTTACAGTCTGTTTATGCTTAAAAAAAAAACCCATCTTTCTCTCCAACAAAAAAGGCCAAGGTGATGACTCCTCCGCTCTATCATTCTCATGGGCCTTGAAAGACAAACAATCTCGACTCGAGCTCAGGTGTTCCTCCCCAAAGGTGTGTGTTTGTCAGACTCTCTCCCAGTGGAGGCTGCAGAAAAAGCACCAATTAAGTCAAAGGACTGAATGTAAGGATTGGAGCGGAAAGCTGGCCTTCATTCCGCACAATTTCATCTGATGTTGAACAACAAGACTGAAAGGAACAGGAGTTAAAATGAAACTGAAATCAGACAACTTCTTTCTGCTGATTCTGTACATAGTCCAGCAGTATATTTGAGGTAGGGAGACACACACTTGCATAATTTAACCGGAATGAGCCATCAGGAAAATGTTTAGTTAATTATTGTCTACTTTTTTCACTCAGAAACCACTTACAGCACAATGGACGGATGCAAAAACCGGTGAAAATAACACCTGCTCTGATATAATAATGACAAAGCCAAGTATCAGGGTCAGTGTGCGAATAGGACTGACACAATTTTAGACAAACTCAGTGCACAAAGATCTTAAAACTCTAATAAATACAGATGGTGCTGGTGTAGGCCTTAAGTTGTTAAAGTATGTTAAAGTATATTTCTTATGTTCAATAACCAAAACTTTTTGTACTTTACACATCAGTGAAAACTGAGGTTCTCTAAAAGCTTCATTCCTGCAACTTTGGCATAAAACAATCGTCACTTTTAGTTTAGGTTTTGCCTCTGTGTATATTACTCACTACAATTATGTGAAAATGTTTTCAAACATATAAAAGCTGCAAAAACTCATTTTCTATTCATGTCTGATAATACCTATTCAAATCAGGCAAAAATAAATCCTGAAATAAGCACCTTATGTTTCAACAAGAGAATCGTAAAAAACAAATGAAATCAAATCAGGGCTTTTATAAACTGAAACCATATCATAAGAAACTCGTCTGGGATTGGGACGGGACGGGATTTTTTCTCTGGGATTGGGACGGGACAGGAGTGAAAATCCGCTCCCGTGTCATGCTCTACTTTAAATAAGCCCCTACATCTACACATGAGTGGGCTCCCTTCCACCAAGGCCACTGTCCTGCACTGACAATTTTCTACGGAAGCATAGAGTGGACAAATTAGTGACTAACGTGGTTTTATATGAATAAGTGCCTGCAAGAAAATGCACAGGTTAGAAGACGGAGAAGTTGCAAAAGAATTTCTTTTTTTAGATGTTTTTGTGGGTCAAAACTTGTTCAAGGACAGATCATATTTATCACGCATCACAGGAGCTTTTTGTCCCTAAAGGCCACTGTAGCTTCACCTATGAGGGTGAGCAAGGGAGCGTTTCAAACTACAATCTGACTGCTTTATACTGGTAAATAAATGTATTTCTGCACCCTAGAGCTTTAAATTAAGGCCAAATAAACCATCATGGTTTAGGATTTGTAAGTTTTGGACATTCAGAGTTTCTCTGAAGGAGAGCCACGGCCACCCTCTAGCTCTGTCCCTTCTGGTGTAATAAATAATGTAATTTACAGGTAATTGCACCCCCTATTCCTGTCTTTATGTCTTATATAACCACAAATTTTACCTCTTAAATTAAAGCTTCAATGTAACTTCATTTTCCTGTTTGTGTTTAATCTAAATAGCAGCTAATATAGAGGTAAAAAAATGACTACATCCTGTATGACAGTAAATATATTAGAATAACTCCTAAAACTTATCTGGACTTTTCATGACATGCTAACCACGCTAGGACATTTTTATCTGCAAGGCTCCATATTTTTTTAATTTTAAGTTCTTATTAGTTCATTTTGTTCTTTAAAACTTTAACACCTTGTTTGATGAATTTAGTGTCCCGTAAGTAATTTCTAAACTCTTAATCTTTCTCTTTATCATCCATCTTTATAAAACACTTTGTAACTTTGATTTGAAAAACTGCTCCATGTAAAAGAGTTTTTACTGCATCCTTATTTGCTAAATTGGATCATTTGTATGACAGTAAATGGGTTAAACTCTTGACTGTATCAGTGTGTTAATTAAAAAGTTGCAGAAAAAGTAGAACTGAACAATCTGAAATTAAACAAAAAGGAGTTTCTAGAAACTCAGCTATAGCTGGTTATAAAATAATGTGAATGAGAGTAAAAAGCTGGACAAACATTATGAGTGAGCCCCTCAGTCTTGGCAGGTTTTGGGGGGTATTTTTGATGGTGGAAGTGGACCCAGTAGACTGCTGCAGAATCAAACTGGGAGCAGAAAGGAAACCTCAGAGGAAAGAAAAGCGTTCTGGCTTTCTAACTGCAAACCTGACAACCTGACCTCCAGTGAGCTCTTTGAAATCCCCCGAGTCTCTGCTGCTCTGACCGGCCTTTGGCACAAACTGAACCATCTCTGCACTCTCTTATTTCCTGTTGGGGCCCCGCCCCCTTCAGGGAGCAGCCGTGATTGATGGCTGGGCTGACGACGCTGAGGTCAACCTCACCGCTGGGGCCGAGCCATCGAAAACCCAAGACCACTGAGCAAATATTGTGGGTTAGAGTTAATTGTGCAGCAGGGTCAGGTTCAATTACAGCGGGCTAAAAGAGCCCATTCAGCAGCTCACCTTTAAATAAACCTTTAAATAAACCGAGGAGGAGAGCAAGATGAGCTGAACCTCCTGCCATGGAAAGATAAATTCACACTTCCAACATGTGTTGGAGTATTTTTCATGTTTGATGGGACGTCAGGATGAAATATTTCAATGCAGACACAAATACAGTCCAAACCCAAAGTACAGGTTTAGGAGCAACATCCGCTTCCATCCAGACAAAGACTTTTCAGGGAAGAACTGAACAATGACAAACCACATTCTGTCATCAGGGATTACAACAGCATGGCTCTGTAGTAGAAGAGTCCTGCTGAGAAACTGGTCTGTCTGTTGTCCTGCAGACCAAAAACAAGACAAAGGAGACCCTGAACTGTTGAGGAGCTGAAATCCTCTATCAGGGAAGAATTGGACAACACTTTCAGACTCCAGAACCTGGTCTGCTGGGTTCACTAAGGTTAACAGAGTGTTGGGAAAAGGAGCTGAGGACACAGGATGGAAAACATGAACCTGTTTCCACTTTATCCCAACTCTTATGTCTTGTTCAACTTCAACATTACAGTTTTACACGACTTTTTACAACATAGTTACAGTGGTTGTTTTCATTTCAGCAATAACACTTGAACTGCCTTGACATTGTCCCAGCTTTTTTTTCATGATAAGTACAACAAATGTGATCTTTCCCTCTCCACAGCTCTAAAATAACAGCTGTGGTTGTGGTTTAAATGCTGTATAAAGACACGAGACGAACCCAGCGAGCATGAAGGTTAAGTCTGAGCAGCATCTGGGCCAGGGTTCACCAGTTCAGGTTGAAAAGGTTAATATTATCTGAAGGAGCGTCTGCGAGCCACAGACGCACAAAGCGAGCACTGACCTGTGACGGAAAACTTGCCAGTGGTCTGTGAGGCGTTCAAAGAGGGACAGAGCTGCGTGGTTTATTAACACGGCCGCGGTTCAAACCCTCATGCCAATCACAGAACAATGCCAGTCACTCTGTATTTGCCTTTTCTACACAGACTGGTTTGTAATGAGGCCGGCCCGGCCACAGACCTGGGCGTAAAACAAAAGACAAGACTGGAAATAAGAAATTCTTCAGTCAGGCTTGTAGTTATGCTTCCACTGTTTTACTGTTAGTCCGTCGTCTTCCTAATGGAGCCATTCAGCTCAGCATCAGTTCGTCGGTAAATGCCAGCCGTTTAGGCGGCAGCTGAGCACATGTGCAAGGCGAGAGGAGGAAAAAAGCGTGGGAGTGTTCGCAAGAAACAAAGGCGAGCTCATGTTTCAGCTGGTTTTTAGACAAGATCCTAAAAACACACTTTTCTTGAACATGGACAGTTTATAAGTGCATATCATGTTTTCTTGTTAGCGCTAACTCACACAGTCTCATTTAATCACCTGCAACAAAAGGAGTACTGTCAGCATTTTACAACCCCAATCAAAAAGCTGTGTACATTGTCGAACAAAATTCAACATTTAAAAACAACTAAAACCAGTAAAAATACAACACACTATATCACAGAAATAAAACCCTGGATTTCTTGATGAAAGAAATGTATGCTTATTCTGTATTTGCAGACAAAACATGTTAAAAAGTTGAGACATTAAATGGCAAGTCAGGACTGCAGGCAGACCAGTTGATCAGCAGGACTCTTCTACTACAGAGCCATCCTGATGTGATCCCTTCTAGGGCCGGGTGATATGGCATCAAATCAATATCACAATATATTGAGCAGTTCACCTTGATAACAATAAATGGACGATAACTACTCCACAAGCTGCTCACCCCCTCCCACATTAACTTTGTCTACTTCAGCTGCCGCTCCAGCCGCTACAACCTTTGAACCGTCCTCCATCTTCTCACCTGTCTCTCCCTCTTTGTTATGGACTGGATGGGGTAGATTTACGTCTCTGTTGTAGGACATGAGACCATAGCCTACCCACACACATCCAAAACCAACTCTTATTTATTGATTTTTTTTACATTGAACTGACGGGCAAAATGATGTTGGTTATTGTCATAAATTTCGGTATTGGTAAAATTTCGGTTCATTTCCCAGCCCTACTGACCCCCTCCATAGTGCTGCCTATTTCTAATGCAGGGCTGCATAAACTTTTCATCAAAAAAAAAGTTTAGGCTATTTTCACACTGCAGGTCAATTCCGATTTTTTTAACCACATGTGACACATATCTACTTTTTTCATGTAAGTGTGAACAGTGCAATTCAGATTTTTTCAAATCCGACCCAGGCCTCTTTTGTATGTGGATATAAATAGGATATGTATCCGATGTGACTGCAGTGTGGACGCTCAGGTCATGTTCATCCAACCTACACGAATTGTGCGTCATAACCTGCAGTATGAACGTAGCCTTAGTTTCAGTGTTGGATATGTTGTCTTTGCGCTTTATTCAATTAAATGTAGGGTTTAAATGAGTTACACATTTCAGGTCTTAACTTTATTTGGAGTTGGAGGAGTTGTTTTTTTTAAATCAGGAAAAAGGACATAGCCTTTTAAAATTTGATAGACAATGTCAGTAATCCCTCCAAAAAACAATTGCACTCATATAAGCAACAGCAACGACCTTTTTATTGTAGACACAAATCTCTGAAACAGCCAATCAGAGAAAATCTAACACCAGTCGTAGGGTGCTACTCGTAGTCCTGGAGAAACCCACGATCATATGACGGTGTGGCGCTCTTAAAAACACTGAGCGTTCCTGATCTGAGCTTCTCTAACAATGGTGGGTGGTGATTAGCAGCTCAGTAGGGATGGCGTCTCTGGATGACTGAGCACAGTCCCTTAAAAACAACCTCACACTACAGTTTTCTCCCCAGTCCAGCAGGAACTCTGCTGACCCAAACGGCCTCACACTAATCAGCTGACAACAAGACCCCAGAACGCAAACGGGGTCAAGACTGGACCAACGAGATTAAAGACAAGAACCTGAGAAAAGTTTAAGCTGCAAGACGACTCAGTAGACCAAAGATCTAACAAGTGGTTAGTCTGGTGTAGTTTAAGTTTTGGAAACTGTTCCTCATCTCTGCTCATGTTTAGGGTCTTTATTCTTATTCATCTTTATAACACACCTGCAGAAAATAAAAAAGACAGGCATGAAAACAAAGACTACGCATGAACGTTGTCTACACATCCTTGACAGAAACCACACAGGTGTGAGGCCACGCCCACCTCAGGGGACTGAACACAGGTGGGAAGGTGCACCAGATGAGGGTGAGGGATGAGGATACTCCTGATTGTAAATCTCCAAACAAACACTATGCAGATGCTCAAACCTCCCTGAGGACTTTAGCGGTGTTTCAGAAAATCATCTGTAATGTGCACAGAGCAGTCATCTCATTAAACCGCTTTAGTAGTTACAAATTCACCATCTAGGCAAAAGAAGGTTCCGACTGGTGACTAACCAACACTGATCTACCTCCAACATCCAGTCACCCTCTAAATATCCAAGCACATCTTTTTTGATCTGTGCAGGAGAAATCCAGAGATGGACTTGAGTCCATCCCAGTTATGAGCTTATCCTGGTTTTGATCACATTCTAATTAGGACGTTTACATGCACACAGAGAATCCTGTTTATTCATACTCCTGTACATGTGATCGATACCCACTAAAACTGCTACAGCGTTCCTCTGCAGCGCCAGATCTTTCTGTATGGAAACATAAGATGCAGTCACCCTTGTTGATTTAAAATGGATATCAGATCTAACCATCTATTATTATTGATTTTAGGGGAGAAACAGCCTACGTTTAATCAGCCATGTAGGAGGGAGAGAGAAGCACTGCTCCAATTTTGTTATTATTTGTGTATTTAAGCGCGCTCTTTGCAGAAATTCTGTTGGCTGTTGCCAAAAAAATACTGGGAAGTAGGGCTGGGCGATAAACCGAAAATTTACTGATACCGAAATTTACAACAATAACCAATGTCATTTTGCCCATATCGGTATATTCGGTGTCAAAAAAATGAATAAATAAAAGTTGGTTTTGGATGTGTGTAGGTAGGCTATGGTCTCATGTCCCTTTTAAGATGCTGTTCTATGACAGAGACGTGACTCAACCCCATCCAGTCTGTAACAAAGAGAGAAAAACAGGTGAAGAGATGATGGACAGTTCAAAAGTTGTATCAGCTGGAGCGGTGGCTTAAGTAGACAAAGTTAATGTGGGAGGGGGTGAGCAGCTTGTGGAGTAGTTATCGTCCCTTTATCGTTATCAAGGTGAACTGCTCAATATATGGTGATACTGATTTGATGTCATATCGCCCAGCCCTACAGCGATCCCTGACTTATCTGACCCGTGCCTGTGCAGGTAGTCCCTAGCTGTCATATAAACCTGGAAAAGGTATGCAAATTTTGATTGATAACAGCTACTACCAACTTATCTGTGATTATTAACTACGAACCTTTGTCAATAAAATGCTGAATGATACCAGACACATTTTCACAAAGACAAAGATGACACTGCTAATAATTCCTGATGATTTGAAAAAGAAGAGGAGCAGAAGAATCACTGCAGTGAGCTGCCAACGATGAAGAATTTTTGATGGTTTTTGCAGATTAATCCCTTCAGTAACACCTCAATTTGATTTACTTGCTTCTGGCGCGTTTTAAGAATAAATCCAGCCGCTGTTTCTGCATGCTGCAGCAACAGCCGATATAAGCGTTGGCGAATAATTTCATTAATAGAAAGCGAGACTTTGGCTGCTTCAGCGGGGGAAATGTTGCAGCTCTGGTGTGTGGAGGTGCTGTAAATAAAAGACAAATGTTTTACAGCCGGGCTGAGTGAGAAAGGAGTGAAAGAGCTGCCAACAGACAGCCTGTATAAACCATGCTTCAATAAACCACTTCCTGCTACCTCCTTTCATTGACTGAAGCCAGGGAGAGCCAGCATTTACAGCTCAGTTCCTGTTATTTGGTGGCGGCTGCCCCGTCTATCTGCACCTCCTCCTCCTCCTCCTCCTCTTTTCATGCAGCAGCAGCAGCGGCAGTCTGCAGCTTTCATGGCTCTTGCTCTCTTTGTGTGCAGCGATACAAGTAGGTATGATTTCTGAGGATCGTAAAACAATTACTGGTGAATTTCCTGCAGCTCTTTGATTCCTGCCAGACACCGAAAGAGGAGGGTAAGGAGGAGAAGGAGGGGAAGGGGGTCTTCACACTCAGAGCGAGGATTTTTCCCAAAAAAATGCTGCTGCACACATTTCCCTTTTCCAAGTCCCATTTCATCTGCACTGACTCCAAAACTATCTTGAACTTGATCACAGATTTTAGACGAGTCAAATCTTCTCACCTATTTGTGCAAAACTGGATTCTTAGAGGAGATCTTACAGCATCTCTGCTGATCCTGAATCAGTATGCTGCTCACCAGTCCTTCCAGCTCAGACATGGAACAAACATCTCTGCTCAGGTGGATTCATTTTGATTTATGCATTTCAATTTTGATGAGCATTAAAAAACAATACTTCTCTATTCTGACTCTGTTGTGCATTCTCAGTGTTTGCTGTAGTCGTGGATATAACCTCAGTTACGCTTAAGTCCACCCCACACTCCCATCTCTGAATCTCACTTTAAATCGTAAAATGCTAAACCTGTTATTAAGACTTTAAAGTGGGACTGCACCATGTAAGAAAAACACGCAATGTGCAAATGCATGGTTCAGTTTTTGACCAAATTCATACGGTTTGTTTTGAGGGTTAATCTAGACTTCAAAACCAGGTCTGAGCCTTCAGCGTCATTTGCCGTTATGCTTCACAGTTCCCTGATCAGTGCCCTTCACCAGGATCTGCATGCCTTGCAAAATGCTGTGAAGCATTGCAAGAGGCTGTAAGCATATAAGAGAGGTGGTAAACAACTAAATATTGTTGTATTTACAAAATCAGCTCCAAAAGTAGAACTCTCCAAAGTGCTGGCATGCTGTAAAACCCACTCACTTTGTGAGACCGGCAAGTTTCAGGTGATAAACTCTGTGTGTTTCTGCACCATCCAGGAGCCTTTCCATCTCACATGGAAGATCACCGAGTTTTCAGGGAGTGTCTGGATCTAATCTCTAAAAAATACAGGTCATGTGTGATGATCTATGCTTCAACTTTAGTGATGTAGTCAGTGTGTCATCTTCGTTATGGTCTGTGGACCAGTCAGAGGCTGTATCTACAACCGGCAAACTTTTAAAGGTCCATGTAGAAACGAGACTTTCTTTTAAGAGAGCCATGAAGTTAATGAAACTTGTAATTTAATAGAATGCAACAGAAAACCTGTTCAGGTTGATTATTTTCCAGATAGAAAATCCAGGAACTGATGAGGAAATCAATCAAGACTTGGACTGATAGGCAGAATCTATAATGACGTAAGTATTCATTAAATCTTATCCATTTCCATCCCTATCTGTCAAGTTCTTGCAGCATTTCTGCAGATTCTGACTCAGCATGTTCCCGATGGACTGAACTAGTCCCCCGCCAAGAAATGGGACAATCATCCACTCAGGAGTGGCAGATTTTTTCAATCTTACATCGGTCACATTTTCTCTTAAAAGACATCAGACGTTTTCCAGGGCTAAGAAGGACCTGAAGTGTATTTCATTACCTCCCTGCTACCTTCACCATCTTTGCATCACCAGCCCCCGCATATTGATAAAATACTCCAAAAGAAACCCTAATTTGTGGAGCACCAAGACTGTAATCAATACTTCCAAGTGCTCTGCTCTGGAGCAGCAGCAGAGTAAAGAACTTCTTCAAGAACAGACCTGCTACATGCTGCAAAGTTGCCCGTAAGCTCAAGCGCCACTAGTATAAAACCCCTTCCTTAAATCAGATGATTTTGACACAAAGAGCAGCTTGATTTTTTTGTGCATCAGTTAGTTTAAACTCATGAATGTAATGCAAATGCTCATAGACTCAGTGATTGGTGGATTCCTGCTAAACAGTTGAAAATAAATCTTTTTAACGACAACAAAAGATCCTCAGCTAAAAACTTTCTACATTTTCTGTTTTGAACTCCTTTTACTGTCCTTCAACAAAAAAACATCAGCGAGGCAGAGCATAACATATAAAAAACAATATATATATATAAAAAAAAGAGCAAATAATGCTGTCTGAGCACTGCACGGGTACAACAAAAGGAGGACATTATTGCACATATTTGCACAGAAGAGAATAAATAAAATGGCAAATTTGCATAATGGCTGCAGCACTTGGATGAGAATTTTGTCTTTCAACTCATCCCTCCATTATTAGACTACATAATACATTCTATTATAAAAAACATTTCATGGCTTACAATACCACATATTATTTAGCATTATGAGTCTTTTATTAAAGTGGGGCTTAGATTGGAAATAAAAATACTTTTTAATCCCGAGTTGGCTGCATGATGAATGTTATTCTCATACTTGACGGTGCACCATGGGTGTTACTGTGGAAAAGCTCAGGAGGCCACAGTTGGAGTCGGCATCAATGTTACTAAACTGAAAATTCTGGTGGAGAAAACGACAGCAGCAACATGACAGCTAATGATCACCCAACATCTTCCTGTGTGCACAGACATCACTGTCCTGGACTTGTTTTTGTCAACTTGTAAAATACTAAGAGAGCTCATCTGTGGCTTGGTATGTTGACCAGCATGTTTGTTTCTATGCAGTGACACAGAAGCCGGGGATAATTGGTGACTTGGTTCATCTAATAATCGGCAGCAGCATTACCCTACGCTGCCCCCTCTGTTCATTTGTATGTTGCATTATGCAGCTACGCAGGATTAATTGTTGAGGGTATGCGCAGCCAATTAGACGTGTTCCGATACAACTTTTTGACTTCCGATACGATACCGATAATGTAGCCTTCAATACTGACAGATAACAATATTGATCCGATATTGGCAAAAAATTGTGCATGACAAGTTTTTCACTCAGCTGCAACGTCTTTTTCGAACTTAAACAAAAAATACTGCCACAAGGCCAAAATCACTCCTACTCCTTGCTACTTTGTTCGTACCTTAGTACACACTGTTGTTGTGATTTTGTGGGCTCTGCTTGCTGGATCTGGGAGCTGCTAGATAGAGGTGCTGGAGCGGAGTGTGGAATGGACTGCTTGTATCGGAGTGCTGATATCAGAGATTTTAGATGCAGGTCGATATAATCCGATATTTGTTTTTTTGCTGCTATTGGACCGATATCCAATATCAATATCGTATCGGGACATCCCTACAGCCAATGCTATGAACAGACACACTTACACTTAGTGTTGTTTTATAAGTTAAAAGTAGGTGTAATATAGAGTGACCATATTCTGAATCCCCAAGTAGAGGACACGACTACGCAGGGGTGGAGTCACGGAGTCGCACAAAGTTCATTTTGAGAGTTTTTAAGGTCGGATCGAGTGTCTTTTACGTGCCTCTAACTCAGTAAGTTCACATGACACAAACTCGAAACTTCGGCTCAAAACCAAAGACATTTGAAGGATTTTATAAACTCTCTCGGACAAGGCTGGACAACGCCAAACAGCCCCCAAAAGAGACAACATGTCCGGGTAAAAGAGGACGTATGGTCACCCTATGTAATGCATGAAAATCCCAGTGTAGATATGCTGTCCTGAACTTTTAACATCCATTCAATCGTGCATATTATCAGATTCTTCAGGATGTATATCTCTTGTCTGATTTTAATGGTGTTTAGTTGGGTAACCACTGTCTGCAAACTTGTCACAGCAGATTAAATTGATGCAAATATAAAATCACAAGAATGCCAACACAGGTTTGATGCCTGCAAGAGTCAAAACTTAAAACGGCCTCGCATGAACCCAAAAAAGTTTACAGTTTTATGAAGTATCAGGCAGCTGCAAAAAAAAGTTATAGCTAGAGTTTTTTCTCCTGTGCACATATGCTTCTAGGTGACTTCTATCTCTTGGGAGGCAAATTAATAAAATTGAAAAGTATTCCAGGATTGTTTTCACAGGCAGAAACCTGGGGAAGGATTCAATAATATTTCCCTAAATGAAGAAAAGCCAACGTCAGTTATTCACGAGACAAAAGAAGCCTCACACGCAGGGGATGCCTCCTTCATCCCCTGCAGAATATCAATTCATGTATCATCAGAGCTCACTTAGCAAAGCCACAGCAAAGAGAGGAGGAATGCAGCACAGATTTCAGCCCCGGGATCTGGATCTGATGTGTAGGTCACTGCGCTGACTTGACTTATGTGGTATGTGCACACAAGCCGCAAATTAAGCCTGAGCGGAGGACGAGGGGAGTTAAAAGGTTTCATGTGAGTGTTCCTCTGAGCGCAGGAGATGGCCAGAGGCTAACATGTTGGCCCAATCATTAAAGCATCAATCTACTAGCGTGTGTGTGTATTCGTGTGTGTGTGTGTGTGTGCGCACTGTAAGGGGCTTATACTGTCGCCAATCTGGCTAACAGAACAGAACGCTCTTTCTTTAAGGAAAGAAGATACTCTCCACCCTCAGCTATTGTTCCACAGTTTGGCTTCAGTCAGATTTTCTGTCCAGACTCCACAAGAGGAGTTAACTTTAAACTGTTCCTAAAGTGGAAATGTGGCTGATATAAATAGCTGCAGAAGTTTTCAATCACAACTAGCCTAATCAAAATAGGAAAAAAAACACACACACAGCTGTCAGAGGGACGGATAAGCTGCATGCAGACTGCAGTTGCTTGACAGTGCATGGTTAGCTGCATGCTTGGATGAATGATGTTTTAAATAGAGGAGCACCAGTTTCATTTTTCTCCAAGACTGAACTAATAAATATCCTGCAGAGGAGGCAGCAGTCAGACTCCTTTAATACATGTTTGGTAAACTGAACCAACCTGGCACAGACAGAATTTTATTAAAGGTAAAAGTCCTTCTTCAAAAATAACTGTATATATGTGGATGTAACTATGGAACTGGAGGAAAAAGCAAAGACCTCTGTAGCTTTCAAAGAGCAGAACTAGAAAACTTTCTTAATGAATAGATCTAAATCATCATTTCGGCTTCACTATTTCCTCATTAATGCCCTCGGTTGAGTTAATTCACTTTAAGAGCTTTGGCTTAATTTTGGTGATGATACTGATTTATACTGAATTAAATCTCAAAATTCACTGTATTCAAGTATTTGTACACTGAGTCACAAAAATTGAGGGATTTGAGCTCTTACATTTTATCACAAGCTGCAGATCAAACTAATCATTCAGGATTTTGTATTACAGAATAAGCTTGTATGAGGGCTGGATGATAAACTGAAAATTAACGGATACCGAAATTTACGACAATAACCAACGTCATTTTGCCCATATCTGTAGATTTGGTGTCAAAAAAATTGATAAATAAAAGTTGGTTTTGGATGTGTGTTGGTAGTATATGGTCTCATGTCCCTTTGAGACACTGTCCTACCTCAGAGACATGACTCCACCCCATCCAGTCCGAAAGAAAGAAGGAAAGACAGGTGAGGAGATGGAGGAAGGTTCAAAAGTTGTAGCGGCAGCTGAAGTAGACAAAGTTAATGTGGGAGGAGGTGAGCAGCTTGCGGAGTAGATATTGTCCATTTATCGTTATTGAAGTGAACTGCTTAATAGATCGTGGCCATATCGCCCAGCCCTAGCTTGTATGTTATTGATAATATTCCAATTATCTCACTTTTTTCTGTCCCTTTGCTTTTCATACACACATAGAGACATATATCTGCCTCCTGCTTCTCCTCCTCCTCCTCTTCTTCTTTCTCCACCTGGTGAAGCTTGTTCTCACCGGTCAGAGTGTCCAGTCCATGCTAACCTCCATTTACCACTGAAAGCTCCTCCTATAGACACCAGAGTATCAGAGCTTAACCACAAAGCAGCAAATGAAGGTGGTCGAGAGAAACAACCAGATCAAGGTGTTAACTTTGCTCTTACACCTTTAAACAACAGGTAGAAGATAGACAGTAGGTGAGGCTAAATTTATAATCAGGGTGTATCATCGTATGCGTTTGTCCTTAGCCGTTCGGTGTTTCAGCCTTTGAACAAATATGTACAGTAGAATTAACCTCATTCAGTCTAATTATATCCACTGGTTTCGTTTAATGTCTCTCATACTGTTTCTGCAGACAGGTGAAGTTAGATATTAACATACTGGCGGAGGCGGGGCTCTGTTGACGAGTATTTCTCTCTAAACATTCAGACAATTTGAAACAGCTGACTTGAAACAGTGTGTTGTGTCACTTGAGCCCTAACAGCGAATGTTGTTTCACATGTGCAGTCAGTCAGTGAGTAACATCGGCCCTGCAGCTGTCCAGGAATTATTTACCACCCTGTGTCAATCAATACAAGCTATAGTGGTCGAGAAATCATCAGCTCTCCTATATGAATGTGCAGAACATGCAGCCATCAAGACATAATCCACTACTTATAGAAGCAAACACACGTAGCATTCAAACAGGGAACACTGATGAAGCCAAGGTAGAGTCCAGGAATTAACCACCACCCCTCAGAAATGTAAAGCTCACCAGGGGATAGAAATGATCATTTTTGTAATTTTTGCACAAGCATCAGTCACCTATTGTCCCAAATCAATGATTACAAGCTGCAGTTTTCCAGGAGCAGTCCACAACCCCTGCAACTGAACTGTATGATAGGAAAAACTCATTTCAGCCAGGAAGTGTCCACTATCATGTGAAAAACAACATTACAACAACTGCAACCATCAAACTTTAAAGCAACAGTCCTATATAAAAACTATATAACCATCAGAGGCTTGTGTGAACGAATGCAAACAACTTCACAGGGATTTCTTGTTTTGCTATAACTTATAGCAAGCGGGCCCAACCAATTTATCGGCGAGCCAATTAAATCGGTTGGGCCCGCTTGTGACTTATCGGTAATCAGCCAAAACTCGCCGATTTTACAGGTAGTAGTAGTTGAAAACGCTTTTCTGGTCAGAGTTTGAGCCTACAGTCTATCTACAGTATACTGTAGATATATCTACAGTATATATAGAGTTTTTAGAACTTAAAAAAATAATTATTTTAAAAATCGGCCAATTCATTGGTAATCGGATTTTTTTCCCTCCTAATAATCGGTTTTGGCCCCAAAATATCCATATCGGTCGGGCCCTACTATAAACTGACAAAGTTGGTGTTTTGAGGGAGTTTCCTGCACACTCTCTACATATAAATCTAGTACTAGCCAGAGCTGCACAACTAGCCCAACTTAACTTCAAACAGTACGACCCTTGCATTAATACGTTTCACAGTCAGTTTCTACATGACAACAAATGATCCAAACTTACACAATTAAGTTTTCTATCACTCATTCTGACAAGGCAGGTAAGTGCTAATAATCAGTGTGCACTAATACCCTGGCAACCCCTAACGATGTGGAGTTGTGCCAGTCCAGTACAAAAGCCTGGACACGCCCCTGCAGAGCAGCACTGAGTTAAAAGTGGGATCTATGTATGGTCAGGCTGTCATGTTTGTGCAATAAAAGCTGCAGGAAAACATCTCTCTATTGATTTCTTAAAACTCCAACTTCTGTCCCAAAAGGTGACTCCCGTACTGGCAGGAGGAGGGCTAATGGTCAGCAGGTGTGTGATATGTGCAAGTGAAACCACACTCTGCACGCACAGCTCCTATTAGATGAAGTTTGAAGGAAATTCTTAGCACACTGAGAGACTCTGCTGCTTTATAGATTCAAAATAAACGTGGAAATAATGATAAAAAATGTATTTTTTATTTGACTGGTAGGATTTTTATGTTGTAGCATGAACATCACAACAACAAATAAAACAAACAGTGAGATGTTCAGACAGTTCACAGCTCTGCAAGTCTAGAAACACTGATAAATGATTCTATTAACAACAGTCTCTTTTTCCCTCTCCATCTCAGTGCAGCAGGTCGGTACTGACATGATCGTCCAAATAATCAGTGACTTTAGAAATTTAACCCCTTAGGTTACTGTTTTTGTTTTATTTCAGGTAAATTAATGTTATGACGGTTAAGTTATGTAAACCTACTCGGATCTTGTTGTTTAAGGCCACTACCTCCATACCCAGTGATCGAATCTGTGCACTGACTAGTCTGGATTTCTTTAAATAATCATTAATGAGAATCAATGTGAATAATAACATGGCTAAGTGCTATGTTTTGTTTAACCCGTTGCTTCCTGGTTGCTATTTTGCATGTAGAACAGAGATAGTATGAATGCAAGACGGCTCACCTCTCTGCAACTCAAGCTGTAGAAAATGATCGAACATTTACTCACAGGAAAAGCATTGATTTCTTACGACGTACAATCGACTATAAATTCATCCAGAGTTGATTTTTGTCATCGATTTTTGTCAACATCTCAACAACATTAATTTTTAATTGCACCCTGATATTCATGGAGCCTCACTGCTGTCCAGGAACTACCCACAGCCTTCTGCTTCAGCTTTGACACTGTCGGATGCAGGTTTTTTTCTTTTTTCTAACTGCAACATAAAACGGTTATCCGCTAAAGTTGAAAAAAAGAATCAAATATAGATGGAGACTTGGACTTTGATATTATGAGGACTAAATCTTAATGATTGTGGTTTGGTTTTGTGAATCTGTCCTCGATCAGAGAGCCAAACGAGCTGAAACCCCACCACAGCATGTTTTTTTTCCAGGACAAATCTTGGTTTGACGTGTTTTTTTTCTGCCCTAACAAAAAGCACTTTGGTGTTCAAACCTCAGAAAAAAAAGAAAAAAACCTCCATGTCTTTCTGGGTATCTTTTTTTCTGCACTGCACAGCCCACAAATCCCTAACTCTTTTCACCTCGCCTGCTCATTTCTTTCCCATTACACCGTCTTACATCTTTCCATAAAAGTGACAATCCTGTGAAATATCACAAACACCTCTGAAGAGATGCCATCTTCAGAGCCGATTCAATGGCAGCCGAGGCTCCAAATGAGGTGCTTAAGCAGCGTGAGCCGCTGCCGCCTATTGCCAAAATAACACCCCCTTCACTGGTTCCAAAGAGCTTCTTTTACCTCCGTTTGTTCAGACGCGCTGCCATTAGGCCGTCTCCATGGCGACGCCTCAACGCTGGCCCGTTAACCGCATGGCAATAATGAAGCACAGTGGCAGCTTTACTGACTGATTCGTCATTAATCTAAATGTGTGTCTGGCAGCTTCTCTGAGCGGCTCCACAAATCACTGAGTGTGTGGGAGGACGGCTCTGTGTTGTGACTGCTGCACCTTGTGTGTATGTGTGTGTGTGTGTGTGTGTGTGTGTGTGTGTGTGTGTGTGTGAGAGAGTGTGTGTGTGTGTGCATGTAAAATTTATATAAATGATGACACCTTGATATTAAGAGTTGAGTTTGGTACAATATAGAAATAACTGATGTGGGAAGCTTTATCAGCGTGCCATAGGATCCTACCTGTCGTCAGCATCTTTATAGGAGGAAATAAAACACGGCTGACAAAAACCCAAACAATAGACGCCCCTTTAATTTCATCTGCAAGTGAGCCGGGCGGCAGTGATGGATGTCAATGCAGTTTTAAAAGAGGATCCAGGTATCCTGAGCCTGAGTTCTGTAAGAATGACTTATAGATACTGAAAGTTTTGGAAGTGCTTCAGACGCAGAAAGTGAAACACGCTGTAATGACTGAGACATAATCCTTAGGGACGAGTTGCCTCATCAAAGTGCACTAAGTCCACTAAAACTTGTTTCATCTCTGACAGGCTCAGATTGATATTTGACTCAGACAACATCACAAAGAGTCCACATAGAAGAGAAAGATGCTTCTTTTTTTAACTAGAAACAAATGTTAGATCACTCTTTACTGAGACGACAAACCCTACGAACAAAACAAGAATTTTAACAAACAAAACAAAGGAGCTGCTTCTCAAGGCTGTCACTTTTTATCAGAAGTTTGAGTCTTTGTACAAACTTGGGGGCAAAAGAGTTCAAATTTAAGCTGCAATGAGCTGTTTGAATCAGAAATAAACAGTCTATTAGCGAATCACACTATCTGTATGATACAACAGAGGGATGTCTGGCGTAACCCGACTATTGAATGATACTCATAACCTTGGTTGAAAAAAAGGGGGATTTTCTACAAAAATGGAGGACGTTAAAAACATCTGAAAAGCAGGTAGCTTTAGCATTTTGAGTTCCACACCACAGATAGTGAAGTGAAAGTGAGAAATAGGGCTAAATGATGGCCATCAGACAAGGCAAGACCTAACTATTTCAAACACCAAAGTCCCACAGTGATTTATGGTGAGGAAACCTTAAACTTGTACTTTGAGTTGGCATTACAGTTTGTTCTTTGGCCAAAAACTGTACCAAACTTTTTAAAGATCTTTTATCCAGGACTTTGGTTTTTGCAACATAAAAACTACAGAGATGAAAAAAAAACAACTGTGCACGAACAAAGAACAAGAGACAGAAACAAAAATAAGGCTGCCAGTTTGTAGAGCTACTAAATGATGTTTAACATTTGCTAACACAGCAGTTACATCCCAGAAATCAGCAAGGGTAAAAAAGATAAAAGGTCAGACCCTCTTCAGATATTGCCCCTGTGAATGCAGGTTGATATGAAGCTGTGTCAAGAAAGGTCTCACTGACTCTCTACAATTTGCTTGTTTTGTTGTGTCTACAGAAACTATCCTCGCAATCCTCGAAAGTCGAGATGAGATGGCCAAGTCGTGGTTTGGTTGAAAGTTTCCTGACTTCTGTTAAACACTCAAAATTTGAGGTCCAGAGGTTGAATAATACAAGGCAAATACGGATGAGATATGTAAGTGAACCCTCAGCAGAGTGATACCTGTTGCATTCAGATGACTCTGATGGAAAAATGTGAAGTTTTGTTTCGTGGCTTCAGACTACACAAAGGTAGGGGACAGGTTCAGGGTGCTTATTCTGTCAAATACAGGGCTAATATTTATCTTTTATGAGGAAATATGCATTAGAAAAATCAACAGCATCAATGATAATGTGCTACCGGCATTATTTGTTGACTACCTGTTGACCTGCTCTCGGTCTAAGCGGCTGAAAAAAAGATATGGGTTAACTCTAAATGAGACCACAAAGAGGCTCAGGCTTAAAACTGTAAGCCCCACCTGAAACATGTGAAAATGAGTGTCAAAATCAGCCAAGCTAAAGGTGTATCTTGCAGTTTTTTTCAGCCCATAATGAAGAAATAGTTGGCATGTGTGGTTTTAGTTAAAAAGTGACTAAATACCTCCCTCTCTGGAGCATTTTTAACACGAGTTCTCCTCTCTGATGAATTCCACTTGGCTGTGTTTCAACTAGAAACACTGTGAAGTCCCAACAGATCAGAAAGCACTTTGGCTCACAATTTGTCACTGTGTAAAAACACGCAGACCCCAAAGACTTCACAGACTCTGCAAAGATTTCATGGCATGTGTCAGAGCTGGAGACTTATTGAAGGTTAAGTATTCTCCTGCTGGGCTTCTGGCCCAACTCTTAATGCCTCACGTCACATTCATCAGGACGCCACTGCAGTACAGAAGGTGCAAGGAGAGGGATGCAGTGTGCAGGAGCCAGATCTTATTTGGTTCTTTGTAATCAAAAGCCTTTTAGGAGAAATTTAAGCTCTAAGGGTTCAGTATCAGCAGATAGGAATTTGATTTATGGACGGCTCAGAGGCAGCAGGGGAAATAAATATAGTATAAGATTTCAAACTTGCTGTGTGCTCTCTTAGAACTTTTCAGAGCTTGAAATGCATCAGTGTCTGTCTGCATGTTATTCATCAATGTGATCAATGCAGTCGGTGCTTGATAAACTAGACTTAAAGGCCATCAGGTGTTTCCTGCAATAAAAAGCTATTAAGGTGGAAAGAAGGACAGGTAACTTTGCAGCAAAAACACACAAGTAGGCATACAACGGTACAAGAATGGTTGTTTCCCATCCACATAAGCCTGGAAATAAAATCCAGGGAATAGTGAAAGGGGACTAAAAAGTTTCTTTAGAATTTTTCTTTCTGGTTTTTCACTAAGTTGTAACAGTGAGATTGTGTTTCTGGTAAACTTTGAGAGCTTTACAAAAAGTTCTCAGGTCTTTAAAAAAAAGTTCCTGAGAGTGATCCCTAATTCCTTAAACATTCCAGGGTCCTTAAGAAAAGGGTTATTCAGCTCCACAAAAAAAAAAGTTCCTGGGGTCCTTAAAAAGTTATTCAACTCATTAAACATTAGTCTTCTCTTAAAAATTCAAAAGCCTCTTTAATGGTTCCACGGTCTCTTAATATGTTACTCTGAGCCTCCAGACAGGCTCCTTTGCTTTAAAAGTTCTTTACAATGTTCCCCCAAAATTCAAATGCTTCGCAAAAAGTTTGATCCTTAAAATGTTTTAAGATTCAAATATTCTCCTTGGATTGTCAAAACGTTAGTGAAGACTAAGTCTTCTCTTAGAAATTACACAGCCTCTTCAAAGGTTCCTTTGTCTCTTAATTTATGACCCTAAGCCTCAAGAGAGGACCCTTCATCTTAAAAGTTTCTCAGTGTTCCTTGATTTCACAATAGTTCCATAATCACCAAAAATCACTGCTACTCCTTAGATCTTTCAAAAGTCCCCTGGCCTGGTAATAGATTCCTGAGTTTCCTAAATATTTAAAGATACCCTTAAAAGGCTCCTGAACCTCTAAAAGTTTCTCTGAGATCCTAAAAAGTCCCTTCACTTGAAAAGTTCCTTTTCTATAACTAAAAGTTTAAAGGTGCTACAGTGTCAGTAGTTTCCCAATGAGGCTTATTTAATTCTAAAAGGTTCAGTTACCGCCAAGAGATTTAAAGTTCCTAAAAAATTTTGGAAGTATTTTTAAGGTTCCCAAGGCTCTTAAAAGGACTCTTAAACTCTCATAGGAGTTCCTAAACTTTCAGTAGACTGAGGCCCTGCTTAAAGGTTCTTGTAGCCCTTGTAAAAAGTTCTGGTGTTACTCTCTTGGCTATATACTAAGGCTGTCCTTGAAAAAAACTAATATGGCAGTATATCGACCTAAAGGTCCTTTCACACTGGGACCATTTTTTTCGCGTGATTATTTCGGATGTCAATATTTTTCTTCGAACCCGTATCCTGTCAATACAAGCGTTCACATCAGCGACGTTTTCCCGTTCTGCGATATTGCGGCATTTATTTTTTCGGTCAATTTTTCTACAGTTTCGCATACTGTGTGTCCACTTCTGACCAATCAGATTTCGTGTTGTTGCAATGTCTGATTCACTGGTATATCCAACATGGCCGACCGGCTGATTGTTTACGTGCCGGAGAACAGAGTGCTTTTTGATAAAAGACACAAACATTACAAAGATAATGACCTGAAGGACAACTTGTGGAGAGTCATAGTGTCGGATCTCTCATATGACGATAGTTTGTGTGCTTTAACAGTTTGCTAAACGTCTTTGTTTTAACTTTCATCTGTGCTAAGTAACTTTGGCTCGTAAGGTAACCTGTTCAGATACAACATACCATATGTATTTTCACTGTCTCAAACTCAATCCCGTTGCTGTCACAGCACCATTAGGTCTCGGTTGTTACCTTACGTTTATGAATTATAGTTTAATGTGCTTATCTGGTACTGGCCCCAACTCAGTGCTATCATGACAGACAGCCATCTCAACACTAGTGTCTAAACAGAACTGAAAAACAGTCAGTCTGGTGCTGTGTCAGTCTTCTCACTTCCACCTGAGTGGAAGATGTGTATAGTCAGGCGCGTCAAAATTCGCCTCTGAATATTTTGTAATTTCGCGTTATATATTTGCATGGGTTTCGGTGTGTAAAGACCTTAATACTGGATATTTTTGGAGGTTCTGAAACTTCTACAGGCTGACAAAGTCAAGTAGAACCACAATAAATTGTTGCATCAAAAAAGGCAATAGACATAACAGAAAGGTCTTAATAGGTCAGGTATAATGAACAGAATATGTCTCCGAACATTCAGAATCTCTCAAGGCCTGAATTTTTAGTGTTCACAGTCATGGGGTCTCTAAGGTTATGTATTATTAGCTATTAAAAACCACAAAGAAAAACAGTTGCGGTAAATTTCTACATGTAACTGATATAGGCACGTCATCATGGGAAAATAAAAGCCACCACACCTTAAAAATTAGGGGGTTTTCTTACGTGGCGCTCTATGGTATAACAACACGACCGCTGTATCACAATATCTAATGATATCAATGACATGTATCGCAACATGGTCTCTGTATCATGATATGTGGCTTCTGTATTGTGATATGTGAGCATTGGGGCCTCTATAGTAAAACCTTTGTGGCCCCTGTATTGTGACACATATTCCATCATAGCCTCTGTATCATGACATGTATCATATCCTAACTTCTGTATCATGACATGTACTGAATTAAATCCTCTGTATCATGACACATAGCATATTCCAAGTCTATTGTAAGTACCCTCTATGCTCTTATGGGCATTCAATTTTGGCACAAGTTGATATTAAGTTAAGCTTTACCTGCTAACTTCAGTCAAAGCCTTTAACATGACTAAGTTTGTTGTAACAACCTGTTGAGTTTTGAGTGCTAAATGTTTTGCCTATGACCAAAACTTATTGGAAAAAATACAATCAACAAGTTTTAAATGCTTTATGGGTTTATAAAGACACCCCAACAAACAAAACATAAAAATTACAGCTCTTTTTAACAGCTTATGAAACCAGAATGATTTAGCAGGTTCAACTGCAGTAATGACTGCTCTGCTGGAGGACAGATCTTGACAATGAAAGAAACTCAGGGACATAGTAAAAGCAGCTACATAATTGTTTTAAATTGGGTGACTGTGGTTGGTGATTAAAAGGGTTCTTGTCAGACAGAATAACCTGCAGACAAAGTGATGATAAAACTAAGTTAGCTGGAGTCTTAAGAGATTTATGGAAAAGACTGAATTTGTCACAAGCCTGGTATAAAGATGGAAGTCTAGCCAACATATTTAAATCAAATAAAAACAAAAAAGCACATGCAGGGAGATAATAATGGCAGTATAGTGTAGGCTGTATACTTAAGTGTTAAATGAATAACAACAAAAAAGCACTGCTGGACTGATGCCAAACATAAGTCACATAAAACAACCCCTGAACTCCCAAAGAGCTGGAGTAGGGTCAAAAACCTGAACCAGAGGAGATTTTAATTGATCTCTTCCTCTCCAGATGTTCCATTAGGACTGAACCTTAAACACCCGGGCACAAAGACCACAAAGACCACAAATTATGGCTTTGAAGGCTTCTGTATTTAAAAAGTGGGAAAGCATTAGAAAGAGCTGCACAGATTTGCAGCAGGCTTGATCCAGTGTCTCAAATGTGAAGCTAAACCGACCCCTTTTTCTGCAGGTTTTTTGGTTTCAGACTTTCAGGTTTGTTAGAAGGAAAAGGCCTGCAAGTAACTGCAACAATCACAAGTGTTATCTGTCACACCTCTAAAATTAAAAGCAACATCAGGTGTGATTCTGTTCTGCAGGGTGTCAAAGCAAAGCATCTGCAGGGAGTGACATTTAAAAGGAGCTCCCACACGCCATAAAACACATTTTGCTCCATTAAACGTTATTTCCAATTTTCCCTTCTGTCCTAAGAGGATTACAGAGAAACGACACACATCACTTGTTTTATTTGCGGCCATATAGTGCTTACTTTGCAACACTCCATTAAATGCACCACAGAAGCTAAACCCACTGACTTTCCTCCACAATCTGCATTCATTCATAGAGCAGATACTGAACAGAATGATGGTCACTTTTTCTGCCAGCATCCACACATGGTCGGATTCATGCATGCTGATAACACAATAACGCAAATAAAAAGCAGATCAGAGGAAATAGGGCCCCCAAAAGCATCAAAAATCACCAAAGTAGTAGGGGATCAGGTGTCGTACCTCTTTTTGGTTTAGGGAAGCTTTCGTGCAGGTGAAAAACTACTTTCTCCACAAAGTGCTGGATGTTGCTGTGCTCTGGTCCTCTCACAAACACCATCCAGTCGTGGGTGAAGCCTTCCACAGTGGGTTTCTTTCTGAACTGGGCTCGATGACCAAGTTCTAGTTTCACCTGAACAGCACCCTTTGCAAAACGAAAAAAAAAATGTGTAACTGATTAAATTCAAGAATATAAAATATAAAAAGATGAGTTTAAATAGTTTAATGTGCAACTTTTACTCAATTTTTAACGAAGGGGGCGTTAAATTTTCCTGTTCTCTGGGTGGAAAATTACAAACCAAATTCCATTTAAAAATCTGCTAATTTAATGAAACATTCCTTTTCGTCCAATCCACACACCTGCAGGAGCAAAATCAACGACTTTTTCAGTTTTAACTGAACCCAAGGAATATATCAGCAAGAACAGCTGTGTTCATGAATTCAAACTTTGAACATTCATCATCAAATTTTCCATGGAGTTATATTACGTGGCTGCTAAAACGCGCAATGAAAATGACAAGAGTCTCCCTAAAAAGAGTTGACGTTTTCCCGATTTTGAAGCTACTGTTCGCCGAACACTGTATAAAAATTACGCCGAATTTGGGAACAGACTGTAATTACTCTAATAAATACTGAATTAAAGGGGTTAAAGGCGACTCTAAAAGACTAGAGCAGAAAGCAACAAAAATGCCACGTTGTTAGGTTTAAATCTGAATTACAGCGCTCACGTAGGGATAGCGGCACGTATCGGCTCGTGCTAGCTCGGTTCGAAAATCCTCGTTACGGAGTAAAAACCTCTGACTCCTCCGGTGTGCCAAAACAGCAACAAAAAATGTCCAAATAGATACTCCAGTAGCCCGAAAAGGGCAGGAAATCCTCCCCCTCTTTTACTCACCGAGTTGGCCATCCTTTGGGCCCAGCGTTACTGTTATTTCATGGAGAATTAGTTTTAAATGAGAGTAGAGGTGAGTACAGTTTGCTTATGACGGCGGACATGGTCTCTACTGGTCTGCAGGCACACTCAAGACTTTCAAAGGCTCACCGGCGGTCAATTACCAGTGTTATCATATAGTGTTTCCGCTAAAGATTTACAAAATAAAATAAATACTGTTAAACATTAAAGCTCCTGTGGGGAATTTTTAGTCATTTAATCATCTGAGATTTTGTTGATGAATTAATGCACAATTTGATGAGAATACAGTGTTTTCGTTACATAAGGGTCCAAACTTGAGGACAGAAGTTATTTTTATTTATGAATTAGCAATTTTTCAACCACTTGTTGGTCTGAAAGAGGTAAAATTGAGACATATTGAGTGTAGAGAGGGCTAAGATCTGCATTTAGAGGTCCTGCAGGAGGTTTTCAGTTCATATAGATTTATGTGACCCTCATGGGCAAATTACATCTTGTCTCACATTTTGGTTTGCACATGCATCAGTTGTGTTTCCATGACAAAAAAGCTGTGTCTTTCCCACACATTCATCACCTTTAGTTCCTTTGTAAAGTGTCAGTACATACCTGTAGTTCACCCTATAAACAATGATATTGTATTGTAAATATGTTTAAACCAAGACCTCCAAAGGGTTGAGGTGAGGAAGATCACTATTTTTTATTTATGTTGATAATGTTAAGAGCAAAATACTGACCATGAATTTTTAGAAAATATCTTTAATAGTCAGCAATCATATCTCCCTGACCAGACTATATCAACAACGTTTTCTTAAAAAAAAGCTAAGTTGCTGTCAATTAAACCAGCAAAATAAGATGAATAAATTAAATAGATGAAGAATAAAGATATGACATAAAAAGTTAAAAGCTATCTTTCTACCACTGGCTTAATATCTGTATTATTAAAGAAAATGCAAATAAAGGTTTTGCCTTACAATCTACATGTGAACGCAGCATTCCCAAATTTCCTTTGACGTAGACCATGCTTTTATTTTGTAAGGCATTGACTCTGATTTCCGTTGCTTTTCTTCCCGAATTCTGTGAACCTAACGATGCTGAGCGATAGAGCGCACGCGCAGCTTGGTGTACCCGCTGTGGCCGCAGACGGAGCACGAGATGTTCAGAGCCAATTAGAGGACAGCAAATATACGGTCGTCCAATCAGGTGCTCGTAACGCTTCTGTAATTACGTTGCCTTTAAGTCCCAGGGGAAAACCGGCGAATGAAGCGTGTTTCAACAGTTAGGGGATGTTCAAGACCGGTAGGGCATTCAGACACTAACAAACCCACATGATTAATGTTAAGAAGAGGACGATAACCACGACTGCACAATCCAATCTTTTTCCAGATATTAAACATACACATTAGAAAGTTATTTTGAAGCAAACTCTAAGATTCTGTTTATCTTCACATTATTTATGATAACCTTTTTACTTAAAAAGAATATGTAGTTTTAGAACTGACTACTGTATCTCTAATTTTCTGTGTTAGTTCAGTGATAGTAATTAAATTATGTTTAAATTAGCTAAAATGGTGCAGTGCATCTTATCATAAAGTATAATTACGTAATTCCTTCGTAAAATAGTCTTCTTAGGCTGAAATCCTACTTTAGATGAGCAAAGAGCAACCTTAAAGGTGTTGTTAAAGTTTGAGTAAAAAAGTTCTGACATTGTGCAAAAATGATGTAATTATGAGGTTAAATTATGACGAGAGGAGATTAACAATATTAGGAAAAATATGAGTTATAACAATTAGAGGATACTCAAAGAAAAATGTATTTTTGGGCTATGTAAAAACATGAGAGGAGAATAAAAATACAATACTCCATTAAAAAGCGATAACATTACACAAAATTAACGTTGTTTATTATTACTAAAGTAAAGCCATGGTATTTAGTCCCACTTTGATGAGGAAAATTAAGCTTCGATAAATTGGTTTTAAAGCTCCTGTAACAGGTTTTAGTGGTCATGAAACTAAGAAAAAATAATAGTGATGCCTCATTACGACCTGCATAAATAAATGTGACAATCTGTTGAAAGGGTCATAAACCCTGACATTGTCATTTTAAACACCTTATTAGGGGGGGCAGTTTAAAGGTCCTAAGACACAGGGGCTGACGTGAATATAGAACACGAAATTACGAAATATTCTGAGGTGAATTTTGACGCGCCTGACTATACACATCCAGTCCGATGCGATTTTGCGACTTTCCGGGGGGGAAAAGACGCATCCCGGAGAAGACTTTTCCTGGGGAAAGTCCCACCTCCTTCGCCTCAGATTGGCTTGAAAAGCAGGAAACGTCATCACCTTCAAGCCAAACGGTCAGCACTTAAAGCCAATCAGAGGCAAGAAGATAAGCACATGAAACTATGGTAACAACCGTTAGCTTACATTAGCACAGATGAAAGTTAAAACAAAGGCGTTTAGCAAACTGTTAAAGCACACAAACTATCGTCATATGAGAGATCTGACACTATGTTGTCCTTCAGGTCATTATCTTTGTAATGTTTGTGTCTTTTATCAAAAAGCACTCTGTTCTCAGACACGTAAACAATCAGCCGGTTGGCCATGTTGGATATATTGGTCAGAAGTGGACACACAGTATGTGAAACTTTAGAAAAGTCAACCGTGATATGAAAAAATAAATGCCACAATATCGCAGGACGGAAAACGTCGGTGATGTGAACGCTTGTATTGACAGGATACGGGTTCGGAAAAAAATATTGCTGTCCGAAATAATCTCACGACAAAAACGGTCCCGGTGTGAAAGGACCTTTAGACATGAAGACTTACGATACTGGAAAGATAAGGCTTTTCAGAAAACATTCAGAGTGATGGATGTTGGTGGTAGTGAATGCCACTGTAAATCATAAAGATGTTTCAGTATTGAATTCAGTCTGTTTCATAACTATCCTAAAAAACCTTCACAGGAGCTTTAAGTTGATGTGCAGACGGCTGTAGTTCCTCTTTTTGCGATAAAAACATGCCAGTTCAAAGGAGGAAAAGGGGCTATAGGTGTATAATCTGTTTTAGAAAAGCCTATTATTTATTATATTATTTTAAAAAATAGGCTATTATATCCGCTTTTTGAACCTTCTCCATGAAATGAACACAGTGGTTGACTATTTCAGCAATAACCGGTGTACAGTACAAAGAAAAAGTGATTGTTGCCTTTGACAGCTCGATTTCGACATGTTTGATCCTCCGTCCACGCCGTAGTCCCATGCTGGTCTAGAGGAGGCTGGATGAATGAGGTAAAGTTTGGAAAGCAGCGCGTATAACGTGCAGTTTTCTACCTTTAAGATGGTAGGACAGTATTTTTTTCGTTTTGAGCCAGACATAATGTAATAAAATCTATTTTATTGCCACTCGTACATCTCTGCTGATCAGCATTAGCTGTGATGTTGATAACGGTCTGTGTTTCATAGATACTTTTAGCCGCCGCAGCTAACCAAGTTAGACCACTCGGTTGAGTTTGTAACAAATTGAAAGTAGATGTGGATTATGCGGTGTGAGATCCAACGACATGTTTATCTTTTAGTAGTTACGTGGCAGCTCTTTAGTACGACACGTATGCAGGGTTCAGAATCACAACTAGCTGGGGAGAAGGTGACGAAGCGAAAGAACCTCATTTGAAAAACGGCCAACTTAATATTTATACAGTCATTTCAGACATATGGCGTTTTGGAGAATGACTTGATGTTAATTTATTATAAAAGGTGAAAGTATATTTCAAATCGGCATAGGTATAATCTAACAAAACGTACTAATTTAATAACGAAACAAAGTAAATGCACCCTCATCTTATTCGATTATGTGACATCCCGATCAGTTCAATGATGTTCCTCACAGCTCTTCGATTTACACTCAGATATATTTGAAATTAAGGGATAACGTTGTCACATTTTAAAGTTAAGTTTTTCATCAGAGAGATAATCAGCGTCAGCATCACCATTTGCTTGAGATCACTCGACGAAATGAAGAAACCCCGTTTGAAAATTGTCCAACTTTATACTTACTTACGTCTTATAGAAAGATTACTGAGGACAAATTATAGCTTAAAGTATTTTTTTGATAAATTAGACAGCATGCTTTAATTTGGCATACATATAAACTACCAAATTCCAAGATTGATAAAATAACATGAAAATATCTGAGATACCTTTGTCTTGCTTGTTTATGTGACACCACTGTTAGCACGTTACTGTCACTCATGGCTTTTCTAGAGAATGACACTTTTTAATGATACCTTCAGCAGGACAAACTCATCTTTGTTATTATTGTTTAGTTACATATAATCATAATTATTTTCAAGAGGTTTGGGATAGCAGGGTCTGCTCAAGGGTTTCATTTGTGTTATGATGCTCCAAATATTTTTAATGTGTGACAAGTCAGGACTGCAGGCAGGTCAGTTTATCAGCATCTTCTACTACAGAGTCATGCTGTTGTAATCCCTGTTGTCAGAATGTGGTTCGTCATTGTTTTGTTGAAATATGAAGGTCTTCCCTAAAAAAGTCATTGTCTGGATGGCAGCAGATGTTCCTCCTAAACTTGTAAATATTGTTCAGCATTAATGGAGCCTTCACAGATGTGGAAAATACCCATGAAATGGACTCTGGTGATCCTCATAACATCAAGGAGGCTGGACTTGGACTTGGAGCTGATAATTAGACATTTAGTCCCTGTCCTTACTTTTTGAGCAGTGTTCAAGATTTCGAGAACAAATGCAAAGATTTGATTTGAAAGATGAGATGGCAGTTTTCCTCTTCCCCTCATTCAAACTTAATGGGCTTAGATCCAGAGAAGTCTCTGGTGTTTCTTGATCCTGTTTCTATCCGGTTTCCTCTTTGCATGGTTCAGTTTTAACCTCACTTGTGGATGCAGTGATGAGATGTGTTCACAGACAATGTTTTTGGGGGTGATTTTGAGCGCATGCAGTGATTTCTACTTCAGAGTTCTGTCTGTTTTTAATGCTGTACTGTCAAGGGCCTGAAAATAGCATTACACAACCCGTTCGGTTGTCTCTCTATAACAACTTTTTACCTGTTTCGTTGTTTTTCTTAGAACATTTTTAGAAACATTTTGCTGCCCCACAATTTAAAATGAGCCGAAGTTTTTATAAAATAAATAATTTACCAACAACTTACATTGACAACAACTGAAAATAAGATAAACAGGTAACAATTTGTGCTCTTATGATTTCAGTCCTTTCAATATGTTCATGAAACAGTGCATGTTGTACTGTTTTAAGAGCCTTAAAAACCCCACGTGTGTGTCCAGCATGTGTGTGTCGAGTGTGTGTGTGTGTGTGTGTGCTTCCTGCAGCAGCAGCAGCGAGTGTCACACAGTAAAGCCTCAGCGGTGTCATTTCTAAAGTACTGTCGGCTCAACACTGTTCATGCATTGTCCTCTCTTCTATTGCTAATGCAGAGCTAGCAGTACAGGCAGGCTCATATTGTGTTGCTGTAAGGTAAATATGCTGCAGAAAAGACTGGAACACTTTGGTCCACTGACAGTTTTTAAAGTTAGAAGAAGCTAGAGGATTTCAGATAAAGAAAAAAGTAAACATGAGGCTTTTTTTCATGTCATTTAAACACAACCTTGAACAGCTCACATGTTCGTCAAACTTCTCCAAGACTCTTAATCCAAGTGTACTCAGAAGTTTAAGGTTGATTTACAGCCGAACCGTCTCTGATTAAGTTTGAATAAAGAGTAAAAAGAGCTCGATCTGGACTGTGGAGAAAGTTTGTGGTGTAGCAGGTGTTGCTGGCTTACCTGTCCATGTGGAGCTGACAGCACTGGGAGCCCATGCAGAGCAAGCAGCAGCAGCAGGGTGGATAACAGTACAGAAAAGCAGGCAGCTTATCAGAGAGATAACAGCAGGGGGGAGGAGGGGATCTGTGTTTGGGGAGGGGGTGATGGGGTGAGGCTACAAGGATCTTGTTCCCTGTTTGACATATTGAAAGGACAGATCAGTTTACAGATGAACAGGAAGAAACTGAAATATTTGAACTCAGTCAAACTTTATTTGCTGTTCTTGTCTCGATCATAGATGTTTGATTAACTGATGAATCGGCTGCTGCAGGTGAAAAGAAAAGTACTTTTAGCTTTGAACTCTGGTTACCTGCTGTCTTCTTCATAATCTTTATTTAAGTCATCATCATTTTCTTCTTCAGTTGTTTATAAATCACTTTTAAATTTAGTTGTCTTTCTCTGTCGAATAGCAGATAATGTCCTGTTTTCCTGTTTGAAATAAGCTGCTGATATGATATGTAAAGTTTTTCTCGTCCTCAAAGTTGTCGACTAGATTTTTCTTTTTCAGTTCAGTCCTTGCAACTCAAAGCTAATGAGTTATCCTTCTCATTTTTTCTCTGTCATCACCTTTGTCATCTTTTTTTGTCCTCTTTTCTCTTGTCTTTGTCTGAAACCATCCTTTCAGAGCTCCTGACTTTCATGTCTTCACCTCCGTGGAGTTCAGACCTCAGACAGCTGGTCTCCAGCATCTGTGTGGCACACTCTCAGGTGTAAAGAGAGACCACCTGAGCTGGTCCACTTGTCTGCTCAGCAGGCTGTGACTCAGTCAGTGGGCTGGTACGTGGATGTCTGCTGAATAATTGAAGCTGAAATAATGTTGTGGCTGCAGGCCAATAATCTGATAACACAGAGCAGGGATCAGTTTCAAAGGATTAGAGTCGAAAAACCTCTGAGCTGGGCTGCTGCTGCTGCAGGTATGTTTGCTCTGTTACAGGTGCGCAGCAACAGGTGGCTGCGTCGCTCAGGGTTTGGTTTCAAAGATCTGCTGATGTGTGGTAATCTAGAGTTTTGAAAGTACTGTACAAAGTTTCTTCAAGGTTTGTGCAATTTTATTGATACTAATTCTGCTTTTTAATACAAGTATCTATCAATCTCCTGATTAAATCCTGTGGATTTTCCATGCAGACAAAAATTTGTCTTATTCAGGTTTTCTGTGTCAAATCTTATCCTGAGATTGATCACCTTCAATACTCTGCTAAAATGGGGAACCTGGCTCCTGACTGAGCCTTTACAGGTCCCCTTATCGCAGATACAGCCTCTGATTGGTCAACAGTCCAAACAAAGATGGCAGCCTCCATCAAGTAAAGTCAGCCGACAACAGTAATGACACTTTTGCTAAAGTTAACCCTCGAATCAACAAGATTAGCGTCATTGATAAGTGATTGAATTTGGACAGTCTCTGAAAATACACAGATCTTCTCTGTGGGGTAGAAAAGCTTCCGATTATTCAAAAAAAAAAAAAAGAAAACTGTCGGTCTCACGAAGCAAGTGGATTTTACATTATCTCTGTATGTTGTCTGCTTGTATTGATTTCATAAATGTAATAATATTTGGTTTTACTCCAGCTGTTTGGACTGCTTTTGTCTTCTACCCACCATGATTACTTCCCTGGTTGTTTGTGCCATTGTTTGTGTAACTAACGAAATGGAAGGTATAAATCAGAGGACCTTTAAAGCTTCATAACAAATGGCGCTAACAAATCAAGCTAGTTGGAACCAGTTCTGATCTAAAACTGGTTTTAATTTCCATCCCTGCCGTTCTGATTGGGTTATTCTTTTCTCGTGCTGTTAGAAAAATAGGAACTGTCAGTATTTTAATTAAAAGTGTCTTTTCAGGTGTGACCAGCAGACATGGCGGAGAGTCTGCAGATACGGTTTGATTTCCACAGCCCCGTCATACAAGCTCAGGTCAGTTCCTGGCTCATAAGCTTCCCTCCAGTTCCTAATCCTAGTTTGGGGTACTGTTGACTGAGTAGAGCTGGGCGATAAACAGAAAATTTAACCTATACCAAAATTTACAACAATAACCAATGTCATTTTGCCCATATCGGTTTATTCTGCGTTAAAAAATAATTAAATAAAAGTTGGTTTTAGATGTGTCTATGTACGCTATGGTCGTATGTCCCTATAAGACGCTGTCTATGTCAGAGACGTGACTCCACCTCATCCAGTCTGTAATAAAGAGGGAAAGACAGGTGAGGAGATGGAGGACGGTTCAAAAGTTGTAGCGGCTGGAGTAGCAGCTGAAGTAAACAAAGTTAACGTGGGAGGGGGTGAGCAGCTTGTGGAGTAGTTACTGTCCATTTATTGTAATCGAGGTGAACTGCTCAATATGTCGTGATATTGATTAGAGGCCATATCACCCAGCCCTATTACTGAGTATTAGCTCTTTATAATGAACTTAATACATAACTCAGTGTCCTCTTTTAAAACTTTTCTGAAGTCTTTTTTTTATATTGTTTTTCTAAAAGTTTCCCTTTTGTCTTTCCCAGACGGTGAGAAATCTTGTTGCTGCTGTGCTGAAGGAGAAAGGATCAAACAGGCAGATCTCACAGTCCTCCACACAGGTGGGTCACGCATGGAAGTACTTAGTCTGAGTGAACGCGCCTGTTATAGGACAACTGAACCTGCTGAGGTGCCTCATCCAGGTGTGACTCAGCTGATGCAGTGAATATGATGTTTGAGATAGAGATAGTCTGCCAGACTGAATAAACTAGTCAGAACAGCCCTTTTTAGAAACTTCTCAGTGCATGATGAGAACTGAGTCTATATTGGTGCTAAACAAACAAAACTCCAGACTTACAAAAGAGAGAAGAGATCTGACTCTCACAGGGCTGTGAAATTGATTTCTTTTCATTCAAAGCACAAAAAAGTGATGCCAGTGTGAAACCTGCAGACTTTAAAGCTGAACTGACTTTATTGGAGAAAACCAGTGACTCATGGAACAAAAACAAAACCATCTTCTAAAGTGTCACGTTAAATCTCAATCTCTACCTAGATCTTAAGTTGTGTTGTTGTTGTGTATCAGGGTCCAGCGTTGGAGGTTCTGTGGCAGCAGTGCTGCTCTGACTCTGCTCTAGTGCGTTCGGCCTGCTGTGATGCCGTGGTGCTGCTCGTGGATCAGGGCCATGCTGACCTGCAGCACATCCTCAACAGTGTCCTCAACCTGCTGCCTTCAGCCAGGTACTGTTTGGTTGTTTCTCTATAAGAGCTTTTTACCTGTTTGGTTGTTTCCCTACAGCAACTTTTTACCTGTTTGGTTGATCCCCTATAAGAACTTTTTACCTGTTTGGTTGTTCCCTTACAGCAACTTTTATCTGTTTGGTTGTTCCTCTAAGAACTTTTTACATGTTTGGTTATTCCTCTAAGAACTTTGTAAACATGTTACTGGCATCAAACTTAAAATGAACATGGATGTTTCATACCATGATGAAATTTTTCTGGTTTGTTTACATTTGAATTGATTTCTTGCACTTTTTTAAAATGAACATAGGCTTCATGTAATTTACTTACTGTTAAATTCTTATAAATCAACATTTTTGGACCAGGAGAATTAAACATTAGTGGTATTAGTATATAATCATACATATAAATATCTCAATTTTTCAACGGTAATATATCAACATGTACACAACAACTATAATTAATACAAATGTATACATCTTTTTTTAATATCTTTTTTAAGTTTTTTCATTCTTTAATTTCTCTTCTGTATTTATCACTGCTGTAAATTTTGGAATTTCCCCTTGTGGGACAAATAAAGGAACATCCTATCTTATCTTAGTCTTAGTTGTTCCTAATTGTGGTTCTAAATGCACACCAAAAGTTTTTAAACAGCCCCTGTTGATTTCTTTAGAAGTTATCTTCAGTAAAATAAGAAACGACCTGCAGTTATTCTTCAGGAACGGAGCAGTCAGATGCTGCGTCATTCATTCACACTGAGTGAATGAAGACCAGCACAGACACATGGTGTGGCAGAGGCGGGGCGTGTTGTGTCGGTCACCTTCATACAGACACATAATTCAATGTTTAGTAATAGGACACTGGCACCCTGTCCTTGTCCTCTCTGCTGACTTGGATCCATTAATTCTTTTCGGAGGAAAAGGAGCCGGTCTAACAAGACGGTGACCTTTTCCGCTCGCCGTCCTATGACTCATGAGGAAAACGGAAAACACTGAGTCAGCATTTTCGGCGACCTTTCTGGAAAAGATTAGAGTGACGAAAATAACTGGCCGATGTTTTGACACGAACAATAGATTAAGTGACAAGGCGTAATGTGAAAAGAGTCCACAGAGATCCATCATAGCCGTGAGAATCGACGAAACTCTGAAGAGGATTTTGAGTCATTGTTCTGGTCCCATAGACCAAGATAATCTGTTTCAGGATTTATGTTCCATGTTGTGTTCAAACCCTTTTTTTCTGCCTACATGTAGCCCCCCAAATTTGTCATACACATCTGCAAATTTAAATTTAAAAGCGGCAAAATACGACTAGAGCTGGGTCCGATTTAAAGGTTTTTGATGCTTGATTGCATGTTTTTGACTTTGAGGTACATATAAAACCTGGAAAGAGAAACAGATCTTTAAAAAATTGACACAACTCTACACTTGAGATGTACTATGATTGTTTCTTTACATGCACCTTGTTTTATTTTAACTTGTTTTTGGAGCAGGAACTTCCAGGGGCTGGTTAAGGTGGTTGGACGGCTCCTACAGATGCAGGCAGACCAGAGAGACAGAGGAACAGTTTTCACCTGCCCATACTCTATCAGGTCAGACATACCTTATAATGAATTTTCTGTTGTTGTCTGCTGTAAAAAGAGGTATTCCAACAAGGGTACCTCACGATTCAATTTGATTATGGGAGCTTTGATTCTTCGATTATAATGATTGTTGATTTGATTTGATTATTGGTGCCATGATTCTTCAATTATTGCCATTTTTAATACTTTTTTCCATAAAGAGATTGATTTTGTCTTCTTTGTCTGTGGCTACATTTGTAAATAAATAGCCTATCAATTAACTCAGTTCCTCAAAAAACTGGGAAGCTCAGCGACAATCTCCAGGATGGTCTTCTGTGTGACGGACACGACCAGAGGAGCCGTCTCTGTTTCAGGATGAAAGCGTACAAGGTGCTGCTTCATGTTTTTGGTGTTGCCCAGGTACTTTATTTTTGCTTTGCAAATCTTGTAAATTGCGTAGGTCTTGTCAGTCGTCTTGTTTGCTCTCTCATAAAATTCAAAGTACTTCCACACGGTTGCAGTCAACCCCTATGGTGAGAGAATTGGCTGCTCTTTGGAGGCTGCTGAAGCTGTTGCCATTTTGCAAAGAAACTAACATGCTCTGCTTGTTTTGGTCCCACTCACTAAACAGTTTGGCGGCGCGCGCGTTAAGGTTCCAGTTACGCGTTTTTTCGTTCCGGCCTTGCGGCAAAACATCGACATTATTATCTATTTATTTATTTTTTAAGCATCGACTTGGGAGTGGGAGCAATGAATTGATGCCAAATCGTCACGTGAAGCATCATGATGCATTGACACATTGATGAATTGCATGAATTGCAAGTCATTAAGACCCCAACATGCCAAAAATAGGGGTCAGGTTTACAGCAAGATACCCTTAATTTGAAAAGGATTGCAAAGGTTCAAAATAGGCTGAATAACAGTGACATTGACTCATGATGATGTTCCTGGTTATCATTTCTCTGTACCTGAGCAGGAAACTCAGACTCAATAAGCATAGTGTAAAAGACTAAAACCACATGAGAAAGGAGCCGGTGTTACGGTCTGGACCTTCCCTGATCCTGCTGGGGCCTGAAGTGGCTCAGAGTCTCTGCAGCAGATTGCAGCGGGCCGCGGTGAGCAGACGGTCAACAATGGGCACCAGTGTGCATCCTCCATTAATCCCGCTGCATTTACAGTTACCCAGCGGTGCCAGGGCCCGGCAACCAATGACAGGCCATTCCTGCCAGGCCAACGGCGCCACCCTGCTGCCCTCGACACATTCATCTTCACACCGGGGAGGTTTAATACTGCCAGACAGACGCAGACAGAAGAGACAGGGATGAAGACAAGAAAGAGAGAGACAATGGGAAGCAAAGAGGAGAGGAAAGAGTGAACGAGAAAACAAAAAAGAAGGAGTATGAGAATTAAAGAGAGAAGAAAGGGAAGGAAACATGATGGGGAAAAAGAAAGAAGTAGTTTAGTGTTTTTATCACCTGCTGTAACTGATCAAGGAGGCCTCATGATGTTGGCAGAGGGGCAGAAAGAGAGAGAGAGGGGACGATCAAACAGGAGGGCAGGACTACATTATATCTGCTCCAGGATATTTAAACACTCATCGTTTCATCTGTGGTGTCAAAGAAGACAGAACAGAGTTTCCAGGAGTTCATTTGAGACTTTTTGAAAGTTATCAAGATTAAAAATATTTAGCTGCTCCTAAACAAAGCTCCTTTTATTAATTTTATTTATATATTTCATTGTGTAAAGGACCAAAAGATAGAAATAAACCTTTAACATACCTGAAGTTCATATTGTTCACCTCCACTTGGTTTTGAGCATCCTCTAAAAAGAGTCTCAGTGTTATCGTATCAAAGTTTATTGTACAGTACCTTGTTGTGTTTTATGCTACGGCATGGATTGGGATCATATTTTAAGCAGAAATAGGGTTCATGTTTGAAACAGGTATTTTCCTCTCTAGAAAGAGGACTGTTGGTGAAGATTTGTGGATTTTTTTATGACCTTTGTCCGCTGTCCCGCTCCCAGGTAGTAAATCAGGTATAAGCCATAAAACCAGACTTCCACTGGAGGGTTGGTGCTTCCTTTAGACCTCTCAGGAAGCCGTGGACGGATCCTACCTGAGCCCATCTGTCTGCCAGCACTCCGAGTCAGCTGTGAACTTGCAGTTGAACTAAAAGGAGGAAGATCGCCGCTTGTCTTCCTGCTTCTTTCTTTGTGTGGCTGCTGAGAGTCTGGCTGATGGATGGGGGCTGAATTAAAGGAGGGACGGTTGTGTGAAACCTGAGGAGGGGGGCAGAGATGGTCAGACAGATTAGAGCCTGAGGAAGAATGAGGAGGAGGAGGAGGAGGAGGGACAGTCCAGGTCTGAGTGTCACTGTGGGCTTTCACAGGATCAGACCTGCTCAGTCGATGGCCTCCCATCCTCCGCTTATATTCATGCTGATTGATGGTCGGATCAGTCAAGTGGACCTAATGGTGAACCATGTTATGTTAACCTTTTGACCTGTCTGTGGGCTCAATCTTCACAATATCTGGAGACTTCACCTTGGATTTGACCTCAGTGTTTTGTCTGGACTTAAATGGTTTCGAATTCAGGACTAATTAAAGGTGTCTGTCATTAAATGAACTCTGGGTTCAACACTTACTTTGAAGAGTCAGGTATATTGTTGACAGTAGCTTTTTTAAAACCATCACATAGAGCTGGGCGATACGGCCCCATATCAATATATTGAATAGTTTACCTTGATAACGATAAATGTACAATAACTACTCCATAAGCTGCTCATTCCCTCCCACATTAACAGGGATATTAACATTAACATCTTAACGGGACATGAGACCATAGCCTATACACATCCAAAAATAAATTTTATTTATTTATTTTTTTGACACTGAATTTAATGATATGGGTAGAATGATGCCAGTTATTGTCTTAAATTTTGGTATCAGTTAATTTTCAGTTTATCGACAAGCCCTATCATCACACACTGGGACGTATCGTCTTGATACTTTTCTTTGATATTTTCTTTCCTCTGTTACCATAAATTTCACCTTTTAAAAGTTAATCCAGATTTGTGTTTCATCTGAGAATTCCTGTAAAGCTACCGGGAATCCTGAAACAGTCTCGCTCTCATACTGACTCCTTCTTACAACCTACAGTACATTGTAGATGAGCCTATCAGTGACAAGATTTCTCTAGTCTGGAATTTTAGTGCCTGTGTTGGGGTCAGTTTTTTAGGAAATGAGGCCGATCAAAAATTTTTCACCAGACACGTCAGATCTGCTGTTCTTAATTGTTGTGACTAGGGCTGGGCAATATGGCCTCCAATCAATAGCACGATATTTTGATAAGTTCACCTCGATAACGATAAATGGACGATAACTACTCCACAAGCTGCTCATCCCCTCCCACATTAACTTCGTCTACTTCAGCCGCTACAACTTTTGAGCCGTCCTCCATCTCCTCACTTGTCTTTCCCTCTTTGTTACAGACTGGATGGGGTGGAGTCACGTCTCTGATGTAGGACAGCATCTTAAAGGGACATGAGACAATAGCCTACCAACACACATCCAAAACTAACTTTAATTTATTTATTTATTTACTTGACACCAGATATACCGTTATGGGCAAAATGGGCACGTCGGTTATTGTCGTAAATTTCGGTATTGGTAAATTTTTGGTTTATCACCCAGCCCTAGTTTGGACTAGGGAAAAGGTAGAAGGTAAAACTCATCCCACACCGTTTGTTTTGAAGGAAAATGTTTCATCAACTTTTGGATAAATTTCCATGAAAAGTGGGTTCAGAGATTTCCATTCCCTGCAGGGTGATTGCCTCAGCGCGGGCTCGGTCATATCTGTGTCACCTGTATGAGATTAAAATCAGAACAGGTACTTCAGATCTGTGATTTAAACGTGGCCCTTGTTTTAAACAGGAACAGCCCTCACCCGTTCATCACAGCTCTGGAGAACCGAGTGGACTGCTGGCCGGCTCTGCTGCTGGAGATTGATGATTTCATTCAGCAGGCTGCTGACAGGTTAGCAGAGGCCCTGAACCCTCCATCCAATCAGCTCCTCCCTCCTTCACTGCATGCATTTCAGAGCCATCTGTGAAGAGCACCACATGCCAAATAACTCATCACTCCACTGTCAGATGTTATTATGCGGCGCTAATAAATCACAGCATGTACAGTATGAATCTGGTTCTATACTCAGAGGGAGTCTAAGGAGATTATACTCTGTGTGCATTTTTATATATCCTACAGAAATGAACCAGCCTACATCACCATGTTAGTCCCCTTTCTGCAGTACCTGTACTGTGAACCTCAGAGACAGCCCCAGTACGCCCTCTTGAGACACAGTCTCCTCAGGGTGCTGCTGCCCAAACCTCCAGGAGCTGGATCAGTCCTCCAGAACAAAGACCAGGACCAGGGACAGAGCTTGCCTGTGTCTGAAAGCCTGCTGCTCTGCCTCTGTCAGATAGTGCCTCACATGCAGGTGAAAAAAACATCCTCAGACCCTTCAATTCTTTTATTTAAGGTCCTTTTTAAACCGCTACAGTGCCAAGTTTCAGTCACTTATCCTGTTTTTGAATCAGTTATTGATAAATCTAAGATTTCCCCCAGCTGTCAGCTTCGTATTACATTTGGCATTAGCACTGTGCTTGCTCTTCCAGGTTAAACTTGGCTTAAAAAGTAAAAATATGCTTATTATGGCAGCCAGTATTGCCATGAGCTGAAGACCTTTTATTGGTGCGCTGCGCATAAATGATTCACCAATCTGTCATTGTAATATTCCTCAGAAGGTCTTTTTTTCTTTGCAAATTAGCTGTATGAGAGTATTTTCAGCATCAGTGTTCATTATCAGCCAATTTTAGTAAGGATGAGATGGTGCCCAGCTGTGATGTGCTGCAGACAATGCTGAAATGAATGTGAAGCATCATATCAGAGCACCGTCTGCTGCAAAAACTCTATGATAATACTATTTCTGAATCCGGTTTGTTCATGTATTATATTCTCTTTAATAATGCTGCATATCTAAGGGCCTGCACATACCAATAGGAATATATTTGACCCAGCTTTTTTCAACTTATTACTTAAGCAATGTGGAACTTTCTGGCCAAAATATATTCACCTGGTTTAAGTCTTATCTAAAAGAGAAGGATTTCTTTGTGTCAGCCGGTAATGTTATATTTAAGCAAACACACATGGCATCTATATAAGGCTCCATGCTGGGGCATCTATATACAGTGCTCAGCATAAATGCCATAAACCCCTTGAGAGTTGTCAGAAATCCTTTAGTTTCCTTTCAAAATCGACATTCTCTTTGTCGGGCTATACAACAAAATACTCCCCTCAAATGAAGGCCATTGATTACAAACAAGATTTTTTTTGAGTGCATCCAAAAAAGTATTTTTTTTTGTATTTAAAATCAGGATACAAAAATCAGTACACCCAAATCAAAGTTCTGGGAGCAAAGCAAAACTTAAGTTACCATGTCCCCCTCATTTTCATCTAATGGTAAATAAAATGTTATGTTAAACTCAGCTTTGTCAAAATTTTGGAAATTGTACTTTTGCTCATCTTTCATATAGAGTTATACATTACTTCTAATAGGACGTGTGATGACTTATGTCCTAAATTGACCTGTCCTAAATCTTACCTGTAGGTCACGAGTTACCTTGTGTCTTTTGTTAGATTCATTTCTTAAGCTGATATAATCACATGTGGCGTTCCTCAAGGCTCCACCCCAGAGCCTCTTTTGCTTGACACTGATGGCCTGTATTGTCAAAAATAACAAAATATTCATACACACATTACTGAGTTGAATTACTTGTAGACTTGATCTTGGATTTCTGTCTATTTTTACTGAATTTATTGTAGTTTTCCAACCTATAATTATTTAATGTCATTTAAGAACTTGGCAAGTGGTTGTACGTTACAAGCGGTTTTTTGTATGTATGAGACAATTAAAATTAATACAGGGAAGAGGAAATTAACATAAGTTTTGAGTTTGCAGATGACAGTAATAAGCCAATAAAAACAATGTTAGCCAGCGAAAGTACCTTATTGGCTCAGTTTTGGTAAAGGATTTTTGACTGTGTTCAGAAACAAAAAGACAAAAAAGAAAACAGGATTTTAAAAAATGTAATTCTTTATTTGACCTTTAAATATGGATGATTTTCTTTATAAGTAAGTTATTTCATAATTTTGTCTTGTTCTGTCCAAAATTTGGTCTAATACCACCAACTTATCTTTACTAATCATGGATAGATTCTGTAGAAATGTTGTTCTCAAACAAAAGCATTAGGAGTTGATGTTGTTTCCGTGGTGCTGACAGGTGGACAGCGTGGAGGCCATACTGGAGCTGTGTGGGTTCATCGACACTCTGCTTCAGGGTCTCCTCTCCTCCTCTGAGGAGCGCTGGAGGTCTGAGAGGGTCAGACTTCTCCTGCAGCTGCTCTGTGCCTGCCAGCTGTGCCTGAAGCTGAACGGAGACTGTCGACTTCTCCTCAGCTCCATACAGCAGCTCCTACCTGCCTGCAAAGAGGTGACAAGCCAATCTTTCTCACCCAGAATGATCTAAAATTCAAGTTTATTTAGATGGTTCATCATATTTGCTTTAAGACATTGTTTTCAGCATCATTTACTTTTAAACAGGTCATCCACAATTCAAACATGTCATTTTCAGGAGCTTCCATTGGATGAGCTGCTGGTAGGCGTGGCTCTGCTCTTGTTAGAGGCTCCTGCAGCTCAGCAGAGCAGTCTCCTCAGTCTGGGTAAGAACCACCTAAGGTAAAAGTCATAAATCTGCCTCATTAGCACTAACAGCTCTTTAACTTCAGCACATGGATGCAGTACAGCTGCAGATCTGGCTGTATGAGGTTTTTAAATAGTCAAAATACTAAAGAAAAGCAGATTTATTATGAACATTTTTAATTTACTAATTCTTACTTAGTCTCCTGATTTGATCGATGCAGCAAACATCTTTTTTTAATTCCTCTCAATATCAGCAGCAGTGGGAGTTGTGGTTCCTATCCGATGACTTCAGTTTGCTCTCAAATAGAGAGCAACTTTTTGCTGAAACTGATCAGTTTTTGATCTTATGCATTTTCATTTTTTTATATCTTTAAACTGTGTTGCAAATTTATTTCTTTGATGCATTACTACAGTCTCTCATGACTCCTTATGTTTTATTAGAAAGCTTAGCTTGCACACCTCTCTGCAGCCTTTGTATACTGGTGGTGTAGTAGACTAAGCACTTCTTTTCTTGGAGTGCTTTAACTTCATGCACATAAAGTTTTCCTTATAAATGGGCGTCTGAAAGGAACCAACAGTTTTAGAGCATTATCAGCATTTAAAGTTGTTTGATGTTGCCTTTAGGGACTGTGGGAAATGCGTAAAGACGTTTGAAACTGTTGTTACTTAAAAGACCAAATATCTGAATCTGTATTTGTATGAACTCTGAGAACATTATTTCCAAGTGTTTTGAACACAGGACTCAGTAAAACCCTCAAAAATGTTTACACCCCGGTGCTTTTTACTGCAGCACAACTTCATCTGTCTGAATGGACTCTTTGGTCTTCTTTACGTTTCTGTCTTGTCTGCTTTTACTCTCTCTCTCTCTCTGACACAGCCTTGAGTTTAGTCCCTGAGGACTCTGAGCTGGCCCCCTGGTTGAGTCCAGTCCTGGTCCTTCCTGTCCTGCAGCTCCTGTCCTGCTCTAGCCTTACTGAGGCGCTGGCTGACCCACGGATCCACACCCTCAACCAGGACCTGGCCCACAAGCTGCTCAGCCGAATCAGCAGAGAGACAGATACACCAGGACAGGTAGATGGGTTTAACATGGACAGGACTGAAGAGTGCACTTGAATTGATTAGTCTGTGATTTACTCTCTTAATACAGGGTTTCTGCTGTGTCCTACAAAGTCTTACAACATCTAAAAACTAATCATTTCAATTTAAAACCTCAAAAAATGTATAAAACTCTCTTAAAATCTTGTAAAATGTCTTCAATACAAATTTAAAAGGTCTTAAAAATGCATTGATGTTACTTACAAATAAAGATTGATTTGAAGTTAGTTTAAAATGTTCCAATTTCCTTTCATGTCTTAAATTGTGTTTATTATGGTCTTAAAAAAGTCTTTAAAAGTCTTAAATTTGACTTGTTGAAATCTGCAGAAACCCTGTAATAAAGCGTTTATATTTTTTTATTTCTTTGTACCAGTTAAAATCACACTTACATATCGTGTGTGGTTTTCATCGAGTAATCTGGACTTTGAATGGAAAGATTCATCAATGTTTTTATGGATTAAAAGCTGATCAAATGTATTGATCTCTCCTCTGTTCTTCAGTCTGCTCCACTGTTGGCTCTCCCTCTCAGCTCCTGGTACAGCGAGCTCAGCGTGGCCATCACCGTGCTGCGTGAACTTGCAGACAGTCCAGCCGCCGCGTCTGATTGGCTGCTGTCCGTCAGCTCCGCCCTCTCCTTGTCGCCCAGCCAGCAGCGTCTCTGCTTGCTCAGCCTCATTGTGGCTCATGTCATCATCACGGGTCAGGAGGACATCTGCCAGCTGGCTCTGAACGCCGGCCAGGCCATCGCTGCAGCAGACCCCTGCCAGGTAGATAATCCATATGGATCAGTTCAACACTCAGACCTTCACATGACGCACGGCCTCTGAAGCTTTAAAGGAAAAGATTTATTATTTTAATGAGGTGCTGAGTTTAATCCTTAATATGCTCAATTTCCTCAAGGTAAAAGAAATAATCGTCCATTATAGTGTTTTCCTCCAGAGCGGAGTCCTCCATGAAAGAAGAGCTCATGAAGACCTTGATTGGAGTATTGAAAGTTTTTAATTTGTGCTCAATAATTAAACTCCAGTTTAAGGGAAGAAAATGCTTAAAAAATCAGATCAGATCTGGATCTGACCTTTCATTAAAAAACATTTTTAAAGTTTGTTTTCCTCTGAGGCTCAGATACTTAAGTAACTCAATAACTGAAAAGCCTGAAGGTTAGTCATTTACCTCAAAGCTTCGTTCATATCTACACAGCTCACTGTGTTTCAGCATGTGCACAGCCTCACATGTCTAACAATAAAACCCTATCCTGCACTGAGAGGCAGCTTATCAACCTGCTGAACTGAAACAGAGAGAGGGAGGGAGGTCACTGTAAATATTATAACGTAGATAATTAACAGTTTTACTCATTATTTTACTGTGTTTTATTTGTTTAATCTGTTTTACCATGAAATCTGATGGGAAAAGGCGTTTGTTTTTATTGTTGTTGTTCAGGTTTTTTATTTCCTACTTCCTTCCTGTTATTCTGAGTGGTCTAAATTTCTCCAGATTTCCACCAGAGACTGAAATACCGGTCTGCACTTTGCTCACTCGGGCTTCTATCAAAGCATTCTGGGCTTCAGTAAAACCTTGCCTCTGTGCCACATCCCATTGGTTCCTACGCAAGTATGGAGAAGTGTGGAAGTGATTTGATCAGTTTCCAGGTCTTAAAAAGTATGGTAAATGAAGAAAAAATATGTAGGTTTCCAGACTATTGCCACAGTAATTTCCAAAAATAATTCCAAAAAGTAAGGTATGGAAAAGTATTGAAATTTTAGCTGTGTGGGAACCCTGGTGAAGGAACACCTTTACATCTAAAAATGAAATACTTTTCAGATGTTGGATATTTCTAAATCTTTTTTGAAAATCCTCTCTTTATTTAAAACACTGTGGTTTTCATAATGAAAATCAAGATAATTCAAACTGAATAGAAGTCAAATGTAAAAATGTTCATGCTGTAAACATGAAAAATATGAAAGTCTACCTTTCTAAAAGAAGCTTCGTTGTAATTTTATGAAATGCACCTTTACATAATGTCAGCCACTTTTCTCCATCTTCCCTGTTTTCTTCAGCTGCATAAAAAGAGCGATTTTAACCCAGCAGACTTCCCTTTGACCCTCTGGGACTGTAAATGGAGTCACTAGCTGCTGAAGATGATGTGAAATATCACACAGTGTTATAAGCTGCTCATTACTCGGCCTCGTTAGACGCCTCTGAGTATCCCCCCGCCGCTCTAATTGCTCCCTCAGTGCCACTTGTGCCGCTCGTTTGATGCGTCTGTAGGAGGTTATTGGCATATTTGAATTCGATGGATTTCCCTCCTCACAGTGTCACATCTGCCCGCTTACAGTCACCGTCGCCGAGGAGGTTTGCAGCATCTTTCTTTATAGGGATCAGGCTGAAATAGTCAAAATGATCCAAAATTAATACTAAGAAATGTTTTGAATGATATTTTTTGATCAAAGTTCACCGTTCAGGGTCAAGATCAGACATTTCTGAGATTCAACTTCAAGAAAACCTCCATTTCTTCTTCCCTTCCTTTCAAGCAGGTGAAGTTGTTGCTAAGCAACGGCCAAGGTGCCGTGCAACCGTGAGTGCTTTATGTTAATGAGAGGCTGCAGAGCTGTTGACTGCATGCATCCAGAGACCCAGAGTGGTTCCTGTCTCTGACCCGAGCTCAGAAGGAAATGATGAAGTGTGAACCTGTGATGTCAGTGCTGAATTTATGAAGCTTTAAGTGAGCAGAGAGCATCATGGGAGAAATACTATGAGACCCAGAGGTACACAAGGAGACAGACTAGAACCTTGGCCCGGTTGTTTGAAAGTAATCTGCCTGGATTAGAGCTCTGGGACTGGGTCAAGTCTTGAAAGTTGGACCCAGACTGTATTATGGAAAATTTTAAACTGGTCAAACAAAACCTCATTTTTTAAGTGAAAGACTTGGTTCATGTATGAATAGAAGATTCTCTTTGAGGTTTTTTTGTATGTACCATGGTATTGGCTTGCTAGCATAGTATAAATATTACAGAGCAATATATGTAATAAATTTGAGTGGGTCTGGATTGGCAGGCCATTGATTGAGAGCTTTGTAGAAAATAAAACATCTGTGTTTATTATGTATTCAGGCAGAAAACTTAACCTTCATGAGAAAAGGTTCAAAGAAAAATTAAAGAATTTTGATGATAGGTTTGGGAATCACCAGTGGCTCTACGATACGATATTATCACGATACTTGCACCATGATACGATATTATTACGATTTTTAACATTTTGCAATACATTGAGTATTGCGATACAATAAATTGCGATTTTACTATTACTTTTTTCAACTGTTTAGCTAATTTAGCATTTGTCTTTTCTTTATGTTTGTCTTATTTACACTGTATTTTATTTTCATGTCAACCCAAATGTGTTTGATTTTACATCGTTCCTTTAAGATTGTCCCCACAGTCCTGTTTATGTAGACATTTCCTTATATCTACGTTAGTGTCTGGACAGTGTTGCTTGTTTTTGGATGTGTTTTAAAGATGGGACTCCTTCACTCAGACTCCCTTTTGTCTCTGCAGGTCCCTTCACTTCTCTCTGTTCTGTTGTTCAAACTGGAGAGAGAGAAAAACCCAAACCTGGCTCATGCTGTGCTCACCTGTCTGCCAAACCTCGGGACACATAAGGTACAGAGCAGCAACAGCAGAGAAGATCTTAAAAGAGGATTTACAGATTTATTATAACCTTTGGAGTTTCTTCTGATAATTGCAGCGTTCAGTAGTAAAAATAAAAAGTACAGACTGTGCAGGCAGTTCTCTTCAGCAGATTTGACTGTTGTGTATTGTTTGTGGTTGCAGCTCTGTGTTCCCATGGTGCTGCAGACCCTCCACATGCTGGCTAGTGCCCCCAAGCTGAGAGCCGTGGCAATGCGCCTCCTAACCTCTCTGTGGAAGAAGCAGGTCAGAAATCAAAGCTGCTCCTTAAAAAACAGAACCAGTGATTATTTCAACCATCTTTATTTCTTATGTATTTCCTGTGTGTGTGTGTGTGTGTGTGTGTGTGTGTGTGTGTGTGTGTGTGTGTGTGTGTGTGTGTGTGTGTGTGTGTGTGTGTGTGTGTGTGTTTACATCAGGATCGAGTGTACCCCGAGCTGCAGCGTCTGCTGGGGCAGCAGGACAGCAGGGTGGTGGTCGGGAGGGACGCTCAGTGGGAGCAGATCCTGGCCAGAGCCGCCTGCATCAGAGACATCTGCAGAGAGAGGTCAGACACACACACAGACACACACACTTATGAAACATGATCAGATCAGTCTTTATTAACCCCCAGAGGAAACTGACGGTTGTTGCAGTGACACAGGTGACAGTTACAGGAGGAGTTTACATGGTATGAAGTGATGAATAGTAATGAATTCACCCCGGGGTAGTGCTAACTCTGAGATAATGTGTAACACTTTAAATACGGTAAGATAATAATAGTTTAAGGTGCAATAAAAAAAGATTTAAAAAGTGCATAACAGTTCACAGTAAATGTGTTGAAGAGGAATTATATGGTTATAAAAATGTGTGTTTACTTAGAAACATTAGATAGTCGAAGCCAATTCACCTCTGTGCTTATAAAATAACAACAAAACAAAAAATGTTGTATTTATCCAATAAAAGGAAGAATGATTTGATAATGAAAAATCACATGTTAAAATATGTTATAAAATAATATAATACATTAGATATGTTATATATAACAAATATCATATGACATAATAAATTGAATGTAATATTTTAAAATTTTGATGTGTAATGTAATGAAATATAATTTAGTATAATTTAATATAATGTTATATAATGGGATAGAGTTATTATAGGATCAAATATTATAGAGTAAAATAGGATATAACTCAAGTATGATGTTATAGAATAGGGTATGGTATAATATAAAATGATTCAAATAATGCAACACATGATATTTAATTCAATTTGATATAACATTATATTATATTATCATCATATTATATCATTACATTATTTTACATTGCTTTTGATAAAAATGACCTGTTACCTTACATGTTTCCTGCCATTGAACAGTAACACCAAACAAACACGCCTTTCTTATCAACAAAAGTAACCTGTTACATGACAGCTATGTTACCATAAAAAGAAAACTAAAGCCTCGAGCATGTCATCTATGTTATCTACACATCATCTAGTTTCCTGAGTGAAGAGAGTGTGGACCCTACAGCTGTTTTTAACCACGTTTACAGCCCAGGCCTCCAATCACCTTCGAGCATGCAACAAGTGATAAAAACAGTCTCTTTTTCTGCAGCTGGTGCAGCTGTTTGTAGTTCTTACAGTCTTCCAGCAGGGGGAGCACAGCACGTAGTCTTTGTGTAATCTTTTTCCCCTCTAGTAATTAGTGATGTTTTCAGCTGTGATTGCTTAGATGGAGTGTTATGATGGAGGAGTCACTCATATCTTCTGCTTTCTCTCTGGTTTTTTCTTTTAATTTTTGATTATGAAGCACTCTGTGACCTCTGCTCTTCAACGACACTATTTAAACAAACATCACTTATTACTACGTATCATGTATGGCAGTAAAAGTGAAAGGAGTTCCTCACAGCCTCAGAAGCAGCACAAACTTCCACAATTTTCCACTGGAGGTTAGAAAAAGGATTCTGGGTATGCGGTCTCTTCAGCACTGACTCTGGACAGGCGTTTAGGAGCAAGAACTTAAGTCCCATAGCAACACAGACTATAGTATATAATAAATTTCACACAGCAGTTTCTGTGGGTGTGTATATGTTTGCAGTGTATATTTCCTGCTCTGAGAAGGAAGCGTCCACTCGTCAGTATTTACTTTGTTCCTCTTCATGAACTATCCACTAACTAAAGTTTGCATCTGCTTTATGATCTTGATCGGTTCATTTATAATCACTGTTGCCCCTTTATTCTAAAAAACTGACTTTTGTGTGTCTCAGGCCTTATCAGCATGGTGGAGACATGTTAGCGGCAATCAAATTCACTCTGAACCAGTGCTCCAAACCTGACATGGCGACCCCGGCTGCTCTGGTGCTGCAGGGACTTCAGGAGCTCTGCAGGACTGAGGTTTCACACACACACACACATACAGAACTATCATAAACCACATGCACAGTAAACATACAGTAGACACTATGTTTAATTCGGCTCGCTCTGCAGGTGGTGGACATCATCTCCACGTGGAGGAGTCTCGGTCCTGAGCTCAGCTGTGACTCTCGTCCTCTGGTGGTCAAATCCACAGCTGAACTTCTGGCACTGGTTCCTCAGCTGGCTGTCAAATCAGAGCAGTATGAGGTGAGTCAACGCCCTGGTTTGATTTGTTGGAGGGAGGTTATCCAATCCTGAAGTCCAGCTCTAAGTTTACCACATCTATTTCACATCCAAGATTCATTTATGAGGTGAACTTTGACCCCTGTTTCAAATTTTTTGGCTTTTCTTCTCCTAAAAAATACACCCCTTACTCCTGTTCTGTCAGAGTCTGTTAGAAATCGGAGTTTATATCTCACTTAGCAGAAATAGAAATTGGTGTATTTTCAACATGCAAAATACTTTAGTAAAGCTTGAAAGTGGAAGAGCATGCTTATAATTGAACATTTTAAATATGAAAAAACCACTGAGTGATGTTTTTTGATGATTTTTAGTTGATGTGAACCCACCATTGTTGAAAACTCTAAACAAATGCTCCTCAACTCCTGACTTTGAGGATGAAATAGTTGCTAAAACTATGGTTGAAAAGAACCTGAGTCAGAAAAATGAATAGAAGCGTATCCTTGAACTTCATTTTAGAAAGACTTTTTTGTTAATCATTAATAAAATACCTAGTTTTTTTTCCCTACAGTCACAGTTTGAACCTTTCTCTTTAAAATTTAAGTTCAGCTGCTTTGAAAATGTTTTTCTCCTTTTATCCAGAAACTGAAAGAAGAGGTGGTCAGCTTCATCTGGAACTACGCTGTGAACAAGGTCGGCGCGCTGCAGATATTCACTCTGTATACGTGTCTGTTTGTATTTGAATGCCAGGAACATGATTCAAAATGTTTCCAACAGTTCAGGGTCTCCAGAAGAGTTGTCCTTACTCGTGTGGGTCTGGGAATGTAATGTAAGTGTCCAGTTCTCTTTGCACATGTTGGATTTAAAACAGTTTTTTTCTGATGTATCAGGATCCAGAGGTGGCCAGCTGTGGTTTCAGAGCTTTGGCAGATTTTTCTGAAGAAGTTCATACGATAAACCTCCTTCCTGAAGCTGTAAGAGTCCCACTCAGTTTTTTTTTTTCTTTTTTAATAAAAGTCTTAGAAGTTGAAAATTGATATCTTTATTTTTATAAGTTTAAATTCGTCTGTAGCTCTCTAAACCGTGAAAGAATCACCCATAGTGGTCTGTTTTCATCAGCTTGTCCTGTTTCTGTCTGTAAAGGCCAGACCGGTTATAAAAGAGGATGAAGAGGATAAAGAGGAGAAAACAGAAGAGGAAGAGGAGAAAGATCTGTCTGTACCAGGGTCATCGTATGTGAAGCTGATGGTTCTCACTCCTTTATCAGTTCTACCAGGTGACAAAAACTCACGTCCTCATCTTTAAAAAGTGCTGTAGTGCTTCCAGTTCATCCTCCTCATCCTCTTCATCTTCTTCTTCTCAGCCTTTGAGCTCTTCCTGATGTCTCTGGTGAAACAGGAGATGACCAAGATGCCTCGGGGAGTCTACTTCTCAGCCCTGAGGGGGGGCAACCTGCGCTCTGATCAGGGGAAAACGGTGGCAGGAATCCCGGCGTTCATGCTAAAAACCTACGAGAAGAACAAGCAGCCAGGGCTGAAGACTGGACTCGCAGGTGACTAAACCCCCGTCCTGTTTTCAGTTATTCTGGGCTTTTTCAGACATCTTTGCTTTGTCTGAGGGGTTTTAAAGCTGCCGTCCACCAGAGCTTGCCTCAAGTGGATATTTTTGGAACTACATTTTACGGCATCATTATTTATTTTCTCATTTCTTTGCTGATGTTTCGTGAATGAGACGCTCTGTGTTAACTACGACCTCGCCTCTTTATTTATGTTGTTTGTGTGTTTTGTAGCCGGTCTGCTGCTCTGTTATGACCTCCCTGTGCAGACGGACCGTGACGGCAAACCTATCGACCGTTTCCTTGTCAGCCGCAGTCGCAGCTACCAGCAGACTTTATCAGCTCTGATACACGAGGTACATCTGCACCTGCTCTTCATCTTCCTTTTCAGTTAAAGCAAATAGAAAATAAAACTTTTGCTTGTTGTTTTTGTCCTGCAGGTGAACATTCAGCCGTCTGAGTGGCACCGCGCTCTCCTCCTGCCTCAGGCCTGGAGAGGCTTCATGAACCGGGCTTTCCATGCTGCCCTGCAGGTCAGTGCTTCTGCAAACTGAAAGATTTATGACTGATGAGGAATTTGAGTGGTTGAACTTGTGGTTAAAAGTCAAAATTGTGACAAATGTAAGTGTTTGAAAGAGGAGAGGTAAGAAGAATGAAAACCTAGAGGACGCCCAAACTTTCTCCTCTCACTTAAAGGTTCAAAGTATCAGTTAGACGTCCTTCAGGACGAAGTTAACTCTGATATTGTTGTTGCTATTATTTTGTGTCTTCAGGGCCGTCGTGCAGATTTGGAGATGCAGCAGAAACAGGGCAAAGGGGACCCACAGGAGCTGCAGTACAAACAGCACTGCGCCTGGCTGTGGTGAGATTTAAAGCTCCTGTTGGGAGTTTTGAACCAGTTCTTGAACAGATATTGAAATTTCTGCCTCTTTATGACAGGCAAGTTGAATGATATTGGCAATTTTACTCCCACAGTTGTGTGTAGTTTGTGAGACTAATAACCTGTCTTTGGGACAAGACTTTCTTTAAACACCCTTAACACAGTGGTTTCTCACCTTTTTACCTCTTCCTTTGATATCCTAGAAAAGCAAAGACCCTCACATGAAGAAAACTGATGTCTTATTTTAAAAAATGACCAGAATGAGTGAGGAAAGCACATTTATATACAGGAGAAACTATCCAGACTATACAGCACAGTGTTTGTGTCATCCTCCGAAAGCTTCCTGCTCATTATTCATTGTGCATCATCAAAAGACAAATCCTCCTTTCATGCATTGAGGTTTTCAAAGCACTGCCCCCTTTTTTCCTCCACCCTTTGCTCTTTGTTTTTATTCATACCTCCACCATGTTTCCTCTCGTCTTCAGGGCCAGAGATCAGCTGACTGACGTCATCAAAGCGGCTACAAAGTGAGTGTCCTTCCTGTGATCTCCACAGGAGACGTTATAGAGAGAAACAGGTGAAAATATTCCGATTGTAGAGTCAGTGCTGACAATGGTGTGTTGTTTGTGTTGTTTAGAGATAGTCCTGTTGTTCAGGGAAACTCCATCCTGGCTCTGAGCGGCCTGGCTGCTGTCCTCGCCAAATATGAGAGTAACCTGCCCGCTGATGGTGATGGCGGCCTTGGGGTGAGATGATCTGTTTCTTTATTTTGTCCTCAGAGCCTTTGTAAAGGAACATCATGGTCAGATAATCAGTGCTGAAAAGTGTTAAAGGAGTTTTACAGAGAGGTTTGTCACTGTCTCGTCCCTGTAGGCTGGTCCAGAGTTTGTCCCCACGTCCAGCTGGTTGTCCATAGTCCTCAACACGCTGCTCAGCATCAGCAGCAGCAGCTTCAGGGCCACAGGGCAGGTTTTCCCCTGGTTCCTACATGTAAGTTTTTCATTCATGTTTTTGCCATAATGTTGTCATTCAAAGTGCAAGGCTTCTCAAAAAACTGACTGATAAAGGAAAAAGCCCTAGAAACTCCTTCAGTGGACACAGGCCCTAACTTTTTTAACAGCTTCCAGATGATAGATTGTGAAAAATGAAGCATTGTAACAGCTCCTAAATTCCTGAAGGTGTCACTGTGCCCCTGCAGGTGAAAATGTCCACACCATCTGCAAACGCTGCTGTCCCCCCTTGTCTTGTGTTCTGTCTCCCTATGTGATCCCCTCCATCTCTCTCAGCGTTCATACTCAGGTGAAAACACAGCCAGCGCCATCGCTCGCTCCTGTGCCAGCCTGGCGTTGTCCCTGCTCGTCCCAGTCCTGGTGGTTTGGCAAAGAGACGGTCTGGTCCAGGTTCTAACGGCACTGAAGGCCGGTTTGCCAGGCTCTTCCAACGCTGATGATTCCCAGGCCGTCCAGTTCCACTCCGGCCTCGCGCTCGGCATGGTGCTGTCCAGTCTGCACCACCAGCGGCTCAGGTAGAGGGTCACCTGTTTGATGATTGATTTAATGTGTTTTCTTGATCTCTCTTTTTAGTTATTTCTCTCTTTTGATCTTACTTTTTATTTCTATCTCTCCTTTGTCTCTCTTTTTATTTCTCTCCTTTGATTTCTGTTTTTATTTCTCTCTCTTTTTGATCTTACTTTTTATTTCTTTCTCTCTTTGATCTTATTTTTATTTATTTCTCTCTTTGATCTTATTTTTTATTTCTTTCTCTCTTTGATCATTCTTTTTATTTCTTTCTCTCTTTGATCTTATTTTTTATTTCTTTCTCTCTTTGATCTTATTTTTATTTCTTTTTCTCTTTGATCTTTCTTTTTATTTCTTTCTCTTTTTTGTTTTCTAGCGATGTCTCTGCAGAGAAGGATGCAGATCTGCTCCTCGGCTCTCTGGAGGCTCTGGAAAGCTGCTCCTTCAACCCAAACCTGGAGTACAAGTCAGTTCTGATTGAGTCATTTGTGGTCATACTTAAACTGTTGGCTGGTGAACACACACAGAAATTACAACTTATTTCAGTTGCAGTTTCTCTGTTTAACCTTTTCCTCCTCTCCCTCTAACTCTTCCTCAGCACTGGCTGTGTGTTGGGTCTGGCTCTGGTACTCTCAGCTCTCTGCAGCAGCAGACAGGCGGACCAACATGTCCACGTCACTCAAACCCTTGACAAACTCCTGACCAGCCTGCAGGAGAGCAGCGGGCTGGGGCGCATGCAGCAGGAGGTCTGAATTACCTGCATGACACTTTACTTTAAAATCAAGACACTTTTAGAGGTCACAGAATCGCTGGAGGATTCTTTTAGGGAGTTATCTCCACACTGTCATCTCCTGGTTTTCTCTCTACCTCCTCTGTTTGCTTTTCCTCCTCTGTTTCTTCTTTTTGTCCTTCCCATCATCTCCTTTGTCTTCCTGTGCAGGTCTTGGCGTACTCTGTGGCCTGTGTCGGGGTCTCAGCCTTCAGTGGAGGTCTGATAGATGCTGAAAAGGCAGAGGAGGTCATGAACACCCTGCGCACCCTGACCGAGGAGAGCCAGCAGGTCAGTGAGGCACAGTTTCTTTCAGTTGTTTTTCCGACAGTTGGGAAGACTTTGTGAAAATATTGCGGAAGTAATTTGTTAAAGACAGCCAAAAACTTGATTGAATCTGATCCAGGGTAAAAATGTCCCATTTCTAGTTCAAGTCTGCAGTCTAACTTCAGTCTGTTAACATAATCCTGTTCAGACTCCAGGTTTCTCTCTGGCTCTGGGTTTGGTGGTCCATGGTCTCTCAATGTCTGGTCACGGTAAAGCTGAGGACATCCATCCACGTCTGCTGGCTGCCTGGATCAAGATCTTACTGGCAGAGGTACTACGGTTTAGGTTTTCTAAATACCACTTCATCCAAACATGAACTCTTATTTTGCTTCAGAGACATGAGCAGGGCTCGAGGATCCTGTCTAGACATTGAAAATAATGCTTTAAAATCAGGCTTTACATTGTAAATGAATGTTATTGATACAAAACTGCAGTTCCCTCAGTGTCCACTAGAGGATGCCTCCTAAAGTTAGTCGTTTTTTATAGAGCTCTATGTCAAAATCACTGCATTAACAGCTGAAATAAAGTGTTTACAGTCTGATATGTCAGCCATGACAGTGAAAACCAGAAGCAGCGGTTTTGAGGTTAGTCTGTTGTGAATTATGTAGTCAACAATAACTTTCAAGGTGAACTCAGGAGCCATAAAAGTAACAGAAGCAAAGAACATTGAATCTGATTCGTCAGTTAAAATTCAACTTCCCTTGTGTTAGCAAAAGCTTATTTTTTACACACTTTTGATTTATAAAAAAAGCTCACTTTAACAACCATTTTTGCTGCAACAGAAATGAGACAATCCCAGTTAATGTCTTTGTGAAACTCGTGGTCAGGTGAACACAGCCACTGCTGGTTTACTGGATTGCTGCTTCTCTTCTTTGTTTTTTGTCCAGTTTAGAAGTTGTGTATTTGTGTTTCAGGGCTGTCCCACGATGCAGCGTCTGGCTGCTGTAAACGGTCTGGTGGCTTTGGTGGGATCAGAGAGTTACCTGATCCAGGTGAGATTCTGATGCGCCTCTGGTGTCAGGCTTTAGAAATAAACCTCAAAACTTTTTATTTTCCAACCAGTCTCTCCATGAGCATGGGAATGTGACTCATGTGCAGAAATGTTTTTCCGGGTTTTATTTTCTTTCTGCTTTAAATGTTTGTTTGCTGTGTGGTGTGTTTAAGATGAAGGAGGATTAGGGCCACAAGGAGAGAAAATATATTTACAGGAAGGAGATTTTTCAATTTCCATTTCGAAATTAAAGTCACAATTTTGAGATTAAAGTCAAAATTTAAAAAGTTGAAATGAAAAAAATCAAAATTTCAAGAATTAAGTCAAAATTTTGAGATAAATAAATTGAAATTACATGAATTAAGTAAATTCATGACATTTCACTATCTCGTAATTTTGACTTTAATGTTGAAATTTCAATTTTTAATCTCAGAATTTTGTCTTTATTGACATAATTTTGATTTTTTTATCTCAAAATTTCGACTTTAATCTCCTTCCTGTAATTATTATTTTTCTCTTCATGTGGCCCTAATCCTCTTTCGTTTTTTAAGGTGTTAATTCTGGGTTTCAAGAAGCTTCTTCCATTATTGTTTAAAAGTTGAGATCTACTCGACGCTGAGCTTTGATTTAACATCCTATAAAACCTGCAGACCGAATTTTATCTGAAAAGTCCGATGAAACTGTTTTTTCTTTATTTCCTTTCTCTTACATTTATCACTCTGGATGTTATATGCTGTACTGTCATTTTTAACACTGTGTTGTTGTTTTGTGTCGCAGCTGTCGGGTGAGTTGGAGCTTTCCTCTCAGCAGCAGAGCAGACTCAACGAGGTGATTCGAGCCATCACACAGGTATGAACTCTCAGATTTGACTCTTTTCAGTTTCCTCAACTTATAACCAAATCCTCCAGAGAAGCCATGTTTCAATCATTTCTACAGCGGGTCAGCATTAGGGTTCCAAAAACATGTAAAGGATAATTTGAATCATGTTTACTGAGCAAGTTTTAAAGTGTGCGTTGATTGTATTTTTCTCACGTCTGCAGATCATAACCTTCTCTGGAGCCATCGGCCTGCAGTCGAACAGCGCCTGTTTGGTGGCTCATCTGCATTTGGCTCACATGTCTACCAGTCACACTCACACAGCAGGTTGATACAAAACTGCAGCTCAGAAATCCATGACAAAGAGTTTAAAGTGCGGAGACCACATTTGTTTTCATCTGCTTGATTTATTTTCTCTTTCGTATCTTTTTCAGTCCCTCAGGATTTCAGTTACCTCTCAGAGAGGAGTGTCATCAGATCCATTGTTGACTTCCTCACAGAAGCAGGAAAAAAAGGTTTATTTTAACTCAGTCTCTCTTTGTCTCCTCACCTTTTAAGATTGGAGGGTCATTTAGGTTGCAATTTTTTGCAAAGGCACATAGATATCAAACATATAAAGAAAATTAATGCCTGGTTTTTGTAAAGTAGGAACTGTGTATCACTCCCTCTGAGTCCCCTGGTCAGCCTGACCCCTTTGTTGGTAAACCACAGGATATGGGGTCAGATTTAATACTTTGTTTACCGTGCACCTGTTCCTGATTCTCCCAACAACACATCACAAACATTCTTGTATTAAAATTCATCTGTTATGATAACTCTCATACATATCCTCTCTCTGCGTGTGGATCCAGGTCCAGAGTTTTCTCACCCAGCTCTTGTTAAAACGGCTCTGGCTCCTCTGGCTTCAGTCGGATCCAGTTTCCAGTATCCCCCCATCAACTGGAGTGCCGTTCTGTCACCTCTGATGAGGCTCAGCTTCGGTGGGACTTCTTATATTTATTCTTCTCCTGACTGAGGTGTCAGCGGAGTCACTGAGCTCAGGGGTTTTTGTCTTATTTCAGGAGAGGACGTTCAGCACCAGAGTCTGGTTCTGGCAGCGGGTCAGGCTCAGTCGTCTCAGAGCGCCTCTCTGTTTCTGGGCTCCTGGTTGTCACCGCCCCTCGTTCACAGTCTCAGTGTGAGTTTTCTTTTTGCTTGGTCTCGATTGTTGACGCTAAGCTTTGTGATAGAGTCCAAACAGGACTTGAGATCTTCTTCCCTTTATTCCTCCTTCAGCTGCAAACTCGCTCTCACCTCTACGAGTCTCTGGGTCTGTGGATGAAGCACGTCTCTGAGGACAAGCTGCAGGTCTACGTGGAGAGTCTGGGTCTGCAGCAGTTCCAGGAGGAGCTTCGACCTCAGCGTTTGTCCCTGTGTCGCTCCATGCTGCAGGGACTCGCTCAGGCCATGGCTCTACCCAACCCCCCTAACAGCTGCTGGAGTGTCCTGAGCTCCACGGCTGAGAAGATCTTCACCATCCTGCCGAACCACATCCAGGTATGAAAAAGGAGAGAAGAGTGCAAGAGTGGCATGACGGATTCAAATTTAAATTTCACATGTGTTAAATGAATTTGAATTTGCTTTTTTTGTCTGAGATATTAAGATTTTCAGTCAGAGTTGAGAATTAAGAGTAGAAAACTGTCACATTTAAGTAGCTGGAATGTACAAATGTTTGACATGTCTGCTTGAAATGTCACAAAAATTCATTAAACATGAAACTTGTTGATAAGTTGAAGTTAAATCGACTCACTGAACTTGGTTTTCATCTGATTACAAACTCTTTACAGGATGAAGAGGTGGATCTGTACGTGGGAGTCACCAAATGTCTCTCCGAGTTGTCTGATACAGAGATCGACCGAATCGCTCGAGTCTCGGAGGTAACAGGTTTTTAGCTTTCGTCATTGACTCGTCTTCATCAACATTTATCCTCATCCTCTTCATTAACCAAACCCGCTCCTCTCCTTTCAGAGTCAGATGGAGAAGACCTGCTTCATCCTCTCCTATCTGACCTCTCAGGGCAGAGTCCCCCTCCTCAGTCTCAATGACGTCATAGCCGGCGTGCTCCGCGGTTGGTCGAACGGCAGGGTCGGCTGGCTCCTCCTGCAGACGTTTTACCAGTGTCGACTGGCGGCGAACGCCAACACGGGTCAGACACAGAGTCATGAGTCAGTCAGTTCTACCCAAAATTCCTTAGAGAATGTCCTCTCTGACCCGTTTGTGAATTTCAGGCGTTCTGAAGCGGATGGAGTGGCTACTGGAGCTGATGGGACACATCCGAAATGTTGCATATGGAGCAACCTCGGTCACATGTGAAGACACTAAAGTGGTTTGTTTCTCTTCCTCTTACAGACTTTTATTAAAATGTCACATAAAATTAAAAAGGCACACACTGACTCCAGAGTTTAACACGTATGATGAAATTCGTTTTGTCAGTTGTGAAGCTTTTTAATTAGGACATATTGCTGAAGATGTTTCTGGAGTTAGGCAAATACAGAGAGGTGGGAAAACCTGTGTTATTCCTGTGTTGTTGTCGCACGTCTTTGGAAAACTTCCCTTTTGTGAAAGTAAGATCTGTTTTAACACGTCAGCAAGAGTTTGGAGCTCCATGGGCTAACGCTGTCATTCCTGAGGTTTGGCCTCAGCTGCACTCAGCAGGGCGTGCTCTGAAACATAATCGATCTGCAAACAGGTTTGAAACTGGTTTGCGGTTTTATTTGATTCACTTCTTTCACATTTATACAGACAGAAGCACAAACAGGTAGAGATGATACAAAGGAACCATGTAACATCAGCTTAGTTTAGAAATAACCCACCTCATCACATTTACAGTGATTTCTTTAACTGTTTCCATCCTTTCACTGAGGTTTGAAGACAGTTTATCTTTTCTACAGCTTATAGGAGAGAGATTCATTCAGCCGGTAAATAAAACTGCAGCTCCTGAATGAGTCAGTTAGTTTTTATTCTGTAAATGTGACAAAAAAAACTTTGGAGAGCTTTTATGAAGTCGGAAATTCTGATTTAAAAAAAAAAAAAAAGTTTTTCTCTGATCAAAAATCACAATTTTTTCATCTCCTCTACAGGCTACAGACTTTCTCTTCCAGGTCTTCACTGCTGCCGTCGTCTCCTGGGGCGACCACTTCATGCCCCTCTTGTTCGGCATCAGGGACAGGTGGTTTCCATGGCAACCGGGGTCAAAGCCCCAAACTCTGCAGCACAGTCTGTACGGCAGCAGCGAGGAGTCCTTCACCGAGCGCGCTCTGCCCCAGTGTATGCTGGGAGTGTCCCACAGCCTGCTCATGCTGCTGGATAAAGAGCCTTGGAGCGGCCAGAAAACAAAGGTTTCACATGTTTTTGATGGTCTGAATTTAAAGCAGATTTTTGGAGTAAACTGATGCTAATGAGAATGACTGTGTTTCAGTTCATAGATTGGCTCCTCAGCATCACTGAAGGTCCTGAACAGAGTCTGTCTGCATCAACCATTGACACCGCCAAAGGTAACAAAAATAACCCCACAGAGACACAGCGAGGTTTTCCGGTTGTTAGACTTGTCTTAGTGTGTCTGACATAAAGCTGGGAGAGAATGAGCATCTTGATCATGGTTGTCCATCAGATGCAAGTGAGTTTGGACTTTTGAGTGTGAGATGATTGTGCAGATTTGAGCGTTCATGCTCAGATGCTTCTATTGCAGGTTGTTGGAAATGCCTTTTGAAGTGGAGATTTTTGCTTAGTCTGTCAAATTCAACACATTGTTTGGTATTTGTTACACAAGAGTGACGATGAGTGATATCCACCCTTTAAACACGCCACCCCTTACTCTCACCAGGGGGTCTTCTTTATTCAATCAGTGCGTAGAATCCATCAAAGACACAGTAATGTTATTCACCAAAAATAATTAATGCAATATGCACACATAGATCAGCCTCATATCCTCCCTCTACTCACCCACATCTGGTCAAGGATGTTCAATAAACAGTATTTAAGGATATATCTAATAACGCTGACTTTGTTCTTTGCTGCTTTTAATGCATTTTGATATGAAGTGGGGACAAACTGACTTCAAGCTGAGTGTTTATCTCTTTATGACTAAGTCTATGAGAAACAGTTCACTAAAGCCACCTGCAAAAACACTCAGCTTAACCCCCCTTTCCTCCAACATGTGCAGACTGGTCGGTCTGACTTTTCCATCAGTTTTTAAAAACTGCAAATGTCTTTATCAGGACAACACAGTAAAACCTTCAAAAGCATCCTCCATATCTCTTCCTACAGTTTAAAAAATCTTCCTGTTTCATTGTTTCAGCTGCTCTGTTGGCCCTGAGGTCCTCTTCCGAGTTCAAGAAGAAAGCTGTGTGGACCAGAGTGTATGGATGGTAGCCCAGAGGGACCGAGACAAACTGTTACCATGGCCACACTAAACAGGTTCTTCACCAAATCATGGGGGGAGCTTTGAAATGGACTCCATATATGTATTTTCTGACATTGTTACAGGGATGGTTCTCTGCAGCACCATGCACTCTGCTTTACTCCGTCACAGCTGTTTACACCCATTAAAAAAGTCAAGTTTTGTAAAATAGTGTGAATCTGTGGTTTGGATTTTTTCTGAAACACTCTGAGTGAACTCCTGTAGTCTTTTTGAAAATTCCAAACTTTTAGTCTCTGACTCCAGATGTCATTTCTTCTTCTTCGTCTGTTTGTTCCATCTATTCAAGTGGTGCTTTCTCTCCTTCAGCAGCAGCCACACCGTTACAGAGGCTCCTGGAAACAAAAGACAAGAGTTAGAAGGTCAAAAATAGAGAGAGTACATCCCTTTTTCTGCAAAGCTTTGAGATTTTTTTAATGCTAAAGTATTCTTTATGGATTTAAGTCAGATGAAAAATGATCAGAAAGCCGGAAACATTAAAGGGATATTCTGGCATAAATTTAAGTTATGGTCAAACACACTGTTAATACCAAGGTAGACACCCCCTCGAGAGAAGAATGTTGCAGACTGCTTGCTTCTTTACTTATACCAGTGGTTCTCAAGTCCAGTCCTTGAGGCCCACTGTCCTGCATGTTTTGGATATTTCCCTGCTCCAACACACCTGATTCAAATGATCAGCTCGTTATCAAGCTCTGTAATGGCTTAATAACGAGCTGATCATTTGAATCAGGTGTGTTGGAGCAGGGAAACATCCAAAACATGAAGGAAGGGGGCGGGACTTCAAGAATGACCGCACATTAGTAATATAGCAATATACACCAGAATATCCCTTCAAGACAGCAGCATAGCTCTTCTCCTGTGCACAGCTTTTAATGAATTATATCATTTTGTCCTGTGCTTAAGGAGAAATGTGGGTTTAAGACACCCATGCATGTCTGTCTACAAGCTTAGTCGTCTCACCCAAAGCCAGAACAGGCAGGTAAAACATCAGGGCAAAGGACAGGTGAAGCTGTGATGACCCTGTGGAGTTTGAAGAGGAAGATTCAGGTACTTTAGGCTCCACATACGGCAGGGCCTGGTAAATGGTGACACCTGAGGAAAAGGAGGGATACGTTTAGGATGCAGAAACAGCCTCTTAGATTTAAGATACATTTAAGTTTAGTCCATAAACTGACAATAAAACAGGGTCATTTTAGAGACATACTTCTTCACATGATGGTTTATAATCAAGATGGTCTACTCTGGCCTTCCTAAAGTCAGATTGTTAGACAAAGAGGACTCAAACTCTGCTGACTAAGCTACTGTAGCTTCTGCAGTGATCAGTTTAAACACCCTGGACTAAACTCTCCTCACACACTTCCTGACATTTTATCATCTCTGCTGCTTTGCCAACTCATTTCCTGTCTACTCTCACGGCTTCCTTTGTGCAACACCACAAACGGACACATGTAGCAGCTCATAATGTGTAGCTCACGTCAGGTCAGCTGCAACCCGAGGCATGCCTCTCTGTATGTTCAAATTTCACAAAGCTTCAGTAGAATAAAGTAAATAAAAAGGACTTTTTTTTAACCTTCTGTGGCTGCTGACAGGATGTACACAGGGATCCAGAGGGTATATCGAGTCCACAGCATGGTGATGGAGGGTTTCTCCATCAGACACAGCAGCTCATGGGGGTACCTGTCATTAAGGGAGGAGATTTTAATAAGAATTTACTGAGGAAATAAGACAGTCTTAAACCAGCACTACCTTTAATGTCCAGCAGGGGGCGACTACTGCTGCTAGCTTATTCTAAAAGAGTTAAGGGTCTTGGTTTCTAGTTTCAAGTCTTATCATACATCAGGCACGCTAGATTATAAAGTGCACTGTCAATTTTTGAGAAAATTTAAGCATTTCAAGTGTGCCTTATATTCAGAAAAATATGGTGGTTTTGCTAGTTAAGAGGCGCACAATCTGGACTCTCTGCGAGACCAGGGTTGCTAAGAGATTATATTGAGTTGTTCAAAGGTGCATTTGGAATCAGAATGAGCGCTAACAAGGGCACAAGTTCATTGGCTGTTTACAGTGAAGCATGTATTGGTCTAGAACCTTGTGCAGAACCTTAAATTGACTGTCTACTACCTTGCACATGAACAAAGTGTGTAAGTGATGTTCTTACCTCAAGAGGTCCATGATGTTCCATAAGAAGAGCTGGACACAAACGACAGGTTTACTTTGAATCTCCTCCAACATGATGACCGTGATCAGCAGGAGGTTCTTCTCCACCACCTGAAACATGAAGCAATCCACCAACACAATCAGATAAAAGAGACTTACCGAAGCCTATCTGGGTGTTTCGGCAAGTGAAACCTACTTGGAAGAAGCGAGAGAAGAGTCGGGCTCTCTCGATGCCGTCTGCGATGTGGAAGAGCTCGAGGATTGAGAGCAGCTGACACAGACTCATCACGAATCCCACAGAGTAAAATGTGTCCGCCAAAGCATCTGCAGAGTCAAAAACAATGTTATTATTACCACCTTAAAGCCAAAAGGCAGTCCCAAGACATTCTTTTTGGAAACCGTGGACTCCTTTGACTCCACTTGAGACTGACCATTCCTACTTAGAGGTCCATAATGTAGTCCCAGCTGTGAGCCGAAGAGATGTTTTCAGGTTGAACCCAAAATGTTTGAATTACCATATCTGCATTTTCTGAATCTCACCTTTCCCAAAGGTCAAAAACCTGGCGATGTTGTTGGCCAGGATCCAGGTGTGTCCACAGAACTGGAACAGGTTATACAAGAAAATGTAGACCAGCCTGAAGCTCGGCCTGAGGGAGGACATAGAGGGAAAACCAGATTATGAATATGGAGGTATTTTGTCAGACTGGCCTGTTGATGGACGTCTTGGACAGGTGCAGCTTCTCACCTGCTTTCTGTCTCAACCAACAGACTTGGTTCATGAAGCAACAAAAAATATTCAAGTATCCATCTAGTCTTTTAACCATCCATCTGTTTAACCTGATGACTGACTGTAATATTACTAAGACTGAGACTGAGAAAGTTTCACTCTACAGTCATTTGATCCATTGTTTACATAAAAGCATTGCAGCTCAAGGTGCATTATGCAGGTTTTGCTTTTATTGCAGTAAACAAGGATTGGGTTGGCACTTTTTTCAATTGTTCTTCAGCATAAAAACTAGTCAAACCTCATGCAAAACCTGCAAAAAGTACCAATCATTAGAATACATTTACACTGTTACTCTTTAATATGAAGCCAAAACATGCAGAACATATTTCACAATAGAAAAAATGTGAAAATCGGATGAGGGACAGGAAGTTAGTGTGGCAAAATAATACAGTGGATTTAAATCAAACTCTGAAAATGTTATGAAAGTATAAATTGTTGCTTTTTAAAAGCCTAACAGACTGTTAAAAAAAAGGGTGAGTATTTCTAGATAATCATTGCCAATGGCTAAAAACATAGGGGTTAGGTGTCAAAATTAGTGTAAACTAAAATTCTTTTTCTGATGTTCAACAGGAAAATATATTTTTTAATGAATCATCCAGTTTTTCAGAGAGATTGGGATGAGATTTTTCTTTTCTGAAGAAACACTTTGTACACCTGTACAGGACGAAACTTGTCCACAGTTGGTGCCTAAATCAACACAACCTGAAAGTTTCTCACAGGAAATTTAAATGTTTTATAAGACCACAAAAAAGGGGGGAAAAAAAGAAAAGAAACTGTTAGTTCACAAAGATGGTGAATATAAAGAAAGGGTCATGTCTTGAAATATAAATTAAAGATCCTGTTTCGGGATTTTGGCTGGTTATGATGGCTAATTAAAATTAATGCTAACGCTCCTTTACAACCAATTAAAGCAAACAGCATTAATAGTTATCAATTTAGTGTAGTTATTTAAAGTCTGAAATCTTACATTATCTTTTTTAGTTTAAGCATTTTAAGGATTAAAAATCAAGAACAAAGGACAGAGTGTTTTGTCCATAAGGGGGCACTAAAAACACAGAGGTTTTTTCACAGGAGCTTCAATAGCTTAAGTTTTTTTTTTAAGTTGGTAAAATGTGAAGAGAAATAAAATTATGAGTAAGAAGATTCAAAAACTAAAAATTTATATTCAATGATATTTTATTTTTTGTCTGTCTGAAATTGTATCACCACTTGTATCACCACCAAATATAAACATTTCAATCAAACAAAAATAAATGGAGAGTTGAAAAAGTGAAAATGCACAAAATTAAACATTAAATATTGAACTTTCAATGGATGACAGTAAAGTTAAATTTCAGGTTAATGAGCAAATGTTACCTTAAGCTCTTGTTAAAATGAGAGAAACTGCAGCTGTGGGTGTGATCAGTCTGACAGACCTCAACACGCCCTGAAAAAACCCCACATTCCTTTCACAGCAAGGGCTCACACTCTGCTGCTAAACTCTCACTAAACCCCCTTTTTTCTGTACTCACATCCTCCTCCTGAAGTCCTCCTCTTCTTCTCCAGTTTTAGGAAAAAGGAGCTGCAGGTTTTCCTAGTCTAAGGTTGAACAGTGTCATTCTTCCAGCTGTAGTATTTCCTCTGTAAACATCGACACGCCTCTAGGACTCCCACAGTCTCTCACAAGTGAAGCAGAAAAAAAGAATCAGTAACACGTGTGACCATAACGCTTCCTCTCCCTGACTGTTACAGTTATTACTTCACAAAGAAGAGGAAGAGGACACCCCGAGTGTGAGTCTGACGTCAGATAGTTCCTCCTCTTTCTAATAAAACTATGACCTGACAGTCTGCGGAGAGAGAGAGAGAGAGGAAACAATGAGCCCAGCAGACTGAACATGTCTCAGATATCAGGAGTCAGAAAGTGAGAGAGAGTCTGAATTCTTCACATACCGCTGCTGTTTGACAACCTCAGTCACATAACGGTTTGGACAGGGTTGAAAATGTGAGTAAAAACAGAACAACCAAAAAGTTGTGTAATGCTGAAAAAAACAGCTGGAGGAACATCTCTAACTAATGTCCAACAGCTTAGCAACATGACTGGAAATAAAAAGGAAAGTCAGAGAGGCTGAGTCTCTCAGAGGGAAAGATTGGCAGATTCAAGAGCATCTGAAGAAAGACAATTCTGTATAGATGATCGTAAACTTCAAGCTCTCAGGCAGCACTGCATTAATAAAAGACAGGACTCTGTAGCTGAAGTCACCAAATGGGGTCAGCCTAGAGATGCACCAATCCATTTTTTCCCAATCCAATCAGATACTGATACCTGGGCTGAGCGTATCAGCAGATATCCGATACTGATCCAATACTACTGTTAAATGAATGAACTGTATACCTTGCCCTGTGAGTGAAGGCATCAGGCTTGACATTAGCCTTGTTAAAAAAAGGTAACAAATCAACACAGATATAAATTTACTTAATATTATTTATTAACAAATAACAAATTGCACATTAGCACACAGCAAAAAGAGGTAAGACTTCCATATAAACATTAGAGTGAACAGAATTGCTGTGTATGATATTAATTAGGAGAAAAAAAACGCTCATCAAATCATTCATCAGATATCCGATCCAGTTAATTTGTAAATATTGGAGTCGATATCCGATCCAAATATCAGATCAGTGCATCCCTAGCTCAGACCATCATGTCATCCACGAATGCGGGTTAGAGCTGAACCATGCAAAGACGAAACTAGATCAGCCCGAGCCCATTTAAGGACGAAGGTGTCAGAAAACTGTCATTCTTTTTGGAAATCATGGACACTACATCCTCCTCTTTAAGGAGTAAAGTGACCACCCGGCTTGTTCTCAGCTCCCACTTCAAATCCAGCATACCTGATGGTGTGGGAATCATCAGAGTCCATGTCATAGATAGCTTTCACATCTCTGAAGGCTCCATTAATGCTGAACAATATCTACAGGTTTAGGAGCAACATCTGCTACCATCCAGATGATGACTTTTTCAGGGAAGACCTTCATATTTCTTTAAAAACATTTGGAGCATCATGACACCAAAAACAGGACAAAGGAGACTCCGTTTCAGACTCCAGAACCTGGTCTGATGGGTCCATTAAGGTTTACAAAGTGTGACGTTACACAAAAGGGTCAAACAAGATACTTAGAACAAATATGAAGACAATGCAATGCAAAAAAAGTGAAAAGATTGGTGGATGCAATGAACTTTTCTGTCTACCTTTTAAAGCCTTTATTGTACTCTTCAAAATATAAAAACAAGAGGGTGGAGATCTGTAGAAATTTTACTGAATAAGTGTTTGTCCTGAGTTTGCCCTGCTGCCTGTCCTGGTTCTTATGCTGATAGAAAGAAAAATGCAGCTTCAACATCACTTTACTTCTTTTAAAGTCAGGGGCTCTGTTCTTCACAAAATAGTATGTAGTGCCCTCTAGTGGTGGAAAGAAAAACTACCCCAAAGGCATCAGAATGAATTTAATTGGACTCAGGCTGAAGACAAGATCACACTGATTCAGTTCAAGTTATAAACTTTGACTGCAGGGAGTTTGACATTGGTCTGTACTCACTGCAGCAGAAACAAAAATATCAAATAACTTACAGAGCTTTAAAAACATGTTAAAAATAGAGCAGAGAGAGCAGGTGTGTGTCTGCTCTGTCGTTCTTCAGTGTGTGTGTGTTAGACAAACACTCAGAGGTGAAGGTCAGAGGAGGGATGGACGGTCTGCTCTGTAAACACTCTGGGTGATGACTTACCTCCACGTGACTCTGCTCTGAGAGGATTTTAAAAAAACAACCTTTGAGAGTTTGTTTCAACTTTTGTAAATGTGATTCAAGCTTTAAACATCACTTTACTTTCCTATTGGAGATGTTTATTTACAATGCAAAACCGTCTTGAAATGTTTTAGTTTTAAAATCAGATTCAGAATCTAATTTAATTCATTGCTAAGTACGTTTTTCCATTAAAAGGGGTTGTCTTTGCAAATAATAATAATAATCAATTATTGATACGATGCAAAAGTAGTGCAGAAATGTGCAAGATGATATGAAAGATGAAAGTGTGGATTTAAACAGATAACACGAGTTCAACCTGCGTTATTGTTGTGCACAAAGTCTGATTTGATTGTAAAATAATAGTAGCAAATGGAAAAGAGACTGTCCTGGTGCTTTTGAAGTTCAACCTACCCCAATATAATTTAAAAAGCACCCTCAATGTAATATTTGTTTTCTTATTTATTATGCAAACAAAAAACAAGAGAAAATGAGCATGCAAGTTTTGATTCCTGTACCTAGAATTGCCGTAAAAGGTCTTCAGTGTGATGGTTTGGGTTGTCATGATCCTGGAAGAAGTAGTAAAAAATGACACTGAGTGATGGAGGTATGGACGGGGCTCAGGTCCGTCTCGGGGTTTACCCAGATCATATAATAACACCTTCTGGACGTTTGGAATCAAGAGCACATAACATGATGGATATGGATCCAGATTTAACTTTAAATGATCTCCGCCTCCCCTGTGGTGTTGATGAGAGGACAGTGACAGATGGAGAACAGATCCGTCAGCTTTGGTTCTGGCTCGTTGTTAGCTCTATCATTTCCTGTCTGAAATTACAGATCTTTTCTGTGTGTCAGAGCCTGTAATATATCCAGGAAACTTGCACACAGGCTCTCTGTATGATGCCCTTCATGTCAGTCAAAGATAAATCTGCCTGCAAACTCCAAAACCTGTAACATTAACAAAAAAACGGTGCAGTTATCAATATTATCATGCTACAATTACATTAACAATGTGGAGTCAGAAACCCTTAAATATAGGTCCATCAAAAAACTGCTTGTCCAGACTCCAGTATGGAAACCCTCCAGGACATGAGGTGGAGTGCTGAGTGGACCAGCTTGTGTTTTGCAGGAAGGAAGGAAAGTGCAGACTTAATTTGGTAGCTAAACGATGTTACAGGTAAGGAGGACCAGAGCCGGCCCAAGGCATAAGTGAACTAAGCAGCTGCTCAGGGCCTCGTGGCCACTCTGGTCCCCGCTCTTCAAATCAATGGGCTCTATGCACAGCTCCTCTACTTCCTGAACTTAAGGCAGCTCCTTTATGTCCTGTCTTTCATTATTGGACAAACTGATTAATCCAGGTGTGTTTGAGTAGTCACAATGATCAGTCACACCTGGATTAATCAGTTTGTCCAAGAATGTAAGACAGGAAATAAAGGAGCTGCCTTAAGTTCGGAGAGTAGTGGAGCTGTGCATAGAGCCCATCACTGCTTGAAAGATGAGTCCCAAAAAGTTTTTGCTTAGGGCCCCATGGAGGCTTAGGCCGGCTCTAAGGGGGAGGCCTCATGACTGCTGTGCACTATCACAGCTTTAATCTTAGAAACACTGGAAGGTTTTTGTCAGCTCTGCCTTCGTATCATATTTTCTTTCATATTAAATTCAGTTGAATAAAAACATTTCACATGGTATTGTATTGTCATCATATCACAATATATTGTAGAGTATCTTATTTTATCTTACCACATTGTATCATATCTCATCATATTTGATAATGTTATACAGGGTCGTATCTTACATTATATTATTGTATTGTATCATATAGTAGCATTTCATATCTGACCATATCCTGTCATTTCTTACTGTGTTGTATAGTATCATATCTTGTCATATCATTGTGGTCATGTCTTATCATATCATATCATATCTTATCAAATCATTAGGTAACTTATCGTAAGGTAGTGTATCGTATCTTTTGTTTATTGTATCATATATTGTCATCATATTTTTTGGGTTAGAGTTGGGGTTATCCTATTGTAATGTAACCTCTTGTATTGTATCTTAGCTTACATTTTCCTATCAAATCATATATCGTATCATACGATATATATCGTATCGTATTGTATTGTATTGTATCGTATTTTATCGTATCCCATCGCAACACAATGCAACATATCCCGTTATTGTAAAGTGACTTATCATATCATTTCTTCTCGTATCATGTTATATTGTGTCTTAACATATCCTATCATATCCTTTTGTATTGTACCGTATCTAGACCACATTGCATCCCATCGCAAGGCAACATAATATAACATATCATATCGTAATATATCATTTCTAGTTGCAGCATTCCTTTTTGTCCTGTTTTATTCAGTGTTATCCTTTGGTATTATATCATATTCTATTTCATTTTGTGTAAAATATTCTACTTCAAGTCTTCCCCTATCATATTTTTTGTATCGTTTCTTATATCATATTGTTTCATATATCATTTGCACCACATAGGATACATCAGGAAATTACATAATTAGATACAAAACCAGACAAAATAATACAATACAAAGCAATATGATACTATCCCATTGTGTCGTTATGCATCCCATTAGACCTTGCCTGACCAAGCCTCCCTCTCATTGGCCTGTTACTTTGATAACTTCCTTTGGTGGCCTGTACATGTGTTGTCTTGACTGGATCTGCAGTGATTTTCTGCTGTTTTTTCCTCCTTTTGTTTCTCTTTGACTTTGCAGCATATAATCAATACATTGGATAAAGGCTTTCTGTAAGACCTTTTGTTGTTTGCTACAAATCTTAGCTGTATTTTTGTTGTTGGAGGAGCTTTTTGTCTGATCTCTCCTGATGGAAATATCTTCAGCTGTTGTGGTCCAAAACTTCATGATTTATATCAATGATCTATTACACTGCCATCTTCATTAATTTATTGCCAGCGAACCAAGGAACATCTT